CCAAAATCTCCTCTCTCACCAATCCCCCTTAAAACCGCCCCTTCCCCTGACTCCTCTATCTCTCAAATCCTCCGCCCACGGCCCCCGATCTTCACCCACCTCAACCAGCCTCCCCTCATTATCAAAGCTGTATTTATACTTCATCTCCGTCTTCAATCCGCGTCCCTTCCTGAGCTCGCCGGGCTGCCAATCGCGACTCGTCTCCTTCGCGAATTCTGCAAGGCGCTGTTCTGAAACATCTTCAGGCACGGGGAGGAAGTAGAGGTTCGGTTTGACAGAGGACGTGCTGTGAAAGAGTTTGTCGAGGGTGGTGAAGGAGGCGGAGATATCTGCGGCGGAAGGGGTGGGCTGGGATATGCTTGCTCTCGGGCCCGTGGGCGCATCTACAGGCGCTGTGTTTCCTGTGCCGACTTCTTGAAACACTGCTTTGTCGTCGCCGGGGTATCCGACCTCGAAGCGCTTCGCGGGGATCGGTCGGCCGGATGCTCGCGCTTCTTTTTCGGCGGCGAGGGCGTCTTCTTCTTGTGTTATCCAGTCTTCTACACTCTCCTCGGGCACAAAGTCTACCCACAGCTCCTTCCTGTTCCCCTCGGGCGGCCAGATGGAGCCGTGGAGTGAGGCTCGGACGCGCGATGCGGCGGCTGTGGAGGTGAAGAGAACGAGTGCGTGGGTCTTAAGAGCGTCGAGGAAGAGGGATTTGATGATGGAGGCGTCGGGTGAGGAGGACGGCGGGGAGGCGAGCGTGACGAGGTGCGCGCGGAGCGGTTCGGGGCGCAGTGGACGCATGAAATTGCGGATGTAGAGGGCTGGTGTGGCGGGGTGCAGGGCGGGCGCGACTGGCCTGTCGTCTTGGAGAGCGTCTGGTGTGGTGTCGTCGGTAGCTGGGTTGACGAGAGTTTTGTAGCGATCTGCCTTTTCCTTCTTCATTGGTCTATTCTCGACTTCTGAGAGCTCCTGTGTGGGGGTCGCATCTTCTGGTCGCCTCTGCTCCATGACCACATCCCCATCTTCCTTGAGGCGCGCTTCCGGTGCAGGCTCCTGACTCGGTCGCGGCTTCTTCGCTTTGATTTCCTGCAGTGGTAGATCTGGCGAGCCACTCCGTCTCTTGCGCTTCTTCGAGTCGGCCTCCAACTCCTCCAGTGGGCAGCCTTGATGTTTCCGCTGTCGATCGCTCGGGTATGGGGAGTAAGTCCGCCTTTTCGACTGACGGCTCTTCGTTGGCCACAGGTGTTGCTGAGGAATCTTCCATTGTTGTCTCCCGGTCATGCTGCTTCAATCGCAGAGCTTCCGCAGCTGGTCCTGGCGCATCTGGAAGCTCGTCTTCCGCAAGTTCCTCCTTCTCGTCGCCATCCACCTCAGGATCGGCAGGTTCGGTAACATGTGGCTCAACAACGTCCTCAGGATCTGCAGGCGCAGCATTAAACACCTCCGCAGGCTGTATCGAACCTGGCTCGTTGTCTGCCGTTGTGTCTTCCGCCGATTGCTCAGTCGCTTTGATCTGGTCTGGTGGGGGTACGTCGCTATCAATGTGTGAGACATTTTCGCGGTTCCCGTCTAACGTCGCGGTCGGTACTGATGGTGGATCGCTCTGATCTGGTTGCGCCGGAGGGTCTGCCGTTGCGTCAGCCTTGCGCCTGCTTGTGTCATTTGACATGGACACACCGCCAGCTTCTTCCAGCGCAGGCGCAGGCGCATCTGGCTCTTCGTCTACATCTTGTGCGTCGTCTTCTTCTCCTTGCGCGACTGGCTCCGGCGCATCCTGCACGTCCTCTCCCTCCGCATCCTTCTCCTCCAATTTCTCCACAATCTGCGCCTTCCGCGTCAACCCCGTACTCGGAATCCCGCGATCCTTCAGAAGCTGCCGTAATTGCGCGACCGTCTGTTTGCCGTAGTCTGCCATGTCGCAGAAGTTTTTGAGTCGCAGGAGTGTTGCGCTTGATCGGAGATTGGACTTTAGAATCGTCAATGTAGGAGCGCTGTGTCAGAAAATAGTTGGTGCAAGGAGTGGAAGAATGTTTTTACGATTGCTTGGTGGATGCGAACGGCTCCTAGGCTGTCAAAGGAAAGCAACGCGTCGGCATATCATCACAGGGAACCCCTGGCCCCATTTTGTGGGGAAGGCGCCGACGCTCCGATCGACATCAAAACACATGATCAATGGCTTGGAACCTGAGAGTGGATCAAATATAATATATTCCTTCAGCATTTACACAAACGAGAAAACAAAGGGGTGGCTCGCTTCGAAGAGGTAATGCTAAAGCCAGCAAAATACACCCAAGTATTCCAACAGAAAAACCAATTGACGCCGTTCGCAATGCATGTCTTCTAATCACACCTCTTCCAGCCCAAGTTTTGTTTTACGTCTGCTCTTCTCTCGGACTTTTCGTTCGCGTTTTGGCCTTATCCTTTTCCACCTTTTCTTTTAGAACTTTCAACCTCTCTTCTGTGATGCGGATGGCTTCGTCCATTTCGCGCTCCTTCATGTTTGCGGGTGGTATGCGGATTTGGTCGTCGACGTCTGGATGTATCCTTCCACCTACTACAGAAGATTGAACACGGTCCAGGGCAACGCGGTCTTCTAACCACTTCCACAGCTCGGATTCTTCATGACGCCAAATCTCGTCATGTGCGACTTGTCTTTGTGCAGCGGACCATTGGTTTGGCCCGACAGCTGTTGATGCGCCACGGAAGAACCATGAGTACATGAGCAACACTCCCATAAGTGGAATAATGATCTGCGGCGTGAAGATGAACTCCAGAATATCCGCAACTGGCCCCAAAAGGCTGCGTAAGGGATCCAACATGCCCCAATCGCTCTGCTTTGCTTGGTTGGCAGGCGTTGGAGCGGACACTGCCGCTGGTGTTTCGTCAAGGATATTGGCTTTGGATCGCTTCTTACCCTTTCCACCCTTTCCTAGTCTTGCAGGTGCGGCTTTGGCGGTCACGGCGGTGCGGAGAGCGGTCGTCAAAGAGGTAGCATACGACATTTGGCCGTCATTTGCGCCTTTTTCAATCGGGCCTAGACAAGGTCAGCATATTTCAGAAGTGTGATAATCAATCTCATCTCACCTCTCAACCAACTCTTGCCGCTCCACTCGACCGTGAAGGTCATGATGAGCCGCGTGCTGTTGTTCGCTCCCCACATCAGGCAGTATCGTGTCTTCGTGAGGAAGATACTTCCACTAGGCACATCTGGGGTACCTGTACTGCAAAGCACAGTGATGGCCTTCTCCAGATCGTATTGCTCCAAGGTCATGGCAATATTGCACTTTGTCTGGCGCGGACCAACTGGTGCGAACAGAGGTTTGATGTAAGAGTAGTTGAAAGATTTCTTGTCTTCTCCGAGGCCTTTCTTGTCGTCTTCCATTTGCAGGTCTGTCGACTTCTGATCCTCAATCAACCATTTTCGCATAAAGGCTCCAGAAGCAGGTCCAAACATGAGGCTGTGTACCTTACCCAGAGGGGCTGGGATAGTCGTGTCGATAAGCAGTTTATCATAGTGCTGGTCGCTGTCCCCACAGTCCGTAGGGCCATGTGTCGCAGCGCCGGCGAAATCTTGACCTGCTGCCGCAGCACCATTTGTTCCAGCCTTGGCAGCCTCTGTAATCTCGCCGCTACCACCGAATGCTTGCGACACTGCTGCGCTCACTTTTCGCTGCCCTTCACCTCCGATCACAGAACCGGCCTCGCTACCCGCCATGCTTCCCTCGCCAGCTTCAGTGAAGCTACCGATGCCGTCGTCTTCTTCTGCGTCCTCGTCATAGACATCGTCGTCCGACTCTTGTAGAGATCCGTCGTCGCTGCCAATAGACTCGGCTTTCTCGGTCTTGTCACCGGTGCCGCCCGTGTCTAGCGTGACGCCGTTCAGTGAGGATTTGAGATTTGGGTGCGAGATCTTCCAGATGCCGATTATCAAGTCGTAGGTGGAGTCTCGCGCGAGGAACGAGGCGAAGACATTTCGCGCGTGTAGCGTTTGGATAACGATAGCATTCGGGAACAACACGGCAGTCGACTTCTTCTCAACCGAGACCACTTCATCAAAGCTAATAACGAGATTCGTGACCCAACCGAGGATGTTGCTGGAAAAGCAGAGGTGGCCCTCTGATACGTAAAGCCTGCCGTGCAGCAGAATTTCCTTCTGTAGTGCTGCGCTGTAGTCCTCGATCAAGTAGTCATCCTCTGGCACACTCTTGAAGAAGTTGTGGAAATCTCTATTTCGCTTTGGCGATGCAACTGCAAATCCCGTCCCATTAAGGCGGTTCCCATTCATCGCAGCGCTCGGGGCTAGAGCCGATGTACTGCCAGTTATAGCAGCGGCAATGGTGTTCCCGGTAGCGGCAGAGCTTCCCCTATGTCGTCTTCGCCGCCCATCACTGATACGACTGCGTATACTGCTCTGCCTCTGGATGGAAGACTGTGCGGGGGAGTCGGTAATCTCAGGCTGTCTTTGAGGAGACCCAGCGCCTGGCAATGATGAACCCGAATTAGCTGTGTGGGATCGTGGACGATCGTTCACAACAGAAGCAGGTTTATCCGCCGCGTACGCAGCCGAAACTGCTTGTGTGGCTGCCATATCTTCCGCCTTCGCAGAGGCCTCGTCCGTCTTTGTGGCAACGTTTGTAGAGGACGACATTGGGCTAACCTCGGTATCTGTGATCCCCAGATGGGCCAAGCTCAAGTTCCCAGATCCAAGAGTCTCTACGGCTGGCCTGCGTTTTTCCGTGTCCGCGTTCTGGTCTGCGCTTTCTGGGCCAATCACCTCTTCCACTCCGTCTTCCGTGTCCTTTTCTTCTTCACCCTGGGACTGCTGATTCGACTTGTTCTTTGCGGTGCTGTTGTTGACGATAGTGTTACTCAAGTTGTTCGCGGCGTTCTGCGCGGCAGAAAATACAGACGCAAAGAAACCGCCAGGGTTCTGGGGAGCGAATGCAGTCCCACCAGGGGTTTTCGCTTCCTCGGGGTGGGGTGTAAGCGGCGCAGTAATCGAATTGGAAAGCTTGCTAGGAGGATTCGTCGCGGATCGCACACGTCGGTGTGATATCATGTTCCCCGAGGGGGAGACAGTGACATTCGGAATCGATTGCGATGTGTTTTGCTTCACTCCCTCCTGCGAGCTTGTCGGACGTGTGGGCGAGACTGGCTTCCCATCGGTAGGAGTCGGTGGTGTGATCAAAGTCGTAGGCGCATCGGCGAGGTTCGGGGGAGTGGCAGGGAGTGTGGTGATGATACGCTTCGGCGCGGTAGAGCGAAGAGACGTCGTCGACTGCGTGCCGTCTCCCGTATGGATCTGCGGGGGGGATGCGGTGATGGGTTGATCGAGAATCTTGGCCTCGCGCTTCTTTCCTCCAAACAGCGCCCCGAGTCCACCACTTGAGCCCGGCCGTGCACCGTCAGCGTAATCTCCTGCCTTCGGAGACGCTGGCCGTCGATTGGGCGCGAATGCCTCTTTCAGCCTTCCAACTGGTGACGGCGAGACTCCTCGCTTGTTGTTTACAGGGGTGCCGGTGTGTCGCACGGGAGATTCTTCGGAGGCTAGGGGATCGCCGAGAGTGGCATCTGTGGTAGATCCGACCGAATCTATCGTCTCGGAAGTTATGAGCGGCGAGGACAGCGTAAGAAGTCCACTGTGGGATTGATGGGGTGAGATTTGGGGGCGTTTTGCCGGCCTTGGTGTTTCGGGGTCAGCGCAAGCCAAATGCGTACGTGGTAACAAAGAAATACAAGACAACAGTGCGGTATCGCAAATGGCGCTGAAGAAAACGAATGGAGTGAAGGATAAGAATGGAAAGCAAGTGGGTTGATGATGTCGAGAGGACGCGGTGGGGAGCTGGCCAGACTCAAGCTCCAATGAACCGTGCGCTTGGCACATCCCATCATGGCCGTCGCAACCGCAAATACGACAGGAAAGAGAATATGACTTACGTCGTATCTGGATCTGAGTCTTCTGTCAGCAGACTGCTGGCTGCGCTCTTGTGCAGGCCCAGCGAGTCGTCGCTGTAGTTCCGCGGTTCGGTGCCTGGGCGCCTCAACTGAGGCACGGGAGGAGTATCTTCAGCGGGATCCAGCTGCGAGTCCTGGCTTGCATGACTTGTAGTTGACTTCCTACGCTTATTGCGACCCTTGAACATCCTCGACATTCGGATGCGGTGCGCAGAGGAGGTGTCGCTGCGGCCATCGTCCGAGTTGCGGCTCTTGAGTTTGTCGCCCAGTGCGCCGTCTGTCGATTTGTGCAGATCATCGTCGCGGTTGTCACTGCTGTCGATGGAGACGGTAGATGACTCTGGGCCTTTTGAAGTCGCGCGACTACGTGGTGTGGAGAGGTTGTTGTCTTGCGCTGATGCGCGATCAACTGTCGCCATGGCGAGTTTAGCAGACAATGCGCGCGCCGAGGTCTGGGTATATTATGGTCCAGAGGATCGTGGTAATGGAAGGGATCGCGTTCAAGCTCGCATTGTTTCGATTCGTTGCTCGTGGGACGCGGGGAAGGGGGAGGGATCCGTGACGTATATGTAAACTCGGGCTTCAATTCAAAAGTCTATAGAAGCCGTGAAGCAAACATGATGACAGTATGCGACAAAACATAAGCCAGACAAGGAAAGCGGGAGAACGTCAGATCACTTCCAGGCAACCAGTTTGCTTCAGCTCGGGTGAAACAGCGCAGCCCACACGTTCCCGAATACAAGGATCGTCGTCATCGCGGAACCCCTAAGTAATGCCGACTCCGACACTACCACTATACAGGACCGACCAATGTTCAAGACAGAACGATGAGATTGTCAATCCTTACAATAATTAACAAAATTCTCAGGTCGAATACTTTGAACTGCATACCGCTTTAATGCTTGGCCAATCAACAAGTCCGTACCCTTGCATGAAGCACGGGTGCACGTCCATCCATCAGCTTGTCGTTTATTGCTGTGGAGGTAGGGAGTGCAAATAACACAAAACAGGTTGCGAAGAAGGCGAATCCTGTGTCCTGCGGAACGGTGTTGTAGGGTCTCTGCGACAACGTGTGAGCAACATGCTGACACGCTTGGGTCGCAGGTAAGCTTCACATCCACGACAGTCCGAAGCGTTAATTCAATCTCAGTCAGGCCAGAGATATCTTCGAAGTCTCTTTCTGGCGTGGCGATGACAAAGTCTTGAATTTATTGCCGGGGAGTTTCTAATACATCCAAAAAAGCTGGCGACCAGAAGACCTTGGGAACCTTTACGCACGGCGTTCACTCAGATGTATAAAACCAACGCAACAACAGGTCAGGCCGAGAACTAGAAACCTTGGAGCGATGTTAGGCGACGAAGTCTCACGGTGCAGTAGAAGCGCTATCTGAGCTGTAAGCTAATCTCGAGTCTCATCATGCAGCAACTGTAGGGAGATGCACTTGAGTCTCTTGATGAAGGCGACCGGAACCTCCCTTAATAGTTGCCCAAGTATCTGGACACAGACGACAAAGATCACTAAGGCTACCATCAGTGTCGCTACTCGAGAGGGGCCTCCCCCAACAGATATCCTTCGTCCCATCCTTCCATCGTTCTGCCCTCTCTAGCGAGTAAGTCCTATTGATAAACTGCGCTAAATTGTAACGCTATAGGTTCTTTGACTTAGAGCGCATGTCTGGCGAGTCAATATTCGCTGCGGCACAGTCTTTCGTACTTCAGTTTCCTTAAGCTCTTGCACTATGTTAAATCACAACCTGTAATGGAGGTTCCACGTCACGGCGCTCTCCTCCGCTGGCTACTCTGGAGGATTCCATACCACTTGACCACATGTCCGTCTCATAGACTGTTGAAGAATAATTCGATAAAACGAGATATGTCTTCTACAAACATGGGGTATGCATTTACGCGGAACTGGCGCCTGAACGAACTCGTTCGGAGCGATGGCAGCGGTAAGCATTTCCGGGCTCGCTTCAATGCCGATGTCAGAATAAGTCGATAAAACAGTACGGCGTTGAGATTTATCTTGACCTCGGGCGACAAATGGCTGATGTCAACATCAGAATCCCAACTCCTGGTACTCAGGTTGTTCTCATCATTGACAAATTCAATTGGTGCTCCGCCTCTGCGTCTGCTGTCGATGCTAATTCTTTCAGAGGCCCACAAAAGCTTTACTCTGGGTGTTGTTTGTCTGTCCCCTGTACTTGCAAAGGCTCTACTAGTTCTCAAGCGATGCAGTCATGCTAGTATCAGCCCAAAGAAGATCGATCAACCAGGCATGCTTGAAGGTGATTTCCGCCAAACGTAAGCAGATTGTTTCATTGCTGATAGTCACTATACCACCATGGAGCTGCTTAACATGCATTGTTAGGTTGGTCATTTTACCGCAAGTCATCCTTTCCAACATTGTCTACGTGTCTTGCCCACTAGGCCATGCGAACTTCTTTCACCGTGCACAGCCCATGTATAATTCACCGCAGCTCATCCCATAGCCTGGAGATACACCGGACCTTCCCGTCGTAACTCAACCTATTAGATCTCACTTTCACTTCATGCTCGTTTGAAATTCGCCGCTCGATCTCCCACCGCCGGACGGCCGCATGTTCTACCGTCCCGAGGCTTGGCACGCGCGTTCGCTACTATATAATCGCGCGCACACACGATACTCGCTCTCCAGAAACACGAACACAAACTCTTTGAGCGCACGCTCGCGTGCTCCCTCTAGAGTCGGCTCGTGTTTCTCTGACAGTTGGGAAAGACCAGCACCCTCCACCGTCAATTAGATTGAGCTCTTAAGTGAGCTCGACTGTTCTCGGTGAGTAGACTCTTAAGTGAGACTACAGACCACGGCCCCGTTTTAGGCTCAAGTTGCTTGCAGCTTGAAGTTAGAGCGGTTTCCGTCCGCTTCTGCTTAAATTACGCTTTTGCAGTCGATATTCTACCACACCCCCCTCTCATCATGAGTTTCTCTCCGAACCACGATGATTTCAGTGGCCAGACAGGTGGCAATACACCCGACCTTTAGTCCTTTGCTCCACCTAGGCTCCTCGTGCACCGTGTGCTTGAAAGCAGATCTAGTGAGGAGTCTATTGGGTGCTTTGTTCTCAAGGAGCGCGTCGAAAGTATGCATGTACATGTCACCTACACCCCATACTGAGGAGTTTCACAATGCCGCTCCTTTAGTATCATTTAACGTGTCTCCATAGGTTGCTCTCGCCCTATTTCCCTCAGTGGTCCACTACTTTCAACGATGGCGGACCAAGACTTCGATACCGTCATCAGCACCCTCGAAAACGCGACACCCAATGATCGTGTTGCGAAGATCTTGCTGAGCCTCCTACAGTTTATGAGGGTTTCCGCCGACAGCACAGAAGTGCAGCTTTGTCATTACAGCTTCACTATGGCACCAGACTGAACTCTTCGTCTTAACGATATGCTTTAATTGCATTACCAAAAAGGTTGTGAGAATGCTGCATGGTTTACAGACAATTTGATTCACGCAATCTTGGGTCTTGAAGTCGAAAAGCCGGACGATATCAATTTCGAATGCCACCTAAGCCATCTTCCGAGCGACTACTACAGCAAGATCTTGGGCGAGCAGATTGCAGCCGCAAACTGAGGTGAGGGACATGAATGGGAGTGGCCGCTCACAGACATGAAAACGACTCACAATCGCATGGTGGTAGCGATTGATCCTATAGAGGTACATTGGGTGACGGTCGAGTTTATCCGAGCCACAGCGAATGAACCAGCCAAACTGTTCTACTACAACTCCCTTCGATCCTGGAAGACAGTGACCCCGTTACTCCCCGGATGCTGTATCTAGCAAGCCTGTGGCCGAACTCGCCTTTGACAGGATTCAATCCGCTTGGATTTGTGATTGGAGCAGTGCCCTGTCCACAACAGTATGGCACTTTCGACTATGGACCGTCCGCTCTCTATTTCGCAACCAAGCACATTCACAACCAGCAAGTATGGAGAGACCTTGATGGTAAGGACGAACGGCACGAATTTTTTTCAGTCTCTTCGGAAAATATGTGCGTATATCCTCCGCAATAAGTGCATAGGTGCGGATTATCTCATATCGCTCCGAGCATTCCAGGATATCTTTGAGTGACAGGTAAGCTCGTTTCCGAATCTCAGGATCAAAACCACTTTCGGTCAGTATTCATCCTTCTTACTGTACACGCATCTAATTCGAGCGAGTGTCAGCTAAAGCATAGGTAAACGCAAGTTTACAAGTCTCGCACAATCCACTAGTATTCATTGCACGCTAGTACGTTAGCGCCCTTCGTTACAGCTAGCGCGAAGCACTTCTAATAAGCCTCCGCCCGACTTCAATTTTCTTCGTCTTCATCGCGCTCCCGGTATTTACGCCGGGCTCTCGGTCCCCTTTCGATTGCTTGCAATCGTCTGAGGTAACATGTATTGCCCGATCTCACGATCAAACCTGAGAGCTTTTAATTAAGCTCGCAGTAGAGAACTTTCAGACGCGTATTAGGTACGCGACTGTTTGTTCTTCGTCTATCTCTGTGTATTAGGTACATCTCAGACATTCGTTCGGACCACTGCTGGGTTAAGCGGTGTTGTCTCTTTCATTAAAAAAGCCCGATCTTCGGATCAAAACTCCAGCGCGTATTAGGTACGCAATGGTTTGTTGTTCGTTATCTTCGTGTCTTATGGACATCTTAGGTATTCGTTCGAACTACGCCATGAGGTGGTGTTGTCTTCCTCAATTCCAGTTTGTTTAACTGCTTCACTGCAATACGCGTCCTGGTAAGAACCAGCGCCCGGCGCTGAACGGCAGTAATCGTCTGCAACATACACCAGGCGAGCTTCAGCATATCGAGGTCATCAACGCTCCAGATGGCAGCAGTACTGCGCGTCGTCACGAGCGACGTCCATTCAGGTCACTGCCACATCCGTCGGTCTCGTTCGCCTTCCCCGCAGAACAGACGACCAGATCAACGCAGAGCTCTTCCACAGATACGGTCACAGTCACGATTAATGGAGGCTCACTCGCCGTCTCATAGATCTCGTGATAGTCGACAAGCACAAGCGCTCGATGAGTCGCCAACAGGTAGGCACAGCCAACGGTCTCGCTCGCCCAGCAGCGGTTCAAATCGCCACAGTACTTCACGGCGTGATCACAGACTTCGGTAGAAACCGCAGACAGGTAGTTCCTGTCGCCGAGAAGAGTCACCGGGAGTAGGTCTTACATGGACGATTTCGCGCTCCCAACGGTACGATCATGAATACGCTCACCCTCCGGGCTCCAGATCGCCTTGGTACTGCAGGCCGTGACGACAGATGTCGGTCAACGTCGCAGGCAAATAGGCAGTCGTCATTTCGGCTCGCCAAACTGCGCTCCAGACTACGACAGTACATTGAGCGTGATGATGATCTTGTTATAGGAAAGCGTCGTCGCCTCATGAAGGCATCAAACCGCTCAGAATCTCTGCATCGCAGCAGCTATCGGCCTCAGAAACCAGACCACCGCTCTTTGAGACAGCAAGGTGAGCCGATGGGATATAGACCGCCTCGACCCCAGGTGAACAGCGAAGGCCGATGGACACCCGGCAGCATCTGGGAGTCTTGTTCCATCTATCCATGCCATCGAGATGTTTGTATTATATCTTTTCATCAACAACGGCGTGGCACAAGAGGCGTCAGCCCATCTGATAGCCTGGAACTATACACAGGTCGTTGCCGTCGCATCGAAAATGTCAGAGTACTGCATACAGTTTCAGGTCATCGACAAGACCATGATTATTTCCTTCTCTACGGAATATGAACAGTGCCTCAACCCATGCGACTCTGGTAGCATCATCTCACCAGTGAAGAGACCATTCAGCTACCCACGTCCCGAGTCGCATCTGAGCCCCAGGGTCAGCAGACTATGAGTTCGGTGCAAGCGACAAGGGTTCCACGGTGCAGGATATGCTCCGCCTGGATTCAGAGATCTGGAAAACATGAACCCGGCCAGACATGCGCCGTGTCATTGAAGCAACCCTGGAAGTCGTTCCCAGTACGCCTCGCGCCGACGACTCGTACTTTGATCTCTACGACGCAGAGACGCCGCATACCATATGTTGTCAACTACTCGGGAGATCGACCAGGTGGCGGCCTATTCAACATCCTCAAGCTATATGTGGAGCTCTGCCGCTGCAGTAGAAGTCTGGCGATAGCGTGAACAGCTCCAGCCCGTCAGTTGAGCTGCAAAGACCGATTTACTTCCTTCGTCGGACTGGTTTCGAACCAACAACAAACACTATCAACTGGTCGAAGTACGAGACGGGTTCCAGCAAGAACAAGACGTATTCGAATCTGAAAGACGTCGCAATATTGCGCCAGAGCAACGACATACACATAGAGGTAAGTCTCTGTCGTTGTAGTGATGATTGAGGCTTTAGCTAATACGTCATAGCGCCATTTACTAGCGCGCTTGCATCCAACGTGATGAATGCACGCGCACACACGACATCTACACCTACGCATGAACATGTCCGCATATCACCCACGACGCAACGATGGAGTCGGCAGCCCTCACCAAAGCGCACGAACATGCGAGGACGGCCGCGACTGCGACCTTCGATAACAGAATTGCGATCGCGGGGCAGGAACATGAAAGCGCATCAGCAGCATTCCAAGAAGCTGTCCAAGATACTCATAATGCCGAGGTAAGTTAGATTCTGTATTTGCAAGAAGCAGTCTAATACATCTGTAGGCCCTGCGCATCCTCAGTCTTCTCGAAGACCACCACCGACAGCTCGCCGGGTTGATTAAAGAAGCCCCGCGCAAGGAGAAGCAGAGCAGCATTACGACCCCAGCTTCCGGGAGCACCGCGAAAAGTGCGACATCCAAAAGCGCTGCGAGTAAAAGCGCATCCTCATCCACTACGTCGTCGACGCCTACGACATCGCGCCGCAGACTGCCACAGTCATCGATAGCCAGCAACCTCGCTGAAAAGCGTGGCATACCTACGGCGAGGAGGACCACGAGTGGAACGGCTGTGAACGTCGCTGGTGCAATAGGAGGTCGCGAGGAGCAAGGGGCGACGCCAGTGCGTGATCTACTTGCACAGCAGTCACAGAAAGCAGAGTCGGCCAAGTCCAAGGATGCGTCGAAGCAGCAGAAGGACTCCGGAACACTTCCACCTGCTTCGCCTCCAGCTGAGGACAACTTCCGTCGCTTCTACTCGGCATTTGGGGGCATCATCTCTACCATTTCTGCCCCGCTCGCCTTCACATCCCTTCCGCTAAATCCTACGCCGCCCACGCCAGCCGCGGAGCCACTCAAAGAAGAGAAGCCAAAACCAAAGTCGAACACACGATCACCGGAGGCTTCGCGCACAGTAAAGTCATCAGTGCCTGATCTCGCCGCCCTCATCAGCAAGCCTGCTCTGCGCGCTCTGAGAGAAGATGGCTCCGCTCCGATGGGGCCGAACGAGAGCTTCTACCTCGTACCTGGCACAGCTTCCTATGCCAGTATCTTGCAAAACAAGAAGGATGCACAAAATCAGCACATGAGTTCGATCGATGAGGGCTCCGGGTCCATGAAAGGAAGTTCGCACGAAGAGTTCGTCGATGCGCGCGAGAATGTCGGCCCACCGTCTCCCACAAAATCCCGGCATACGCGGAATAGATCTGGATCAGGAGTCACGCCACAACGCAGCATCCCAGCAGGACGCGGTTCTGGCCTAAAGACCATGGAAGAACTCGCTCTTGAAAACGAAACGCTGAAGAATCTTGTCGATAAGCAAGCCAAGCGCATTCAGATGTGGGAGCTCAACTCGCAAAACAGCTTCAACGCACTTGCACAGTCTTTCCGAACTCGCGGTCCAGGCAGTCGAGGACCAAGTGACCCAAGCGCCCTTGCTCAAGCCTTGTCTCAAGGCTCGAATGCTGTCCCGGCGCTCCCATCACCACCCATATCTTCGAGCCAACCTGCATCCCCCGGTCCTCGGCCGGACTCCGACACGGCGCGCAGAATCGCCGATCTCGAGGCCCTACTCGCCAGCCAGACTGCCAAGGTCGACGACCTAATGAGCAACAACGAGCGCCTCGTCAAACAAAACGAGAAAAACAATCAAGTCATTGGCAGATATCGTGAGCAGTGGGAGAAACTGAAAGCTGGCGCAAGGAAGAAAGAACAGGAAAGACGGGAGCGGAGGGTGGCAGAAGTCAAAGCTGGAGAAACAGCAAAGGATAGCGAGAGTGGTGATGCAGATGTTGACGCTGAAGGCGACATTGAGGTCGAAGAACCTGGCTTTGGAAAGGCGTAATGGACTCGTCAAACATGCCCTATTGTACATATATAGACGCCGAGACGTAATGATACCCAAGGACGGCGTGCCGCGGAGAATGATAACAATCTTTCAAAGATCAGCGACTTCAATTTTTTACCTTGGCCGGTGCCGACATCGGAAGTGGGCCTTGAACTGAGGCTTGTCAGAATTGGGTCGAAAGCGAAAATTGTCCAGCTTTTACCCCTCGCATAAGAGTGAGATCATGCTCAGCTTTGACAAGGTCCTGTATGGGTTCGCGCTGCAGTGGAGCCGTTGAAGAGCATGTTGCGTACGTGAACAATGAGCTGCTTTGACCAATCAGAGAGCTAGGATTTGGACCAACTAAACACGTCATTCGTTCTGCCCTTATCGCAGGTACCGCCGATCTTAGCGTGTAGCGTGAAAATTGTCCCCTCTTCTTGACTCCCTAACATCACACCTGAACCACACAGCTTCATTGTCTATACTTCACAACCACAAACTCAAGGGTCCTTCATACCCGCCCTCTTCTGACTTCCTCCGCTGATAATACCGCGCTTATGCGTGCTGCCTCTGTCTTCACTTCCCAGGTACACTTATTCCTTTCCTTGTCCCATTGCTACACCGCAGTTTGCTTAACCCATCAACGAGCGGTCGATGTTTTTGATGTATCCTCGATCACTTGTGACTCATGTTCTGTATTTTGACCATGGCTAATTGTTTACTATAGGATTACATCTCAGGTATGATGTCGCCCGACAATTGGCGCATGGAGCGTCACTCTGACTGCTGTACAGATCATCTCTGGAAAGCCTCAATTAACTGAAAGCCACTCATACACCGTCATACCGCTTATCACTCCCGTCAATTCCACTCAACATGTTCTCGCACCTCCTCAAGCCCGCCGCCCGCTCTGCAGGTCTTCTGGGACATGTGAACCGCCGCTATCTCGCTACCGTGCATACAAACACCGCTCGCGAGATTCCTAAGCCTTCGCGCAAGCCCACTCCGATTTCACTCGAGAACGCAACATTCACAATCAAGGTTTGTATCCCCGTGCAAATTTCATCCCATATTGCTCACCGCTTCTAGAATGGCCCAATCTTCTCGGGCAAGTCCTTTGGCGCAAAAGCCAATATCTCCGGTGAAGCCGTCTTCACCACCTCGCTCGTTGGATACCCCGAATCCATGACCGATCCCTCCTACCGTGGACAGATTCTTGTCTTCACCCAGCCGCTGATCGGCAACTACGGCGTTCCCTCTTCCGCCCGCGACGAGCACGGTCTGCTCCGATACTTTGAGTCTCCCAACATCCAGGCTTCGGGTATCGTCGTTCAAGACTACGCCTTGAAGCACAGCCATTGGACTGCTGTTGAGTCTCTCGCACAATGGTGCGCTCGCGAGGGTGTCCCTGCTATCTCTGGCGTCGACACTCGTGAGGTTGTAACATATCTCCGTGAGCAGGGGTCATCTCTTGCTCGTATCACCGTCGGTGAGGAGTACGATGCAGACGAGGACGAGGCCTACATTGACCCTGAGGCCATCAACCTGGTCCGTCGTGTATCCACCAAGGCTCCGTTCCACGTCAGCTCCTCACTCGGCGATATGCACGTTGCTCTGATCGACTGCGGTGTCAAGGAGAACATCCTCCGCAGTCTCGTCTCACGGGGCGCCAGCGTTACCTGCTTCCCCTTCGACTACCCCATTCACAAGGTCGCCCACCACTTTGACGGTGTCTTCATCTCCAACGGACCTGGAGACCCCACTCACTGCACTTCGACCGTCTACAACCTCCGCAAGCTGTTCGAGACCTCCCAGCTTCCCGTCATGGGTATCTGCATGGGTCACCAGCTGATCGCCCTCGCTGCTGGAGCGAAGACCATCAAGCTGAAGTACGGCAACCGCGCTCACAACATTCCAGCTCTAGACCTCACCACCGGAAAGTGCCACATCACTTCGCAGAACCACGGATACGCCGTGGACCCCACTACTCTTACCAGCGAGTGGAAGGAGTACTTCACCAACTTGAACGACCAGTCGAACGAGGGTCTCATCCACGCCTCCCGCCCCATTTTCAGCGCGCAATTCCACCCCGAAGCCAAGGGCGGACCGATGGACTCCTCGTACCTCTTTGACAAGTATATCCAGAACGTCCAGAGGTACAAGGATCACCAGTCATCCTTCTCCGAGAAGAGCAACAAGCCCAGCCCGCTTTTGGTCGACCTCCTCAGCAAGGAGCGTGTTGGTGTGCACCCTGCTCAGCCAGACTTTGAGATGCATGTTCCAGGCAGGGTTGAGCAGGTGGATGTTGGTGGACCCGTTGCGCCGCCGTACCAGCCTATCACTGCTGCCGCCTAGGTGAATGAGTGTTTTGGCGACGTGATTTGGTATTTTGGTAGTCTATAGTTGGAAATGGCGTTTCATGATGAGTTCTATTACAAGATTGATGCCGGAGGAATGACTTCAGGTGCGCTTTCATATTCATGTACACAGCAAACAGCACTATAAATTGATGAAAATCGTTTCAGCTGCAGGCCGAGCTCAATTTTATGGCGAATGCTCTACTTCCTCATGATGGCCAATCAACTTTACAGAAGTGCTTCACGTGTAGGGGGAAAAGCTTGTTGAAACCATGAACCCGAGCTCATGCTGATTGTAATATATACAGGAGAATAATCAGTCACCACGTATCTCATCTCACGTCATCCCCTGACGTTTCTACCAATTTAGACTGTAATCTTGCCCGTAAGCTTAACATCCCTCGAACTAGCGCCGACAAACACGCCGAATTCGCCCTTGGGTACAGTCCACTTCCTGCTGCTCTCGTCCCACAGGCTCAAATCCCTGCGGCGCAGCTTGAACGTCGCCGTCCCGCTCGCACCAGGCGCGAGCTTGAGCTTGTTGAATCCACGCAGTTGCTTGGGCGGCTCGCCGGTGCCGGACGGGTAGCCCAGGTACAGCTGCGGGACCTCTGCGCCCTCGACCTTGCCGGAGTTGGTGATCGTGGCCGTGACGGTAGCGACGGTGTCGAAGAGGTCAGCTGGGCCACCGGGGATGATTTTGCCGGTGGTGGGGCCGGCGGAGGGCGAGCCTGAGATGCTGAGGCCGGAGTACTTGAACGTAGTGTACGACAGACCGAAGCCGAATTCGAAGCGGGGCGTGATGTTGTTCTGGTCGAAACGCCTGTAGTCGATGAACAGATCCCAGTCCTTGTCAGTTTGAGTGGTGGAGATGGTCGTGCCGTAGTCGGACTCCTTCTTCGCGATGGTGTATGGGAGTTTACCGCTGGGGCTGGCGGCGCCGTAGAGGATGTCGACGAGCCCGTTTCCGCTCTCTTGGCCGGGCAGACCGGCCCAGACGACTGCGACGACGGACGGGTTCTCGATCCATTCTTCCATCAGGATGGGGCCGACGGAGTGGACGACGACAATGGTGCGCTTGTTGGCTGCGGCCACCGCCTTGACGAGCTCGTTGCCGTTGTGCCAGGCGTTGAGGTCGTTGCGGTCGCCAGCGTTGCCTTCGACGGTGATGTAGCCTTCGCCCGAGTTGGCGTTGATGCAGACGATGGCGATGTCGGCGTTCTTGGCGGCGGCGGCGCCTTGGGCGGCGTTGTCGTTGGGGGAGGAGGTGACGTTTGTTCCGTCCTTGGCGGCCTGGACTTTGATGGCGTCAAGGGGAGCGATTAGGTAGGGGTATTCGACGGAGGCGCTGCCCCAGCCCATGCCGAGGGTGCCGTTGTTGCAGCCGCGGTCGACGCAGGCGTTGGGGCCCTTGGGGTCGACGATGGAGTCGAGACCGATGACGGCGACGGACTTGGGCTTGCTGAGAGGAAGGGAGCCGTTGTTGTTCTTGAGCAGGACGATTCCATCCCTTGCGGTGGCGCGAACATTGGTCTTGTGGTTACCGCCAACTTCTTGGGGACCAATCTGCCAGGAGTTGAATGTCGCATTCGGGTAGCCCTTGTCCTGGCCGAGCAGGTACCAGGAGGAAAGGACGCGCGTGACCATGTCGTCGAGGCGGGATTGCTGGACCTGGCTGCTGTTGATTGCAGTCTTGAGTTGAGGGCCCCACAAGATGTTGTTACCGGAGAAGTCGGTTCCAGGCATGGTCATGTCAAGACCGCCGTTGGCGCTGCCGGTCGTAGTGTGTTGAGCGTTCCAGTCAGACATGATGTATCCGCGGAAACCGAGTTCCTCCTTCAGCATCTTGTTCATAACAGAGTCACTCTCACAAGCCCACGTGCCGTTGAGCTTGTTGTAACTGCACATGGCAGCCGCGACATTTGAGTGGACAGCGTCGATGAATGGCCAGACATACAGCTCACGCAGAACTCGTTCGGGCACATCCGAGCTGATAGTATCTCTGCTCAGCTCCTGCTCGTTGGCAATCCAGTGCTTCATGGTGGCCTGAACACCAGCTTCCTGCATGCCCTCGACTGTTTGTGCCATGAAGATACCCTGAAGATATGGGTCATGGCCGAAACCTTCCCAGTTGCGACCGCCTTTAGCAAATTTGCCAAGAGGGCCGGAAGTAGGACCCAGTTGAACGTGGACACCCAGTTGCTTCGCCTCGGTTCCGAGGAAAAGACCGCGCTCACGAGCAAGGTCAACATCCCATGAGCTCGCAACGTGAACACCGGCCGAAAAGGCAGTGGCGCCCTGGATGTAACGAATACCCTGGGGTCCATCTTCATGGTGTTAGCACTTGTCCAATTCAAAACGCTAGGTATTTCTAGCTGAGGTTCACTGACCCTGTAGACAGAGGGAAGGATATCCGATGGACTTCGCGGGGTAGGTGTTGCCAACACAGTTGGCCTTAGACCATCCTACACCTGTGACGATACCAATCTTCTCGTCCTGCGACAGCTTTGCTAAAGCAGCAGTTGCTTTGGTGTGCGCATCGTCCCAAGAACCAACAGTACGTTTGGTCGACTGCTCCTTGGCAGGAATAGCTGTTGTGTTTGTGAGCATTATGTAACTTGTTCACGTCCTGACCAACATACCAGAAGCTCGCGTCAGAGCGGTTGTCGCCAACACGGGTAGAAAAAAGTTGCGCATCTTGAAATCCCACGAGTACTTCTTGAAGGAATGCGAAGAAGTTGCCGTCCTCATTCAGGGTCAAGGCCCATTATGTACAATTTCCCCTTTTCCTAACCCCAGGACCCAGGAAACCCTGAACCGAGGAAAGTAAGACTTCGATATTGCTCATCTTGGCCGTGCTTGGGACCAAGTTCGAGTTTCCTGGGGCCCCATAGCAAAGCGTTGCGCCCAAACCAGATCGGCAAATTGGCCGTTGTGTCAATTGAGGTGCTAAGTTTCCCCCGGCCCGCAAACCCAGACTTGCCGGGATCGTGGCCAATCACAAAGTTTGCTAGCGCAACGTCCTTGAACATGAACTGGGGACGCAATATCTGCGTTGTCAAAATGTGAAGAGTGGATGCACGGTGGATCTGCAGGGTGTAGGGTAGTTTTGCGGCTCAAGACGGAGGGTTCATTTCATGAACACGTTTGATTCGACAACTCATTGCTAGTCGTGCACCCCGCTGCTTGGGAGTATGCCGTCTGACGTGAGGGCTACACTGCAGCGAATGCTGACCACTTCTGTCGTCGCAACGGGTATGTGTCTGCCCCTGAAATATCGCGTCGGATTGGGCCGCAGACCCGTCAACTTGACCATGACCCAGGTTTTCTCCCGCTTGCTAAACTCTTGGAGACGGAGGCAGATCCACATGCTGTGCGCACATTGGTGTAGAATGTTTGCTCCATTATTGCCGGCAGTTCCAGTCAGATCAAATCCTCGGATGAAGTACCTGTGCTATAGCAGCTGACCTCGCGTGAAATAATGTACCAGGGTGTCGTTTCACGAGCTAGAAATTCCGAGGGTTCTATCGGCCCGGCTTTTGCATGTGCTCCGGGTCCGCGGTAGTCATCAAGGTCCGTAACTTGATCTTCGTGAATTCAAGAATAATCGACATATTCGCAGTCGTCATCCAAACGCAGGCAATGCGCACATGAAGGTCTCTCCTCTGTGCATTTGCGCTTCCTGGCTTTGCAGTTTATGCAGCCATTCTTGGAACGCTTCTTTGCGCCAGTCACTTCGTACTGACATGTCCAGAGTCCTCTCTTGCACTGATTACACGTCGGTTTGCCTTCGTTGCACTTTATCTTCTTCTCGCGACATCGAATGCACGCTTTTCCTCTGACTGGCATCGGAGGTGGAGACGGCTCTAGAATTTGGGTCTTCTTCCGTGATGCTGAGGGAGAAAGAGCTTCCTTGCTTTTCTTGTCTTTCTTTGCGGACAACTCTGCAGAAGCTGCTGAAGCGTCCTTCTTGCGCTTGTTCTTTGTAGCAGCTCTCGGTGCTTCGGGCGAAGTTGACATGTCAAGATCTGGATCCCGGTAGTTGTTCTCAACATCTTCTTGGTCCTTCTTTTTCCGTTTCTTCTTCTGCTCTTTGTTGCCGTTCATCGATTGATTGTTCATTGCCTGTGGAGTAGAAGTGGTCTCTAATGCCAGAGCAGGCAAGCTGCTAGTAGAGTCAGAACGTATTCAACAGTGTAATGAGCTTCAAACAACCACTGGTTGTATGCGGTTGCCATGGATGCTTTTGTTGCAACATACCTCTCTTCGGCTGGCGGGCTGCTATGGATCGGATTGTGTTTGTACACTACGTTGATGGCTTCGCGTTTGATGGAGAATTTGATATGGATAGCACCACCGCAACCATATCCTTGCAGTTGTGGATCGCCCTCTTTCTTGGGCTGGGCCTCACAATCGTCGCTGTTCTCTGGCTTCTCCTTTTTCTTCTTGTGGCTTCTCTTGTTCTTGAATTGAACACTGTCTCGACATACATACTTAAATCGGGCACCGTCGCCACCATCTTTACTCTGTGCTGACTTCTCTGCGTACTTGAAGCCGTCGGCGTCTTGTATTGCTTCAATGATGGATCTGCGTCACGTGAGTGAGCATCGCACGTAGTGCAGCTATGATCTATATACCTCGCAATGGCACGCTGCACCTTGAGTCGATCTTTACCGTCGATATCACGGCAGAGCGCATAGTCGACTGTGATGCTCTGCAGGTACTCGGCTGGCTCGATGAGTTCGTTTAGAGATGGTTGTTGGCCCACGGGGATTGTGATGGTCGAAGCTGCTCCAAAGATGAACTCGGTCACGGTTTCTACAGGTATCAAGGCAGAGGCGTTCTTTTCAACCTCTGTATACAATGCCGCGTTCAGCGACTGGTAAGTGTTCAGCAGGATTTACGGGTTAATTGAAGGAGGCTCGCACCTCTAAAGTCGGACAGCGGTAATAGACATCAGGCTGCAGCCCTCGATGATAGCGCAAGTCTAATTCATCTTCGAGGTCCTCCATGATGATTGAGCCGGCCTTCTCGCACGGATGCAGGTGTGAGGCATACGGTTGAGGAGATTAGAACGGGGAAACGTTGTTCCTTGGAGCTCTAAATGTTTTAGTGGGGTCTTGGCAGAGCTGATTGATAGGACTCGGTGCAGAATGTGGACAACCACTCCGTATGTGGAACAATGCAGTCGATGGTGATGGCTCATGGCTCCGGTCAATGTAAAGTCATGCAAGTGGTCTGCCTGTAGGACAGTCGCAGCGTTTACAATGCGCGAGGCCGGCATGCATTCTGCCACGTTATTGCGTGCACGGACCCAGATCTCGAGTGATGTTGATGAAATCAAAGGAACGCATAACGAGATTTGAAACGCGATGGTCTGGATGGCGTCGTCTCTGCAGGCCAAGGGCACATCTCAGTCGTCCATGGGGATGCTGGGCGCTGGTGCAGAGGAGTCTGGACCCAATACGAATAATGCAGCTTCCAACATTGAATTGTGTACACCGACTAGCGCCGTGAACTAATGAATGGACCATCAACAACAGCTCGACCGCGACTCCTGTAGTACTGTAGCCTCCCTCGACTCCGCTGCGCCTGCGTTTTTGTTCGGCCCTTGGTGTGACCCCGACCGCTCGCTCGCTCCCACGTTCAATCGCCCGCCGCTACGTTTCGCATCTTGACCAGGCGCTGTCGCAAGCAACGCCGCAGGCCCGCACGAGGACTCAGAGAGGTGCCGTACGCACTGCGCATGCTGCCCGTCGTTGCCCCAGCCGCTTGACTGATCGCTCTCATAGCCGCGTCTTCGCTCGTTCGTTTGACCCCTCGTTTGGATAGCTCCCTCTCCGCATATCCCAGCACGCGATCCTTGACTGTTGCTGCGAAACATCCACCACCGCCTATTCTTCGACACAGCATTCCTCTACCGCCGAATATCCATATACCCACTTCAACATGGTCGTTGCGACAATAAAGTTCGTGCACTGTCTCTTTGCGACTGCTTCTGCTACTGCGCCAGGGTCCAGTCACTAACACCATAGCTCCGCAGGTGCGTCGTCGTCGGTGACGGTGCCGTGGGCAAGACATGTCTGCTCATCAGCTACACCACCAACAAGTTCCCCTCGGAATATGTCCCCACCGTCTTCGACAACTACGCCGTGACCGTTATGTGAGACCCCCATCCCTGGGACCCCACCCACTGCACACTATTTGGAAGGAGGAGCAGCGGGGGGACTCGTGCTTAGCGAACTGCTGCTGACGCTGTGAAGGATCGGTGATGAGCCATATACCCTTGGCCTCTTTGATACCGCCGGACAGGAAGATTACGACCGCCTCCGACCCTTATCGTACCCCCAGACCGACGTCTTCCTCGTGTGCTTCTCCGTAACCTCGCCCGCCTCCTTCGAGAACGTCCGTGAAAAGTGGTTTCCCGAGGTGCACCACCACTGCCCTGGCGTGCCATGCTTGATTGTCGGTACACAGGTGGATCTGAGGGAAGACAACTCGGTAAAAGATAAGCTGGCAAAGCAAAGAATGGCGCCAGTAAAGCGCGAGGACGGCGAGCGAATGGCACGCGAACTCGGTGCGGTCAAGTACGTCGAGTGCTCGGCTCTAACGCAGTACAAGCTCAAGGACGTGTTTGATGAGGTACATCTAGGACATCACTCCCCCATGTCATATCACTAACACACACAGGCGATTGTAGCAGCGCTCGAGCCACCGTCAACTAAAGATGCAGACAAGAAAAAGAAGAACAAGAAATGCTGCGTTTTGTGAGAGAGGGTGTAGAGGAGTACACGTACGGGCGAGCATTTGTGGGAGCTTTAGTTTGCAGATCTTCTTTGAATGGCGTGAGTTTTCTGGATACCTCTTCGGCTTTAGGCGCCCTTTGCAAGTAGCGATTCTGTCAAGCTACACCAATTCGTATTCTCACCAGTTTTTTTTTATCTCATCCATCCGTTCCCTAGCAGCATTTACACTCAAGCACGTGACAGTAAGGCAAGGGCAGAGAGAGTCGGCTTCTGCAAGATACTGGTATCAGAGCAGGAACCTGACCTGCGATTCGGTCGGTCCATTTCTTCTTTATCTATCACATCATTGAGACTGGACACAGTGCACTGTACATCTCAAACAGGGAAAGTCTTTTTCAAATGTTCTCTTCACTTCATATGTTCCCGTCTGTCCTCGGTGGGAAATTGCATGAGCAAGATTCCGTTTGTTGTCACCCCGTTGCCTAGAGAAGATTTTATCAACACCGGCCAACCCGCGACTCTCACGATCTCCTACCACACCACACTCGTGCATCCCGCCACGAACAACACACCGCCTTCACAGCTCGACACGAGACTACTCTACGTGAAGGCCGCACCTGCTTGGCCCTGCGCGTTATTGTTGGACCCTTTCCTAGAAATTTTGGAGCTTCCGCACACAAGAGTAGGCTTGATTGAAATCTCCTCACGACCGTGTCTCACAACCACAACAGGACCCGCGACTAGACATCCAGCACAACATGTCTGATCCCTTCGATGCCCGCAAGAAGCGGCCGCCTCCTATCCTCATTCCGGCGGTCCCTCGAATCACAGCGACCACCCAGGCTACGCGGACTAACACTAATGAACAGGAACAGGGGAAGAGGCAGCAGCAGCACCAGCTGTCATTGTCTCAGCAGGGTTCGCGCTTTGCAAGTTCTCCACTAACCTCACCTCTAGAGCATGATGTTTCGCGCGTTCCGCTACCAAAGTCGGGCTCGCAGAAGAGCCGCGCATCCGCCATGACGAACCTGACGAATCTTATCGAGGAAGCGCGTCAGCCAATGCAACAGCTAGAGCTTGTTGGGATCGGTGGGTCATCACGCTCAAAACATTCAGCGAACTCGGGCCAGGCGGGGCTTGGACTGCACGAGAGAGCTGAGAAAACAACGCGTGCCTGGATTGAGGCTCGATCTGAGGAGCATGTGTTCAAGATTGCTGGTCAGATCCCGCCCCCGCACCTAGTCGGTAAGTGACACAGTACCTGCAAAAGACTCTATTGTCCAATACTAACAGCAATAGACGCAGTCGGCGATGATGAGGTACTTGTCAAGACAAATGATCTACGAAAGGAATGTCGAGCTGCCAGCGAGGAGCAAAAGGGAAAGTCGCAAGGCCTGGTCAAGAGCCCAAAGAAGAAGCTATTTGGCATGCATCTCCCAAACTTTGGCAGGTCCTCGGCGCCGAACCCGCCGCCTATGCCGTCCAAGGCTGCTCAAGTCCTCGGTCATGAACCCCGAAATTCGAAAAAGGCGGTGCGATCCGGCAAGTCAACTGCATCACAAGAAACGCCAACCAAGGCCCCTCGATCAGACACATCGAAGTCACTGCCAGTGAAGCTATTGGACCAGGACAAGCACGCACGAAGCCACCATACGGGTGCTACTCGCCGTAACCGAGACATCAGTCGCAGGTCTCCCCCGAGGATCAACAAGCTGCCTGCGACTGCCTTCAACCCATTCCTTGGTACAGAATATTCGCAGGCATCTGCTCCACCTCCAACACCGCCTGCCAAGGATACGCCCCCAGAGGGAAGACAGCCCGTGCAGCCCGCCAGCCCGCTTCGCCGCACAGCACAGTTAGACGGACTGCGTGAGATTTACAAAGCCGATGTCGATGTTGCTGGTGGTCCACTCCGATTCCCCGCTTTCGCCTTGTCGCCGTCTCCCATCAAAACTTTCGAAGCTGGATTTGCTGGCAAGAGCCCGTCCAAGCAGATCCCAGGCACCGCCGAGGACTATCAGAAGTTGATAGCGGGTCAGCCATTGCCATGGCCCTCTCCGTTGAGAGATGACTGTAATCAAGTGCGAGTGGGTGACCAGCCTGCATCAGCTCAAGGCAAGGTCGAGGACACGCAGGACACCGATTCTTTGTACCGTGATGATCGCTGGAGTGCAGAGAAAAAGGAGCACGGAGACAGCCGCGATGCAGCACTGTCTTACCGACTCTCGAACCCACCAAACCTCCCTCAGCCCAATGAGCACTCAAGCAGCGAGTACGCACCGTACGTCTACAGCAACCATGGCAGCCACCATTACAGTCCGCTACAGCCTAGATTCTACTCACCATCGGACCGTTCTGTGCTGAAGTTTGCGGACGGAGAGACCCCATCTAAGAATGTAAGTCCACCACCCCTGCCGTCATGTTCTCTCACCTGCAAAATCGGGAGTGTTTGGAAGGCGCCTGCCTCGCCGTGCCTCCTGCCGCCTTCACCTAGCCGCCCCACTCCTTCGCTTCTGCCTCACCCATTGTCCTTGAATAATCATGCTGACAATAACCACAGTCCGACACTACTCGCTTCTACTGCACTGTTCCCTCAAAAGGCGACCCTGACTCCAATAACCCTTCGATTGAAATGGTGTTTCAAGGTGACGCGCACGACATCGACCCTCAGTCTTCTACCGGCCGCTTGGTTCACAACGACCACCCGGAGTCAATGCGAGTACAGATGCGCGACAATTCCGAACTTGCGGCTCGGGTCATGCAAGAGCTTCGAATTGGCGAGCAGCACGGCCAACCTCCACACCAGGGCGAAACCAATGGCCGCCTCCAGCCTGATCAGTCTTCATCAGGGCTCACAGACTTGTTGAATGGAGTGGTTCTTGGACGTGACAGCTATGTGGATAGGTTCAATCCCGGCTGCCTCAGCGCAGTTCCCAGCCCACTGCACAAAGCGCCAGCTCCTGCCACCCCAATGCAAGGAATACCCCCGAGGCAGAATTCTCCGGTGCTAGTGGGATCCACTTACATGCCCAAGAATATCGAAGACCACTTCTACATGACCAACGAGCACCTAGATGTGGTGGGCAAGTCGAACTGGGATCAGACTGAGACGCTGAAGGAGCTGCACGAGACATCTAACCACAGACATGCCCAGCTCATCACGGCAGTAGAGCAACTCGTCAAGGAAGTCAAGATGCAGGTCGATGCGATAAACGAAAAAACGGATCACACAACTGAGCAGGGCGACAGCATCAACAACAAGCTCGAACAGCTGTTCAACTTCATTAGGAATGACATTATGGGTGTTTTGGCCGCACAAGACAAAAAGGCTACAAGCGTGGAGCAGAGCATCAAAGAGCTCGAGAAGACTGTCCACGGCATGCAGAAGATGATGGAGCAGAAACAGTCGGAGGTGAAGGCGGTCCAGCAGCATACTCCTGTTGCTGCTCACGCTACCCCCAACTCGCCTTTCCTTCACCGGGCGCAGACCTCTCTTGCAGGCTTCTATGGAAACATGACCGAGTCTGGTCGCGAGGGCCCGCCGGGTCTCCCGATGCCAGAGCGCACCAGCAGCCTTGCCTATGATGGCCACAACGACACGCGTGCAGGATACGGCAGCAACTACGGCCAGCAGTGGGGTTCGCGTTCCAACTTTCCAGGTCGCAACGGCAAGGAAGAGCGTCCCTACTTGGGCAACAACCCCTACCAGTACGCTGCTAATGGTGCAAACGGTGGGCAGTTCGGCAACGGCTACAACGGCAACGGCTACTCTCCGTACAGTCCAGCTGAGCAGCCCTACAGCTTCCACCAGGGTCCGACAAAGTGACGGGACATTGAGTGCCTCTAGGGTAACATGAGAGATTGGTGCAACAGTGTAAAGGGCATCATGGCGACGGATGGATGGACGGTGGCATTTGGCACAGCCAGGCATTCGTACGATGTATTGGATTTTCCCACTTCTCCACTCTTTTGCAGGGACAGACATGCTCCGACTGAGGTAGCATCGTCTTGGAGGACGAAGAATGAGCCAATGTAGCAGCATCAATGGAATGAGATAAATACAGATACGACGCCCAGATGACGTGCACGCGCAAATGTGACTATTGAGGATGTGTCTCGGCTTTTTTGGAGTTACTTGGCGGCGCGGGATGGTGGGTGCAAAGCGGCTGCATGAGGCTCCTTGCTCCGCTGCAGTGCGCCTCAGACACAGATATCAACAACAAAACAACAAAACAAGATTACTGACAACATCGCCTTTCCACCTCATGATCTCACTATTGCGATTTACAGCACCGTTCGCAGCCTCGTAGTTGGCTGCTCCAGGCTTTCGGTCGCGCTAGCGCCTTTAGTGCACGCGCCTCTTCTTTAGGATTACCCTCTTGATGGGCACAGGGCACGTCGGATATCAAGCCGCCGCCTTGTACAAACACCATGGCCATGGAGGCTGACCTCGAGTCACCCTCACGGGACATCGCGTCCTTGGATCCAACGTCAGACGGCCGCCTGGCGGACACCCACAACGAGTCCCGCGAACGAAGCTATCTGGACCCCGCAAACAATACCACCTACGGCCCCTCGGCGCAATCGAATGCTACCTCGACCGCATCAAACGCATTGCGACCCTCCCTCGCGCGCGGTAATAGCAACTTCCATTACCACATCCGCGCCCCCTCGACCGGTCTGACCCTCCAGACAGACTTCTCCCACCACCACCACCACCACCAGCCCCCGCCCCCCACGTCCACACTGGAGGGCAACGAGAACGAGTCGCTGCGGCAGTCGGCCACGGCGCCGATTGCAATCCAGGACCAGAGCTATCTGAGGACTGCCTGGTCTTCCAACAGCATTGGGTCGCTGTCACCCGGCTCCGTGCTCTCGTCACCCGCACTCAACGCCCTCAGCGACCTCACCCCGCTTCCTTCGCCGTTGGTGATGAGCGACTCCCCAGGCCCATGGCAACGAGCTGCTGTACCGCGACGCCGATCGCGGGGCCTCTCAGGCGCCTCCCTCGGCGAGAATCTCTTCCCCCTCACCAAAGGCACTCTATCGCCGTCGGGATCGCTCAAGAAGAAAGGATACCAGAGGTTGCAGGAAGCTGCTATTGAGGGCTCGCATCAGAAGAACGAAGCGGCTCGAGAGCGCAACAGGAGCATCAGTGAATACACCCCAGACGCGTTGCACAACGCCCGCCCCCGTAATGTCACCATAGGCAGCGTGACGACCGAAAGTGACTCGGGCATGCCGCACATGCACCGTGAAGCCTACCTCGCGCCCCAGCGGGGCCTCGTCTCTGACCGGAACCCCGCGGGTCTTCCAACCCCACCCGCAAGCAATGCTAGTAACAGAAGCGTCACAGACACCGAGGAAGAGGATGTAGCGGAAGATGACAAGACTGAGTATATCGTGGTGCGCCAAGGTCCAGAACGGACCAAGAAACTCTGGCGCCCTGTCCGTCTGCTCGGCCAAGGCACCTTTAGCAAAGTCTACTTAGCCACATGTGAAAAAACCAAGGCCAAGGACCCGTTGGACGAAGCCACACTTGATCCTCGCAAGCTCGTTGCCATCAAAGTCGTCGAGCACGGTCCCGCTGGCGGTGCCGACGAAGAACGTGTAGAACTCAGCCTGAAACGTGAAGTCGAGATGCTCCAATCTGTTTCCCATCCTTCCCTGGTTCATCTACAAGCGTTCGATCACGACGACGCCCAGGCCCTAATTGTCTTGACTTACTGCCCAGGTGGCGACCTCTTTGATGTGGCCAGCGACCACCGCGATAAGCTCACCGTCGGCATCGTCCAACGTATCTTCGCCGAAATGGTCAGTGCGGTGCGGTATCTGCATAACAAGCTCATTGTGCATCGCGACATCAAGCTAGAAAGTACTGCTCACCATTTTTCACACCGCTCAGACTGGTATGTGCACCTGACCTGGATGTATACTAATCGAGCACAGACGTCCTGCTTAACATTCCCATCTCCACTGTGCCTATGCTCAAAAACCCTCAAACCCATCCATACGCCATAGCGACCCTGACCGATCTCGGTCTCTCGCGCCGCGTCCCTGCTCCCCCAGAATCTCCCCTGCTTACCACGCGCTGCGGAAGCGAAGATTACGCCGCTCCGGAAATCCTCCTCGGCCAGCCCTACGACGGCCGTGCGACTGACGGTTGGGCCCTCGGTGTCCTGCTCTACGCCCTCATGGAAGGTCGCCTCCCATTCGACTCACCCCCCGGCAAACCCGCCCGTGGTAGACCCGTGCACCGCATCGCGCGATGCGACTGGGGCTGGGTCAAGTTTGGTGACGAGGACGGCGAGTGGGATGATGTGAAGGGGAAAGAATGGGCTGGCGCGCGCGAGTGCGTCGAAGGACTGCTCAAGAAAGTCAGCCGTGGGCGCAAGGGCCTGGAGGAGATTGGCGAGATGGAGTGGGTGCAGAGGGGGATTCAGGTTGAGGGGGGCTTGAAGAGTAGGCTTGAGGATGAGGGTGCGACGGCAACGACGACCCTTCCTTCGAGGTAGTCGTTATTGAAGAGTGGATGGGTTCGTGGAGTGCTAAATTTTCTTTCAATGCGCAGCACGCTGTCGACGGACTTGAACACCCAGCCGTCGATTTGTATCCGGCGATTTTCTGTCCTTCTTCTTCTTCTTCTTCTTCTTCTTCTTCCCAAGCGTTCCATTTACGCTTGACCCCCGTTCGAGGCTTCTGATTTCTTACACTTTACATTCTTTCCTCTTTTTTTTTTCGCATCATCGCTCGGCGTTTCGTTCTTCTTGATACCTGGGCATGAGACTAGATTCACTAAAGCATCGATCAAAAAAATGCTTCTCGATTTTGTTTGGGAGGGAGCGATGGGGTTGGCGCTTTGGGTAGCATGGGCGTGTGTGTTTTGAGTAGGGTAGGGTAGGTAGGAAAAAAATAAATCAAAAGACAGATTATGTTTCATTGGGGCGCTGATGCGTGCAAGGGGTGGAAGAAGTTATGTTGAACGGTATGCGGTGGTGGAGTTGGCTGTGAAATTGGAGGGATGACAGAACGAAGATTGCTTCTATGGAATACAAAATGCAAAAGGGAAAAACATGTTGGTATTCACATTCATAGGAGCGTTTCTGGAGTTACATGGCAGCCTGTGTATTCCCATAGTAATCGATGGCAGTGTTGGGATTCGCGGATGTGTGTGTGTGTGTGTGTGTGTGTGTGTGTGTGTGTGTGTGTGTGTGTGTGTGTGTGTGTGATGACGTCACGCGTTGTCGCGATGTCTTGGCGTGTTTGGAGCTCTTCGCACTCTCTGTTCTCGCTTCAGAGTGACAGTTCGAACTGCTATGTTTCTGCAAAGCGTGTTTTCGAGGACTCGTTAGTTGACGACTATCTGAAAAGTGCGAGTAGTTGATCAGACTTGCGCAGGGTGTTTGAGGGGAGCCGGAAGTGCTCGTGAAGTACTTACGTAGGGCGCTTTCTGGAGCAGTCCGTTGGTTTGAACATTTTGTGCCTTGCGATGGCATTTCATTCTTTTCGTTTACCTGTCCTAGGATGTTAGCGGCACGGTCTAGGGATTGCTAACGGTCAAGATTGCGTTGCCGTCATGGCATCTTGGGTGCTGACGGGGACACCCGCCTTCGACATGGAGTGAATGACTACCTACCGTGCAGAATTGCTAAGAGATGGAAAACCGGAGGTCGATTTGCAGATTACGTTGTTTTCAAGAGATATCCTCTGATGCTCATCGTATCAGGCACTTACAAGTGGCCAAGGCGACCTTGCTGCGCGAAAACATGAGCAGAAGCACTGCGCCGCTTGCGCTTTGATTGGCACAAAGGGCGGACGGACAGAAAATGGTGTGCGAATGTCGGAGGCTGTGCTGACCAAGGCAGAGATGAGGCTCTTACTGCACGCCGGTTGGCCTCCCTCGAACGCCAGCCCGTGCGCTGTCGTGTATGACTACACCTTGATTGGACTGTCGAGACAGCATTCGAGACATCACATTGGCCAGCCAAGAAGCTGTTGCATATATCTTCAGGACTAACTCGATTCGCACACTTGTGGCGCATGGCAGGAGGTGCCATTGGTATTTGCAGCAGGGGTATTTCGGAATTCAGAAGAGTTGTGTACCCTGGTGATTCACATTTCAGAAGATTTGGTCCCGATTTACGAATTTTACTGCGCATCTCTCCAACTTCGCAAATACCATGGTATCGTCGACGACCTCTATAAAGAGGACATATCGGCTGGGCTTCGAGCTATAGTCGAGACCTTACCATCGCAACTTGGAGTCGCATACCAGTGGTCACCCACGACCATAATCGCATTCGCGCAATGGCCGAACACGATCTTCAATCTTCGTTTTCGACGAACGTCCACGAGGAGCAGAATGAGCAGCCACTGGCGCCTACAACACCTATTTCTTCAGACTCCTTACAACAATCGTCTGTCAACCCAGAGCTATGGTCTGCTGTAAGCGACACTGCCACCCAAACCTTGGCGGCCTTCAAAGCGCCTCGATTCTACGCTAGTTCTCAACAAAGCTCATCTGACACTGGTACCAACACCTTCGTTGACGATGACTTGGCCGAGACCAGATCCACAATTTCACATACTGTCAGGACTCGTCGAGGGGTTGCGAAGCGGTCCAAACTCTTCAGGTCACAATCGTGTGACGATCTAATCTTACGGTCACCCTCCATTCTGCCAGAATGTAGCTTCGGAAAACATTACCTCGACACAGCTCAAAAGAGAGCACGACGTGCAATTCTAGATTTCGTGGACGACATCAGGAAAGCACTACCTGAGGGTCACGCACTCCGAATAACTCCCGCTTTGGATGGCACGACCATTCAAGATTCTTCAAGCACGAGATCCCGATCACTATCAGGTGCAACTCTGAATGATGACTTAGACACTTCAGACCTGTTCTGGGATGGAAGCACTCTTGGCTCAGTTAACGCAAACGCTGTCACCAATGCGACCGAATTGTTTCAAATATCTCCACTTGAAGAAGAGCTAGACCTGGAACTGCTCAGATTGTCACAGGAAAAGTCACATACTGCCGACACTGCATGCGCCTTCTGCGGTTCTGTATTCTCTGGCCCTGATCAACGGCAGATGTGCATCCATCACATCCTCAATGTTCACCACACCATTGCCAATTCTCCAGCGACTGTCAAGCAGCAGGCTCTCAGCCCCAGGCGACTTACCAAGACGCCCGACAAGGTGGGAAGCAAATGGCTCTCTGTAGACCCATCGGAGACGATGGAATCTCGGAGCGATGCTCCCCTGTTGTCTAGCAGTCATCTATCACGGATCGATCTCGATTTGCTGGGCGTTGGTGCTTGGTGCTTAGAAGAGGACTGGATAAGACTAGACGCTGCCAGGCCCATTATAGCAGGGGTCGTTCTAACTGATGACATACAGATGGTGCGCCAGCCGAATGCTAAGGATTTGTTGGACACAATATTGACACTCTCTCGTCGTGATGGCCCCGAAGCTGACACGGAGCGTATTAACGATCTGTTTAACGGGCTCGATGTTGTCGTTGAAGACCTGTCTCGCCGATTGTCAGTAACACGAACTTCTAGACACACATAATGCTGACTTGTGCTTTCAGCCCTGAAGATGAGACGGTTCGTTGCATCTCTAGCGTTCTGAACTCAGTTGCACAAAGTGCGGTCCCAAGCACGCACAGCCCTCAAGGCAATTCACCGATTTCATACACCAGCAGACCAAGCGGTGTGAGGACGTACCCAGTCGCACAAGAAAGTGGGTCCGCGAATCATTCCGGCTTAAATCTTGATCTAGCTGGGGGCGAGCAATATACCCAGAGCTCTTCAGGAAGTTCCTCTCCACTGGACGAACGTCTCGCTTCCAAAACCGAGACCCGCGCAACCCCGATAGTAAGCGTAGACGAAACGAAAAAGAAGTCCAAGCTTCGAAATTTAGCATGTCCGTTCAGAAAACACGATGAGGTCCATGGACGCCATCCAACCTGTAGTCATCAAGGATCGTCAAGCATGTCTGGCCTCAAGGGACATCTGAAGAGCAACACACACAACAAGGATTTAGACTTCATCAGTCTTTGCCGGAATTGCGCATATTATATCATCAACGTAAGCGAATGGCAGACTCTCCATCTCACAGGGCTTTGCATTCAACACTTAGGGAGATCGACCAAGCAGATTCGAGGTGAGGGAGCCGTGAAACAGTGGCAAAATCTGTACATGAAGGAATTCCCGGACTCGCAAAGAATACCGCATCCTTGTATGTATATTCCTTGGGCATGCCAAAGTAGTTGCTGATTTTACGTGATAGACACGCATAATCAATCGTGGCAGTACAAGAATGTCTGGACGCAACGACAAGATGGAGAATACCGCGCCATGAGTGCCCCTGTCAATTTCGACTTCAACCAGTCATTTTCGCCGCAGCCAAACCAGAGAATCAGCGTGTCTAGTACGCGTGCGAACTCAACAATACCAAACGTCTCCCCGGCTTACCAGTCACGTAATGCTACTCTCGAACCGATGACCGCCGAAAATGGAGGTCAGCTCAGCACTCCTATTACTGGGTCACCAGATGCTCCCCAGACTTTTTTAGAGGAGCCACATTCCACAACATGTGACCTTTCCATGGCGACAGGTCTTATGCCTTTCCAACAGCACTCTGAGATGCACGAAGCCGCTTTCTTTCCTCTCGCTTCCACTTCATCACGAGCTGGGCAGCATGATCTTACCGGCATCTATTCAAACGACACGCCGTACCAGTCACCGTCACATCCGACCCCTATGCCGCAAATCTCAACTTTACCGACATACCCTACCGCCATGCATTCAGAACCGCAGGGCAGCAACTTGCATGAAATTCGCATTGCAACACTATCGGGTCCTTGCGGATTGTCTGAACGGCTGTTTACAAGCAGTCACCGCCTCTAGTTGGGCTCTGCAGGCACAACGCATTTCCCAAGTGCACGGGATGGATACGGAAGAAGTCCAACGCGCTTGGGGACGAATTGTTAGAGACTATCAAGCGCAGGGTCGAGCAGATTTGCTCCGAGGCAGCTGCTGGAGACCAGGCGCCTGGCAGCACATGAGTTGCTCCGCAATATCGCGCGGTTAGAAACATGGAGCTTGTGGTCGTTCATCTAATATTCCTATACGCATTTTATAGGGCAAAAAGTGCAATACCCATCACAGTAGCGACTCGTACGCGCGAACCCGCAAGAAAAAAGAAGACGCTCATCCAACTCAAAGCAAGCCTCGAGGCGTACATCCAACACCTTAATAGAGAGGGCGAGTGAATTCTTTCGGAATACTCATGAAGCGTGTTGTATATGTATTACAAAAAGAGCCATTTCGATAGAGAGATGTATAAATGCACGCGCACGTCACGTGCTGCCGCTGAGTGTGCTCCACACGCGCAAAAGAAAAATTCTAAAATTACAGATTAGGTATGGAAGAGTTGCATCCGATCGAGCGCGAAGTACTGGTCACCATCAAATGTCGGATAGCCGCTTGTACGTGGCGTTTGACGATCAGACGCACACGACCTTGGAGTATTTCATCGAATCTATACACGCAATATGACGCGGACAGCGTTACAGAAACTCTAGATGCAATGGTAGCAATCACACAACCATACTAGTAACAGAAGAATATATGTTCCTCACACATGGCCTAGATGATGTCTAGTAAGCCCATAAATATGTGAATTGTTGGACATGATCATGTCCTTTCATTGTAACAAATGCCATGGAAATATGAAGTGTCGCAAGAATGTTATGCGAAGCACTAAGCCAAGAGTTGAAGATAATGCTCAATTACTATTTCCCTCAAGGTATCAACAGGAGAACTAAAAAACCCGCTCGGCAGGAACTGTGCCTCGCACTTGCGCTCCTCCGGGGTGACGCTCAAAATACCATATCCATTATAACACAAACGTCCACGCTTTTCTTACAATCAACTATTGTCGGGCGGCAGCCAACTTATGCCTTAAACTGATACACAGCGTTAGTGAAATGGCCAGGTCAGACAATGGTTGACACAGACCTACTTGATAGTAGGGCTGAAGTTGATGTCGGGGAGCTCGATATTTGGGAGCACGACGTTGGGCAGCGTTGTGTCTGGACTTACGGAGACAGAGTTGCCGTTGCCAGCCTGGTTGCCGTTTCCGGCGGAGTTGCCGTTACCGTTGCCATTCTGTGTGGTCATTAGTACTCGTCATTTCAATCGTGAGAGTGGAAAACTTACGCCAGCAGAGTTGCCATTGCCGTTTCCGTTTCCGTTGCCGTTGGCAATGTCCTTGAAGGAGTTGCCTGAGCCGGCAGTGGGGTTGGTGATGGAGCCAATGGTGTTGGTGATGCCGCTGAGGCCGTCGAGAAGACCGGGCTGAGCATCACGCTCCTTCAGGCCGAGGGAGGGGAATTTGATCGTGTTGCCGTTTCCAGCGCCGTTCTTGTTGCCAGCCTCGTTTTTGTTGCCATTGTTGTTACCGGCCTCGTTGTGATTGCCATTACCGTTCTGAGTGTTAAGTTAGCAGTGCTTCGATATCTGATATACTTAGTGACTTACTCCATTGCCGTTGGCAATGCCCTCGAACTTGTTGTTGTTACCAGCTCCAGGGTTAGTGATGGAGCCAATGATGTTGCTCAACTGGGGAGTAGGTGCTGAGTAGGCAGTAGAAGCGAACGCGCAAAGGGCGACGGCGACGAAGCTTGTGGAACGCATGGTGACGGTTTAAATATGGTGGAGGAACTGCCTTAAAAGCTGGAGCGAGGAGAAAAGGGTTGATGGACTAGACTGGAAAGTTTGAGCTGGATAATGGTTCTTAGACGAACGTTCGAAGCAGTTTATATACAATTCATTTCCCAAGGTCGCTGTACATCTGCCCCAGTCTCGCGCTGACAATGATCGTCATCCTCTTCCTAGGAGGAAAACGTGCAAGCCTCGTCCGTCATGTCGCTAGACCATCACTGCTGTAAAGTGTACCATAATGTGGGAATCATGAGCTTCTGCTTAACCGTCCACGGCTCTGTTACTGTAGATCCATAGCAGAGGCTCCAATGCCCCATGCCGATCAGTATTGGGACTAGGACGGACGACGTTGCCGCTGTCCAATGGCAGCATGGGAAGTCTCGGCAAAGTGATTGAGTTGAGCATCGGGATTATAGGAACATGGAGCTACATAGACAAGGTTAGCATGGTTCCGAAGCTAAAACTGTGCGGCGAGTCGAAGGGAGGCTCGGGGCCGAGCGGCAGTCAAACTTCCGGAAGGTTACTTTGGAGAGCAGTCAAGCCACCCACATCTGGGTGATGTCAGGGACTTTGGGGGTCCGATGATGCAAGCCGACGAATTATTCGGTGTTCCTGAGTTTTGACTGATTGAACGAACAGTGACAAACAGTGACGGAGCATTGAAGAAGGAAAAGATTTCGAGCCAGAACGGTAGCATGGAAGTGCGCGAACACGATCGAGATTGCATTGCCTTATCCGTGCAGTTCGTGCTGCTTGGTGAGTTGCACCCGCAACCTTCAGCCTCCCCTGAAGATCAGAATTTACCGAGACATGGGAAACAAACCCCTTCGGAAGCAATTGCATTCTGCGTCATCGGCAAAACACGATTAGCGGATTGAAGATCATCTGAATGTGGGTGCCACGATCGGCGTGGGTCTAGCCGTAGCAAGGGTCGCGTAGATCTAGCGCAAGCCACGTTCCAGAGTGATCAAACCTTGTTGCTGTCAGGGCGATGATGGTACTTGCAATTGATCATGTTGTTGAGAGTGACGATGATGTTTATCCTAGAGTACATCTTGAAGTACGTACGTAGTTTTCTACCCCCTTCCTGATATCGAGATCTTGCCACTTGCCATGACACGCGCAAAGGAGAAACCGGCTTGTTGAGAGTAGCACACTAATTTTTTTCGGTCATCCAAGCATATGTAGTGATGTCGCAGCGCTTCTCGCTGGTACAATCTTCCCTTCTTACGCCTTTTCCCGTCGGCCTGTCAAATACATCGCTTTTCGTTTTCACAGTTCTGTTTGGTAACACCTTGAGTCATTTCATCTGTGACGGGGTTTTACTGCTGCCTGTGTAGCATGATGGCGATTGTCAATATTCTCATGACGAAATTCAACACCTCCACGAAAAACGCGGCAGCAATACCCATGAGAAGATTTCATGATGCATGAAAAATATTTACGTCTTTTTCAAGCTTTTGATTTTGGATACGATCAAGCTCAAACTCTTACCTCGCCTCAGTCAATATCGCTGAGACTTACTTGATCCACTAAAAGTCTTTCTATCTTTAAACATACAAATCAATTCCTAGTAATGAGATATTTTCATGAACAAAACCCCTCCACGCCCAACTAGATCTTCGACAGTACTGAGTTAGGTCTAACGACCCCCTCAATCCAAAAGAGCAGATTCGGCTTCTCCAAACCTCCGTCATCAACGGTGAAGAAAATACTCACCCGTTTAACCACGCGATGGCCCAGCTCCGCCTTGTGTTGCGCAAGCAACCAGGCAACGCCGCTTCCATTCGGTGTTCCCAACAAAGCTACAGCATCCAAATTATCCATTGGGATGGTTCGGCCGGGCCAAGCCATCCTAACCTGAGGGCCATCATTAATCGAATAAACTACCGCGCTGTACCCAAGCACGCTGGATATGACCGCAATGGTGTCCTGATTCTCGATGCCCGCACGCAGGACATAATTCAACGGCGGGATAGACAAGCCAAGACTCGGAAGCAAACACCACTGTAGAAAAGCTACATCAGACCAGTGCCGCAAAATAGGCAAAGGCGGCGGGTTCTCTGTACCAGGAAGTACACGAGGCGCATGGTTATTCGTTGCAACAATCATACCCGCTCGAATGTTCATCACGGAGCCAAAGTTCGCGTGCATAGATGGAATATGCACGCCGTTGATTTCAACGGCCCTTTGAAGGAAGTGCATCATGTCGATGTTGTCGCCACCCTTGCCGTTGTCTTCTTCGGCGCGCACGCATACGTCGGTGCCCATTTCTCGCAGCATCTGTGAGAGTGTGTCAATCGTCTCGTCGCAGCCGTAGCGTAGAAGCCCGTAGCCGTGTTTCTCGAGGTCGCCTGGGACGAATTGACCTGAGCCTGGTGCTGGGATGGGTGAGTGCATGAGGGCGAGGAGCTTGTGGCCTTTGAGGACTGCTGTTGTGTAAGTCAGTGTCTTTGGTGCTGGCGCCGGTGCGGAATACATTGCTGTTGAGTCCATTTTGTTAGTCGAGTCTTGGGGCTATGTTCTGGGAGCACAAAATTCGTGGGAAATACATATATCCTACATTGACGTGTCGTTGTGAATGCACAATGCTTATGCATCGTAAAGTCGAACACATCACTCTAAATAAAGCTACGGTCAGTGGTGCACCAGCAACTCCAGAGGTTTGCACAACGTTTCCGCAGTTGATACCATTGATGTTCAAAAAGCGGCATGCACGTGGGAATTGTATCTGCTAAGTTATTCAAGAGGTCAATAATCCACAGTTAAATTCACGGCTCCTGCTAAGCAAAAGCATGAATCGCCACGCTCTTGATTTCATCTCAGCTTCGACATAGTAAAGTGCTGCGCCTTGTGATGCAGCCTTTTCAGTGAGGGGGAAATGTCTTGAGACCCTGGCGTTGCACATCCGTGGATAAGACTTCAACTCCAACTTCCGTCACTGCTTTACCGCCTCATGCGACTTGATCTATTCCTATTACCTTCTATTTTGATACTAGCTGTCTCGCAAGTAGCCTTGTCTTTGTAAACCTGTATAAGATATCTTGGAACATATCCATTGTATTTGTATTGAGCAATGCCTCCTGTCCACATTTATTTGATAGAATTTCCAGATTTAGTGGTCTTCCTCTCTATCGAATAGAGCATCCAGCATTCTTGTGCGATAGCCCCTCGAGTGGCGCAAGATCGAAGCGGAGATGTGAAAAAAAGCTGACATAAGCGGTCATGGTCATTTCACATGTGGTGAAGGATGATGGGAGTGGCCAGGGTATCTTATACCGCCAGCAAAGCATGCTGTTGATAATTTTTCAAATCTGTAATTTCCAGTCACTCGAGGCTTTCATCACAGCACAAGTACACAAACGGCAAAAGGAATTCAAAGAATTTCATTATCGATGACCATCTCTCGGACAATATATCATGCAAAGAAATCCAAAACTTCTCGGTGGGGACTCTCATGCGCCTGTGCACAAAATGTTCCTCAGGATGATGCTCAAAACACTACACCTATGCAGAGTCGCGCACCTTCAGACAAACAACCATCAGGAAGAGTCATCATCAGAGCTGGAGGCTTGTCCTGGTCCATTTCTGTTGCTAGCAGTCTGGGGGCTACGAGTCTTCAGACTGGGAGGGCCCTGGGCTTGGGGGACGTTGGGCCTGATGCCGTTTTCATTCTCGCCGTTCTCTCCCTGGGCGCTGCGACGGCCAGACGGGTTGAGGGCGTTCTCAATGGACTCGAAAGCAGCACCTGGGCCCTGGGCGCTACGACGAGAAGGCGGGTTTGCTTGGGGGAGGTTGTTGTTCCCGCCGTCGTCCTCAACCCTGCCCTGTCTCTGGGGACTGCGCACCTGACGACCGGAAGGGTTGAGAGCGTTCTCAATAGACTCGAAAGCAGCACCTGGGCCCTGGGCGCTGCGACGGCTGGAAGGGTTGAGGGCGTTCTCAATAGACTCGAACGCAGCACCTGGGCCCTGGGCGCTACGACGAGAAGGCGGGTTTGGTCGGATGAGGTTGTTGTTTCCGTCGTCCTCAATCCTGCCCCCCGGTGCCTGGGGACTGCGTACCTTACGGCTAGAAGGGTTGAGAGCGTTCTCAATAGACTCGAACGCAGCACCTGGGCCCTGAGCGCTGCGACGACCGGAAGCAGGTCGGAGTCTGTTGATGGCATCGGAAATGGGGTCCTGTGGGGCCCTGGCATCGAGCTGGGGTCCACGAGACTTTAGAGTGGAAGCAGGTCGGAGTTTGTTGACGGCGTCATTGACGGCGTTTTCTGCTGGTTGCGTATCGGTCTGGGGTCCACGGCCGTTGATAGTGCCAGTTGGTGCTGAGTAGGCTGCAGAAGCGAACAAGCCGAGGGCAATGGCGAGGATCTCTGTAGAACGCATGTTGAAGATATGGGTATGTTGCAGGTAAAAAGTAATTGACAAGATGGAATAGTAAAATGAGTGGATAGAATGTAGTGTTGAAGTGATGAACTGTATTATTGGAGGACCGGCCTGTAGTGTTGGATGTAGATATGGTTTTTCGAGACAGAGGTTGAGAAGCTCTTATATATACAGCGTGTCGGCACGCCGGAGTTGTCTCCTGTCTCATTGTAGCTATCTGAAAGTACCAGTGTGAAGTACCGTATGATTCCTGTAACGCCAATACAAAGCCGTGGATACAAAAAAGTGAAGAAATTCACGCTAAAGGTATACTAGATAGCAATTAAGGTAAGCTAAGCATTTCTCTAAGATGAATCAAGGCAGTTTTACACAGCACTGACATGTTTTTAGCCCTTAGCATCTTCACATCGAGATGTCTGCGACTCTGCCCAGGCGCAACGGCCCGTCAGTCTCGCCGAATGCGCTAGTAATGGAAGCTGCGTGAAACTCAAGATGTCGGTAAACTGGTCTGTTACCCCTTGTCCCCTGCCAGCGCTCCGCAACCTCAGGACCTCGGGAGGTTGGCGAGATCATGCTGCATTTATCAACGTATCGGCTAGCTGCTTGCTTGTTCTTGCAGGTTCAGAGACTGCTCTGAGCGGGAGATGGCTTCGCAACGAGACACTCTGGACGACGTTGATTCGAGAAAATGAGCTGATCTAGATGCTTGGTATAGCAGGCACGCGCATATACGCTGAATGCAGCTCTCTCGCGGTGATGACTCTATGCAGCTTTCCTTCGTTTCTGATATCCCTTATGACCACAATGAGGCCATCTAGCCGTGTAGCTAGTCGATAGCTGCCAGTGTTGACCTTTATCGCACTCCGCACTGTACTTCTCTCAAATGCTCGGCTCGATGCCGCTGATTGGGAAGGGCGACTGGATGCGCTTTTGCACATGGTCGCGAGAATTTCTGTAGACCTCTGTGAGATTGACGAAGAGTTGACGTCGAGATGTCTCATTCTTTCAAGATGAGGTCAAAGTCGTACTCTCTTTATCTCTCGTCGCCACTGTGCTCCCCTCTTCGACTGCGACTCCTGGTCCGACTTCTACTCGTCGAATCCCGACGGCCCCGATCACTTGGGCTGCGCGTCCTCCTCCTCTCTCCGTCTTCATAGCTACGACTGCGAGTTCGAGTCCGACTCCTACTCCTGCTATCATAGCTCCTACTCCGACTCCTACTATCATAGCTCCTCGTCCTGCTCCTCACACTCCCTTCACTCCCCTCCCTCTTCATGTCCTCATCCAACTCATCCACCTCATCCCCCAATGGACTCTCCCTGGGCTCCAACATATCCAAATCCTCCAGATTCGCCCTGCTCGGCAATTTCCACAGACTCGTTGCACACATGCGGTCCTTCGTGAGTAGGTCATCGATGAACTGGTCGACGTACGTGAGAGTAAACGCGTCTTTGAGCCGGCGCTTGATCTTGCGGTAATCAGTGAGCAGCGGCTCGAGCGTCTTGTAAATCTCGACAGGCTCCCATGCGAGGCGGATGTAGAAAGCTGCGAGGCAGCGCAGGTATTTGAATTGTCCAAGTTTGCCGGCGGCGTTGGGGTCTTGGGGTTTCTCATCCCCATCTTCCTCCTCCTCCTTCTTCACACCCCCCTCCTCGTCTTCCTCCTCCTCATCCCCCCCAAAATTCAAATACTCCAGCACAATCGCCTTCTCAGGTACCAGCTGGAGCATCTTAAACGCAAGGCACAAAAAGGGCGTCGGTTTCCCCGTGATGCCTGTTGTGCCGCCGATGAACTTGAGGTCGGCGGCGCGGTCGCACAGGGTCGCAGCGTTGAGGCCGAAACATTGCTCTTTCCAGTAGTAGGACTCGGTAATGCGTTCGCGCACGCCTTTTTCGAAGAGCAGCGCGGGATTTTGGCCGCGGATTAGGGCACCCGAGTAGCCGCGGTCGTCGAGGAGGGCGCGCTCATCGGCGCGGTCGAAACGGGGTTTAGAATTCGCCATTGGGTTCGCGTGTGTATTGTCGTATTATGGCATGGGGCTCAACGGAATCGCTTTTCGGCGTCGCAAGTAAATTTGGATTGGTGGCTGTGAAGCTCGAGATCTTGTCGGGACAATTTCATGGCGCCTTATCGATAGTCGCTTGGCCAACGTAGCGGTCAACACAGCCCTGCGCACATCTAGGCCCGCATGCACGTCACACCAGTCCACGACATAATCCCACTTGCACGAGCTGATGACTGCATGCTTCATGATACCTTTCACATAACATCTATACCTATTTTGATACCCAGTTTGCTCCTTGCTTCCTTCCACCATGGGGCGGTTACTACTGTCCTCGAGCCAAGTCTCCGTTATTCTTTCAGCTGTTATTAGTATGTCGGTTGATGCGACAGCAGCAGTACGTGCTAACATAGCCCAGTTTTCATGTTCACATTCGCTCTATTTCTCTCAGGATATGTCTTACAACAACGATACGTTCACAACCTACAGGCCGCGATAAAACCGCGCCTACCCAAGCCACTCGTACAACAAGTGATAGAACCGCCCAAGCTGGACGTAAAATGGGCGCGACCCATGGGAAGTCGGCCGGACTTGGACGACTCATATCAGCAATATATCGCGGGTCAGACCATGGATTGGAGCCGGTTGGGCTACGTTCAGATGGTCAAGGAGCGCGTGGAGCTGTGCAGCGCGGTGATGCTGCTGTCGGATCTGCATCGCATGAAGAGCCCGGCAAGGAAGATACTCATGTTCCCACGGCTGTGGCTGGCGGAGGCCGAGGAGACGAAGAAGGACCCGCAAACGGCGACGACATGGCGATTACTACGGACAGCAGCGCGGCGTTACGGAGTCACGCTGGTTCCCATGGAGCCCATCGTTGACGGAGCAGATGCGAATCTGGCGTCCTCATATTCTCTCGCCAGCATTTACTCGCTCGCCGAATTTGAGAGGGTTGTGTATTTGCAAGGCCCAGGCACGTTACTCGACGCGTCCGCGTTGGACTCGATGCTGGCATTCTCAAAGTCTGAGACGATAGCCGCGTTCCCAGCTTCGCCAGAGAGGAAAGAACTCTCGACTTCTCTGCTTCTTGTACACCCGTCGAAGGACACATTCCAGCAGTTAAAGGCGCAGAGAGCGTCTGCTTCCATCTCAGATCTGGAACTGTTTCGTGCAACATTTCCGGCATCTGAGTCGCTCATTGCAGATTGGACGCTGTCAAGGGGCAACCTGTACTACGAGTCACAAAGCCTCCGCGAGCCTGTCGACGAATTCAATGCCACAGCGTTTGAAGAATCGACCACCTATGTGCGATTGTCAGACCCGGAATTGCCCGGGCCAGAGTATGATGTGCCGTATTCGGACCGGGTGCGCCTTCGGCCCAAGAACCGCGAGGCCGAAGAGGTATGGAGCAGGCTGTACGAGGACTTCAGACAGCAGCGCATGGACGTGTGCGGACTGGACCTCGAGTACATGCCAGTGGTGCTGGACGGTCTGCTGTCGAAGACTGAGGCTGAGACGGAGCTATGAGACGAGCAACGAGGTTCCTCGAGACGAAGGATCCAGGCAATCCATGGTGCTGCATCGGCCGGAATGTATGATGCTGTCTCAGGCGCACAGGCGATCGGCAGGCCGTGGGATAGATGGGGTTGGTGTCGGTGGGGGACAGTGGTCGAGAACGGTCCGCATGCAGCATGACCGGGTATGTATATATGGATCATGCAGCCCCAGGACTCGGTAGCCGTGGCTCGCAGCGCTGGGACAAGTCAGGGCGCCATGACGCAACCGCCGGGCGCCCCGCCGAGAGAGAATGGGAACGTGAACGTGGCGGGAGCAATTGAGGCGCGGGAGGAGAATGCAGCACAGCGAGGGCGCTGGATATGTAGCGGGTGCAGCAATAGACATGTGATTATGCGGTGCAGACGGGCGGTTCCTAATGCAGGCGGGCTGGTGGAGCCAATGCTGCTTTGACGCACAGGTGGTGAAGGCGCGCATCGCAGCTGCTTCCCCGCGGTAACGTCAATCGCAGCACTTGCCAACCTCCCTGCCCTCCAGCTCTCGCCGCAGAGAGCGCCCATCCCATCCCGTCGCCATCCTTTGCCGCAACCCCCATTGTGCGCGTGCTGCATGCTGACACGCTGCCGCTCGCCATTGTGCCCGTCCGTCTGCGTCGCCTCGCTGTCCATTGAGGCCGCGCGCATTCCACGAGGGCCGCCGCTGCAGTTGGTCGTTGGTCGTTGGTGATCGCCCGTCCGCGGCACAGGAACAGCCACTGGCAGCGCCAGCCAGGGCAGCGCGCGAGCATTAGAGTTAGCACCAGCACAGCATCCAGCATTCCACTGCCTCTGCCTCCGCCGCCGCTCCTATGCCTACCCTCGGATTCCTCAAGAAGAAGCGGACGAAGGACTCGCAGGGCTCCAACGATCTCAACAGCCCGACCTCGCCCGTCGACTCGTCGACGCCGCTGACGCCCACGACGTCGAAGCGCACCTCGGGCTCCTTCCACCTGCACAAGACCAAGACGAACGACTCGACCAAGGCGGCGCCGACCACCAGCCCGCCCGCCGCCGCCGCGTCGCAGCACAAGCCCGCCGACTCGATGAACCCCGCGGGCTACGGCCAGCCGGCGCAGCAGCAACAGCACCAGCAGCAACAGCAGCACCAGCAGCAACAGCAGCACCACCCACACGCACAGCCGCTGGCCAGCCCCCACTCGCAGCCGCAGGCCTCGCACAACACGCCCAGCATCCAGAACCTGATACACCCCAACAACACCAACACCGCCAGCGCCTCGGAGCCCCCCCAGAATGGCGCCGCCGTGCAGTTCCAGACGCAGCCCCTCGCGCAGACCCGCGTCACCAAGGGCAAGTACTCCCTCACTGACTTCCAGATCCAGCGCACCCTCGGCACCGGCAGCTTCGGCCGCGTGCACCTCGTGCAGTCCAAGCACAACCAGCGCTTCTACGCCGTCAAGGTGCTGAAGAAGGCCCAGGTCGTCAAGATGAAGCAGGTCGAGCACACCAACGACGAGCGCCGCATGCTGCAGCAGGTCAAGCACCCCTTCCTCATCACCCTGTGGGGCACCTTCCAGGACTCGAAGAACCTGTACATGGTCATGGATTTCGTCGAAGGCGGCGAGCTGTTTAGTCTGCTGCGCAAGTCCCAGCGCTTCCCCAACCCCGTCGCAAAGTTCTACGCCGCCGAGGTCACCCTCGCCCTCGACTACCTGCACTCGCACAACATCATCTACCGCGACCTGAAGCCCGAGAACCTGCTGCTCGACCGCCACGGCCACCTCAAGATTACCGACTTCGGCTTTGCCAAGGAAGTGCCCGACATCACATGGACGCTCTGTGGAACGCCCGACTACCTGGCGCCTGAAGTCGTTGCGTCCAAGGGCTACAACAAGTCCGTGGACTGGTAAGGATACCTCTCCCGTTCAATTGATTGAATGCTAACAGCACAGGTGGTCACTCGGCATCCTCATCTTCGAAATGCTGTGCGGCTTCACCCCCTTCTGGGACGGCGGCTCGCCCATGAAGATCTACGAAAATATCCTCAAATCGCGTGTCAAATACCCGCCCTACATCCACCCAGACGCGCACGACCTGCTGCAGAAGCTCATCACCCCCGACCTGACCAAGCGACTGGGCAATCTCCACGGCGGCAGCAAGGACGTGATGAACCACCCGTGGTTTGCGGAAGTCACCTGGGATCGGTTGCAGAAGAAGGACATTGACGCGCCCTATGTGCCGCCGGTCAGAGCTGGCGTCGGCGACGCTAGCCAGTTCGATAAGTATCCAGAAGAGACGGAAGCATATGGACAAGCCGGTGATGACCCGTGCGTGCAGAGTCCTCCTTACACTGTAGACCACATTCTGACGTGTCCGAATAGCCACGGGCACTTGTTTCCGGACTTCTAGATACTCTCCTATACTATACGGCAGCAAACCCGCTCCTTTCCTTGGCACAACCCACCTTCCTCGAAAGACTCACGGCATGGAATCCCGGTCAACAAATAACGTTGCGCCCGTCGAGACTGCGTCCATTTAACCACGTGTCCGTCCTCCAAACTACGATTTCCTCTTCAGTGTCGCAAAAGTGGGTGGTCTTGTTCTTTGCACCCATGTAACATTTTCCTCCTCTGATATGTGTCTCTACTACTATTTCTACTCATGCAATCCTTGACCTCCTGCTTTTGGATACATCACAGTGCCGTCGTTGAGGATCCGATGGCGAATGCGAGGCTTGTATTGCTGTTGTTTTGTGCGTTCGAGGTGGCGGTGATGGTGATGGTGAACGAATGAAAGACGCGATGCGGATGTTGGCATGGATGGAAGTAACACACCTAGTACGTTTAAAACGATAGTCGAGAGGAGAATAAAGCCTTGAGACTTCACTGAACCATTATGACTTGCTTGAAGATTGCATTCAACACACATGCGCAAAACTTGTAAGTGCATGCGGAGATCCTGACCTCCAAGTCTGTACTTAAGATAGCAATGCGAACAACCTCATACAATCACGTGCGAGACATGGAGCGCGAACGTATTCACTCTCAAGCCACACCAATCCGAACAGCTCATATATAACATTAAACCGCACATAGCTGTCTGCAGATCGAACGTCTGAAGTCATTTGCGACGATGCATGCATGACGCCAGATCCAATCGGCAAGTCCCGCGCATGTCCGCCAAGAAACTACCCGGTGCGGAGAAAGACAGACACGTGAGGATGAGGAGGAGCTGGGGACGTTGCGATGGAGGTGTGTATATTTCCATCCTCACTGTTTCCTTGTGATGAAAGTTATGGGCTTTACTGCCACATTTGGTTCTGCGCGGACGCGGGCTGCACATTATGCTTGTTTGCACGGTGTGTTGCTTTGCGTCGTCGGCGATTTGAGACGAGGGAATGGGAGCGGGGAATGAGGTATGTGAGCTCTTGCCTTTTTTTTCTTTTGGTTTCATTTGAGTTGGGTTATTCGGGTATGATCCGTAGGGAGTGAGAGAGATGTGTGTGTATGCAGCCTCATTTTATTCGCTGGCGAGACTACACTGATGTTGGCTTTCTAGTAGGAGTACAGTACCATGCGATGGTGCACGGATGTATGCGAAGAGGGCATTGCGAATGTTGTTTACAAAAGACGGATGATGCTGGGTTGTGCGGAATCGTCGGCAGATCGTGTTGGGTTCAGGTGTTCCGGTGCGAGGCTCGCTTCAAGATTGGAAGTGAGTTCGGCGAAGCGGTTGAGCATCGCAAAGAGCATGGTAAAAGTACGAAGACAGGCATGGGCGGAAAGAAAAAAATTCGTTCAAATGCTCGCTGAGAGCGCAGTGTCGTGTTTCAAGGCAGTGCGGAGCGTGGGCCAGGGTACAGTCATCAAGAAGTTCTGCTCCGGGAATGCAGAGACTTGACGAAGAGAAGGAAATGACGCTACATGGTCTGGTGGACTCGGTGCAGATTGAATGCAAGAAAATTTGGCTTTGTTACTCTGCCATTGGCGTCAGTCCTATATTGGTACTACGACGCCTTTGAAGTGACTGTTCAGCACAGGACAGCGCTTACCACCCCCGACGATTCCACGGAAACTCGAACATCTAGTCGATTTTGAGAGCCGTGTGTCCGCAAAATGAGTAGGCAGGGCCCACAAAGAAATTGTTGAGTGAGGTTGGGTACTGACAATCCACAGTGTGAATTGCATCTCCGGACGGTAAGGCTCCGATGTCGCGACGATGCTCGAAACTTGCAACTCCGCGTATCGACTCTCGATGTTTGTTCTAGTAAGTGGCGCCTCATACATGTACCTACCCATGTAAAGCCGCATTGGCACCGTGGACTGATGAGACGATGGTAGCGTGACACTGGAGAGTTCGATCAAGAATTCAGCAGAAGCAGTCCGATGACCACGTCGATGGAGGTTCCAGACCAAATATGAACACCAACTTGTATCCAGGCAAATTGGCTGGCGCTGAGGCACTCTGTTCGACTTTCTCCGGCAAGCAGTGTGCGACGTCGCCACTGGGCCAGATTCACATGTCAAGACGGTCCGGCTGTCAGGCAGTGGCCCCAAGGCATGGAAGAGAAATGGCAAATTCCGCGGAGCACTAACATATAGCTGTGTCTAGGCTGTATCTTCATCAGCGATGTCTCAAACAGCGCCACAGAAGACGAGGACTGATAACGCGACGCCTCAGAATCGTCAGTGACGTCCACCCAGCAATGGGCGAGAGCTTGTGTACTTGTACATTGAAGATCTGGCTTTGGGATGGCGTACAATCCCAGCCGTTGAGAACTGCCAGGAACTCTGATTCATGCAAGATAAGGCACTGTCGCGGCTCTTCATTGGCCAAGAACTGCTCGCGAAGGGCCATCATCCTCACAGCAGGCAATTGATCGTCCACAGAGAAATAGGCGTCTAAGACACAAACTAATCATACCGTATCGCCATGGAGTTCGTGCTGTAGACACCGTCTGCTTGGTGTGAAGCTACGGGAGACATCGCGCTTATCGCTCACCAGCGGCTAGGCGCACATGGTGAACAAAGAACACGGCCACTTACCACGAGGCGCCGCGTAACATGTGAACCACGAATTCGAATTGAACTTGCTTTTGGTTGGACCGGTCCAGTCATCCAGATCCCGAGGTCCCACCCAGATGGTCTGGTCGACGCCACAGTGTTGGCATGCTCGCTCGGAGCGCCAGGAGCACAAGAACATCGTGTGCAACAGTCGAAGCGACAAAGTGATTTTGTCAAAAGTACCGCGGAAAAGCTGAGATCATATTATCTCCAGAGGTTCTGATAAGCAATCTATGTTGGGAAACGACTACGGATCCACTAGCGCGCTTCAAGTCCCTGCCAAGAGATAAGAGAACGCCTCTCCCATGTGCCTGGCCCCACACCATCCCACGTCAAACTTCAGTCTACCCAACCGCGACCAGCCGCAAGAACCTTCCTCCGCTCCTTTGGCACTTCTCAATCCAAAATATGTCCTTCCATTCGCTGCAACAGTCGCAAACCCCAGACCTGCACCCCCCTGTTCGTCGGAGACACGCTGCGGGTGAGTCGGTTCGTGTCTTTCTCCGTCATCCTGGTCGTTACCGCCAACACAGATAACGAAAACGCCCAATTGACCGATTGAGATTCCGGAGAACACTGATCTCACTTTTGGGCTGGGGGATGATTTGCACTGCATCCTGGCACCAGCTCAGCCGTGCGTCACTGTGCTCGACCGCGGAAGTGCATTATTTGCTCCTATGAGGCAGTGTATATAACTTCTGCCCGCGGTATCTGGACGTCTTATCTGTCAGCAGCCAACAATCTCTCCTCCATATCCTGAGGTCAGCCAACTACCCTTGTCTCTCCACAATAGGGCTTGCAGCACACCTACCCCAGATCTCCAACATGGGTTTCGCAGTGAACAAGCTGTGGAGTGCACCGGAACTCAACCCGTACAACAGCAAGGCCAGGTCGATTCCGGTACTCAACCCAGTCAACAAGTATGGCCGTGTCTTCTTCTTCTCGTGGATGGGCTTCTTCATCGCTTTCTGGTCATGGTACGCGTTCCCACCTCTTCTGAGCAAGAGTATCAAGGCAGACATGCACTTGTCGCAAAATGAAATCGGCAACTCCAACATCATCGCTCTAGTTGCGACGCTCATCGTTCGATTCATTGCCGGCCCTATGTGCGACATCTTTGGCCCTCGTAAGACCTTTGCAACCCTGCTCTACCTAGGCGCGCTCCCATCGGCACTTGCTGGTACTGCACACAATGCCATGGGACTATACTTTATCCGATTCTTCGTTGGTGTCCTCGGTGGTACCTTTGTGCCGTGCCAGGTATGGACGACTGGTTTCTTCGACAAGAATGTTATCGGAACTGCCAACGCGCTGGTCGGTGGCTGGGGTAACTCTGGAGGTGGTATCACTTAGTAAGTACCCAAAGCCTGTGGTCCTCGCCTATGCTAACCGTAACTAGCTTTGTCATGCCCGCAGTGTACGACTCGCTCAAGAAACATCAGGGACTGAGCTCGCATGCCGCATGGAGAGTTTCCTTCATCGTGCCCTTCATTCTCATCACTGCCACTGCTACTGGTCTACTCCTTCTCACCGAAGACACCCCGACCGGCAAGTGGGCAGACCGTGCTAATGCTGTTCACCCTGCGCACACCGCTCAGCAATCGGTAGTCTCTACCACTGGAGGCCTGGACGAGAAGCCTGCCGCAGCAGCCTCGATCTCATCGAGTGAAGAGAAGAAACACGCTCCCAGCACACCGACTGGTGATGTTGAGTCAGCCACTGGGGAGGTCCAGGTCATCGATGGGTACCAGCACGAGGTGATCCAGAAGCCCACTCTCAAGGAGAGCATGAAGGTCGCCTTCTCGCTGCAAACCCTTTTCCTATGCTTCTGCTACTTCAACTCCTTTGGCGGCGAGCTAGCCATCAACTCCATCCTGGGATCCTACTACCTCAAGAATTTCCCATACCTTGGTCAGACCCAATCGGGTCGATGGGCCGCTATGTTCGGACTTCTCAACGTGGTCACACGTCCGCTTGGCGGCTTCATTTCCGACAAGATCTATGGAGCCACCAACGGAAACCTTTGGGCTAAGAAGCTGTGGATCTGCTTTGTCGGTGTTGTCGCGGGCATCATGTGCATTGTCATCGGAAAAGTCAACTCGCATGATCATGACACCATGATTGGCCTCGTAGCTCTCATGGCCATCTTCCTCGAAGCCGGCAACGGCGCCAACTTTTCTCTTGTACCCCACGTCCACCCTCACGCCAATGGTAAGTCACCTTTCCCCGCTGTCTTGCGATCAATGCTAACTCGCATCAAGGTATCCTCTCCGGCATCGTCGGCGCAGTGGGTAACTTCGGTGGTGTTATTTACGCCATCATCTTCCGATACCACGGCACCAACTATGCGCAAGTGTTCTGGATCATTGGAATAATGATGATTGCCATGAACCTTATGTTTATCTGGGTCAAGCCCATCCCTAGCGGCCAGATTGGTGGTCGCTAAAGGGTTTTTTGTTAATGATATTTTGTCAACGCAAGCGTTTGTTTGAGATACCATAGAGCTGTTAATTGGCTTTGCGAAATGCAAATATGCATGTTTAAATTATGTCATATGCTTGACTTGCGTGGTGGTGAGGCTGTGCATGGTATGGTTGTGTGCCTAATCTTGGCTTCTCTTTACCGCGCCCATGTGAACGGGCTCCCTTCAGTCACCACATCATCTCAGCCATCTGCAACCCGATCAACATGTCGTCCCGAACTTGCAAGATGCGCAAGACCTCACTTCATCGAAACCTACAGGGAATACAATAATGTCTTCGGCGGATCTCTTAAGTCTCCCACTAGAGCTCCGCGATGTGATCTATGGCTACCTCCAGGAAGATATGACTGTGCCCTTGCGATGGGACGATCACTGCGAAGGTAAAGACACCGCACCATTCTACCTGGCCGACGTCGACATCAAGAATGCGCCTTACAGCCCCATCGCCCTCGTGAACCACCAGCTGCGTGACGAGTACCTACACAACTCCAACACCAACGTCGCGGCCTCATTAACCCTGAAAATGAGCGTCGATATCTTCACACATAGGACCAATTGCACCGTCGAAGACGCCATGCCGCGCCCCCCAGCATTCGCATTCATCCGCGAAGCCACCATCTTCATCTACGTGAACAGCTATCTCTCGAACGACCGCCCCTTTCCAATCGTCTGGGACCCAATCACACATCTTTTCAAAGGACTCGTCGAAGCTGCGCCGAAGTTGCATACTATCCGCCTCGTCGCGCACCAGTACCGTTACAAACTGGTTGCACACGACGAATTGGACGGACCGGCCTTCTCTCAGGTATTCGGCGCAGCAACGCGGGAAGAATTCTTCAACGCCGGTCCCACGCATATACACGGCATGGCAGCGAAGAAGCGCGCAGAAGGGTATAGATTGGATTACGGGACGATTGAGAATTGGGCTGTGGTGGAGCAGAGGCGGTTCATGCATCGGGTGGAGAAGATTGGGGTTTATTTGTATGTAAGGGGAGGAGAGGGGGATGGTGGTGATTGCTTGACGGATGAGATTTTGAAGGAGTCTGGGATGGAGAGGGTGGCGGAGTATGGGGATGAGGCGCTTCAGATGGTGGATGCTGCGGAGAGGGAGGTGGTGAGGAGGTGGACGGGAGAGATGAAGGAGGTTAGGGAGTGGGGAGAGGAAGAGGTGAGGATGGAGGATGTGGATTAAGGAGAGGGATGGCTGATGACTGATGGGAATTTCGCTATAGGTCTGCGGAATGCATCTGCTTTATAGTTGAGCATGTGATTTGGGAGTTCTGTTGTATAGTTGTTCGATTACGAGCTTCGATGAATTGAAACTCTCCTAAGATCGGAACTACACGAAGCGAATGAAAAACAAATGATAGGGTTGTTCGTGTTAAAGGTATGTATAGTAAGTGGCGAGGGAGTTCAGACAGACTTTAGGCGGGCACGGGCCGCTCTGCATCCGGTTAGCATGGCGCGTGCTAGGCTTCATCCCACTCCTGTTCTCGCTCTGACTCTGCCCTAGAAACAAGTAACAACTCGACGATATATCATGACTGCATCATCCACAGCACCAAATCTCCTCACACTTCCTCGAGAACTGAGAGATCACATCTACGGCTACCTCGTTCACACGATCGGCGTCGAATGGGATGGATTCGGTAAAGATGCTGTCCAGAGTGTCGGAGGCAGCGAACAAGTCATCGAGCCCCTCCCTGGGCGCCTGATGAATTGTCCATACCCTCATGTCCTCCGTATACACCCTCTCATATGCGAAGAGTACCACGGCGTGTGCGCGAAAAAGCTTGAAGTGGTCTTCGATCAATCGCTCCACATGAGAAGACCGCTAGAATCAAGATACAACCCACTGAGGGCCCTTCAAGACCAAGTTCTTTCCCACCTACGACATGTTAAGATCTTTGTCCGACTGCATGCTCGAACCATGTCCCAAAATCTGGACTGGCGGAACCAGCTGCATATCCTTCGCGACGTGGCTGTGAAAGCACCACAGTTAGAGACCCTCCGTGTCGCAGTACGGCAACAATGTCTTTCCAACGCACCCACTTGCCAGGATTTTGAAGTGCCGGCCATATTGACGTCTGCAACTGAACGTTTGCAAAATGCTAGTACGAAGCCATTCTTACCAGAGATGCCAGCCTCTCTCGGGGAGCTTTGCTTAGTCCAACGGGGGGAGGGATACCACCTTGGCTACGCTTCCACATACAGAGCGCGGGATCAACCCTTGCACCCAGATCTTAGTTCTACGTACACGATTGATGGCCAGGAGCATGTCATGTATCACGGTATCCGCAAGATTGGAGTATACACTTTTGCTAGCAAGGATGTTAATTACGAGAAACGCCTGTGGACACGAAAAGAAATCATTTCGCGATGGCCGATGCGAAAATACCCAAAAGAAGCCATCGAGAACGTGGCACCGGAGAGGGCGGCGCTGTTACTCAAATTCCCGCTGGAACATACGGAATGGATAGAGAGGCGAGGAGTCCACGATGTGCGAGATTGGTCCTAGACGAACACGACGGGGCGTCTCCAACCCAGCTCTGACCACCAGGCGGTGAAACCTGCACTCAACTTGGTAGCAGCTTGCTGGCGATGCTTTGCATTGAGCCCGCGCTGATTCGTCGATCCCGATCAGGTTAGACCAAACTCACGTGCCAGGCTTCCACGTCCACGGGTATATGATGACAGGCGGACGCGGTCAGAAGTTGGCGACTTTTATACAATTCGCCTCAAAACACGCTGTCCAAGCCATGTCAGCCACTACTTTTCTGAATTTGCCGCGCGAGATCCGCAACATCGTCTACAGCTATTTGACCCACGACATCTCCATCGACTGGGGCTACAAGACGTTCCCATTTCCGATTGGCGGCCATGCAGCAGTAAAACTCCACGTCAAGGATGCACCATTTCCCGATGTTTTGCTGGTCTGCTCACAAGTGTATCATGAGTATCGCCAAGAGAAACGCCATGGAGTACCATGCCTTGCCATCAATGTCAGCCCTGGACGCACCGGGCGCATTCTTGAGGGTCAGCCAACAAACCAAGGCCGAGTCTTCAAGATCCTTGCACACGCAAACCATCTGGCCTTCCTCTACTGGGGCATGGGCGAGGACAGGGTCAAAGAAGCATGGGATAATATCGAACAGCTCAGCGGAGCGGTGGCCATGCTGGCTCCCGACTTACGGACCGTTCGGGTAGTCGAGATGACATTTCGAAGCGGTCTATCGAGAAGTGATGCCGAACCCATGGCTACCACACCAGGTCCAATCTCTTCCGGGGCTTCTCCAAACGAGCTCTATCGCGCAGCTCTTGGGACTTCCCTGGTAACGCACGGCCAGCTGGCCTTCTGGAACGATCGCATTGAGTCTGCTACTGCTCGTCAAGATCTCGTGTATAGGCAAGGCGACGGGGTGACAGAGTGGCGTTATACGCGCCGCAAGAACGACGTTGGTTTGGAAGTATTGCAGCATATGTAACCAGCTGTGTCTTGATACGGACAGATTTCTGCATCGTCGAGCTAGGGTGCAACATGATGGATTTCAGGGAATGGAATACGGAGCGGGCACTTTGGGCGATTGCGACATGGCACAGCTCATGTGCAAAACACATAGCATGGTGCAGTCCATTTCGACTTCATAATCAGACAGACAGCTCGCGCTGCCAGGACGAAGTTCGCCTCACAAGCTGTGCGCGTGGCTAACCGGCTCAGAACCTCTTTCCTTTGTCGCTTGGGGGCACGTCCTACTAGTCGGACAATGACCAGTGGTCATCTCCGCTCGGTTACAGCCACCTATGCGCCAGGTTTTCCACACAGGTTTCTGCGTTGGCTATTGCGTGCACCGTCCAACAAAATTTCAGATCTCCTCCTTCTCCAAATTGGACAAGGATTCCATACAGAATTTTCGCGTTGCCCGGTCGATTATAAACCTACAATGTTCCATTCGCAATCCTTGGTCGGCGTCTACCTATACGGTTATGCGGGGAGAAAACATCAGTGGTGGACTCCTGACAATATCATCGACTGCTTCACACCAGTGCTCTATCCACAGCATGTATTAGATGCAGTGGCTCCTGCTGAACAAGACGCCCTTGCAAGACTACCGGTGCATATACGCGGATGGATAGACAAGCGTGGAGAAGACGTGAAGGACTGGGATGGTTTCATTTATGATCAAGCCACTATAGTTCGGCAGAGCAAGGCGCGCATAGAGGAAGGATTCGGATCATGTTTTGAGTAGCAAGTGGGTTGGAATGTGCAGGAGTTGTTAACAAGACGGGAACTCGGAATGGCTTAGTTTGAGGCGGAGCATTTGGCTTCGCTTGTCTTGCAGCGCAATCAGAATCGCGATATTGGGGCATCGCAGCACGATAATCAGGCATTACCAGATATTTCACAACATGTTTTATATCATTTCATGAGTCTTCCTCCATCCTCGTCTGTGCCTCTGCGAATGTTGCGGAATCGACCTTCCTAGCTAGGATCGAGGCGCCGAGATCCTTCCTATCGTGACTCACCAGCTTCATATAAGCTCATCAGTCTCTCTGTCTCTACAATACCACTGAGCATATGGAAAACAGGCATTTCCCGCCATCTTTCACGACTACTACGGCTTCTTAATACTTCCCCACCCATTGTGACTTGCTCTGCAATGGCACTCCCTGACGCCCACCTACTGAGCCTTCCACGCGATATTCGAGATAAAATTCTTTGTGATGTTTTCCAAGAGATCACTTTCGACTGGAAATGGAAGATTCAAGGGATGCATCGCGTCGGCTTCAAGGTCACTGTACCACACGCACCACATTTCGGTGTACTCTTAGCGTGCTCTCGACTGCACGACGAATACGTGGGGCACATAAAGCCAGAGCATCGGAAAATGGACATCGTTTGGAACGGAGCTGTTACTCAACGAAGAGATCTGAGGAAAGTGGTAAAGAGCAGAAAATATCTGAAGGCTTTTGATTACCCTGAGACAGTACGTATCAAGCTTTATATGGCCGCGTACCTGCATAAATGGGGCACGACCGCCAAATTCATCGACGTCCTTCAGCTCGCAGCTCCCCGCGTCAGGTGTGTATTATTCACCGAGAAGCTTGGCGGTATCAGCAATTTTCATACGAACGATATCCCCCAAAGAGTGACCTGGGAGCAGCGCCAGCCTCACGATTCACAGTTCACTGCGGCACCGACTCTACTGGGCGACTTGCGAATTTCAAGAATCAGTCGCATTTTTCGGATTGAAACAGAGTACAACGCACATTATTTCAAGGCTGGTACTATACCAAAACCTCAAAATTATGGTGGGTGGTTACATCTACCAACAACTTCAACATGGAATTGTCACCCGCTCAACAATCGTATCGCGCAATACGATGTATTCACGTATAACCGAGAAGAAGTACAGCATGAGGACTTGGAGCGGGCTGCCGTGAGAGCTCTGTGGCCACGACACCGATTTCGAACTGAAGACGCGAAGCCAGAGTGGGAACTTTCGCATGTTGAATTGCAAATACTCGAGGACTATTCAGGGCGGATCTTCAAGTGGGATTTCGAAGAGCGGGACGAGTTGCTGGCATCAAAGTGGACCTTTGAGATTGAAAAGAGGAAGGTGGTTCCGGATGGTGTGGATGTTCATGAGAATGAGGGCTTTGCTCGGTGGTTTGACTAAAGGTGGCTCGGACGCCCAATACATACTGATGGTGAAAATACGTTGCAGTGAATGAACTTGGTGTTACTTTCATTGGCTCACCTCAACTCGGGATGACAATATGCTCGTGCATACAAAATCCACAAGCGTCACATGCCGCTACTTTCAAAGACTAAGTAACCAACAATCGAAGTTCAATTCATAGAATCAAGATAAGCTTCCATGAATATATAGTGGATATGGTTCCAACAAGCGCACCTCGTTGAACTATCATCATTAACTCGTCATAGAAAGGTCCAGCATTAGCGTGATCGGTCTAGGAAGTCCAAGATGTGGCAGTAACTACTCTTCTCGTATGATTAAAGTCATCCACAGCAACACCGATAAGGTACTGAGGTGACACTCATGTGATCTGAATGCATGTCTTGTTTTAACGGCCATCATGAGAGCAGTAAGCTCAGTGGGGTGACATTTCTACTCACCATCCCTAAGCCTCGGATCTTGTTTTTTTCACCTCAGAACTGACGTGATTGAATATTCATAGCGTCACCCAGGTCAAGTGAGCGGTTTTACCCCCATCGTGATGTTGGTCAGGCTGAGGGGTGTGGAGATTGCAAGGCCAGTACGATGAATGACCCTTCACCGCGACGCGTGTCGAAAGCTATTTCTTTCCATACTTCAATACAAAGATCCAAGCATGCGGGAGGAATCTCGTATCGAAGGGCCTTGACAAGGGACGCCATCACATGAAACATAGCCCTGCTGCAAGGTCGTGCTTGCAATCCGCTTCACTCAACGGTCTGGGCTTTCGCAGTTCCTCGGTGTCCGAAGCCTTCTGGCTATCATCTATGTCGTGTGATAGTGATGCGCTCAGTGTTTGCCTTCCGATGCGTTGGTGTAGCGACCTGCAGGTTGCCCTGTGCCGCAACTTTATAGTCCATGCTGGCTGTCCGGTGAGTGCGGAGAACATGGTAGGACCATTGCATGGAACAGCACGTGGGAAGCCTTTTGAGTCTGGCATTGCATAAAATCTCTTCGTTGTCGTGCTGGCTGGGTGCTATCGTCGTGGTTGGGCAGCAAGGCAGCAAGCGAAAATGCCTCTTCCAGTGAGCGACTTCAAGGTGTCGCCCTTCAACTAGTTCGGTACTATTGTACTCCGGCGAGATGTTGATTGGAGTTCCGTGCGTCAAGGTTGGTTGTGCGCTCACTGCGCGTCCACTGGTTTACGCCCGTCTCTTATCTCACCTAAACGCGCAATCCTGCAGGATTGACAGACGTTGGAGCCATTGAACGGTGTCCGTAAATCTTGTTCAAGGGTGTGTATGTTATGATATGTTATAATTAGCTTCAGAGTAATCAGGTTTGGCAGTGATGGTCACGACTCGTGGGTGCTGAGCCAAGGTCTTACTCAATCACAGTATTAGCGCCGCGCAAGCGGTATTTTAGAGCTTTCCTGCATCGCGATTTTCAATTTTTGTTCTTGATTCATATAGGTATCGAGGCAGATCTTGGGCTGTCTCCGTTCTCTCACTGTGGTTCCCGCAACACCAGTATGCGCCCCCAATTGTGCTCAGCGATTTGCCGGACGTACGTTGTCTTGACTATTGAAGATCTAACCAGCACCTTTCAGACCTAATTCCGCTCTATCCAACGAGATCTTGTCTAAATCAATCTTTTGATTGTTGAAAACATGCAGCCCGCAAAGTCCGATCATACTTTCTTGACCACCATGTCTTTCGTTCAGAAATTTGGGGTCGTATATAGAGTGGCGGAACCTTGGGCAAGATACCGTACTCTCAAACTGCACTGGATTTGCTGATGGTCACAATATTGTTCCGCTTAATCAAGTGGGAAGCATGCATAGACGATCGACCAGGATGCACGTATGTGGCTCAGCAACACAATTAGGTTAGTTCAACGCAGCTCCACGTGTGCCGTCGCACCCATGTCCTCAAAAACCCGCCAAGATCGTGATCATAGTTCCAAACAACTCTCGATAAATGTTGTAATCAACGCACAGAAGGTAATTGTAGCTCCCTCCTTGGCAGTCCGCAGTAGACTTTGCGCAACACTATGATGGGACAAAAGTTAACTGCAAAACATAATAACAATCTCATGCCGTGTGATGCTCCGCCCATAACGCCCCACCTGCCATGTAGGGCAAGAAGTTTCATGACAAAACTGCTGCCTATACTTCCATACTGCTACTCATCTACCTTGTCTAAACTTCCTGTGACTGACCTTCTGCTACATCCGATATACTTTCTCGACATGCATCTCTACGAATATGAAAAACTGCGATACAGCGACTCAATCCGCATTCTCATCCTGCATCCGTGCTCAGATGATTCGGATCCGATTATATGCACTATGCAATACACACGACTTTCCGATGTTTCCCTCGAATACGAAGCACTATCTTACACATGGGGAGACATGAATCATAGACAAGCAATTCATTTCTATGGTGGTTCGAAGACACTGCTTGTTGGACAAACTTGCCTTGATGCACTCCGGCATCTACGTCAGAAGTCCACGTATCGGCTGCTTTGGATTGACGCCATTTGTATCAACCAGGAAGACCTGTTGGAGAGAGGCTCTCAAGTTCGCATCATGGATGAAATCTACAATCGTGCGTCCAAAGTTGTTGTTTTCCTCGGCAAACACGCTTCATGTAGTGAGGTCTTGTTCGAAGAGTTGGCGGCCGCAGACGAGCTCATCATGGCAGGGAAGGAATGTGATAGACCACAACCTAGTGCTGAAATCGTTCGCGCGCTGGAAAAATTGTTCCTAAGGCCATGGTTCAAGAGGGTATGGGTTCTACAGGAAGTCTGTGCGAAAAGCATTGTCACATTCATGTGCGGCTCAGCTACTGCATCCTTCTCTGCGCTCAGCACTTTATACTTTGGGTACTCCGGTCATACAAAAGTTAGCAAGATGCAGTGGCCTCTCGTTTTAAGTTGGATGTTTGAAGATTCAGGGGAGCTACCGACAACACAACTCAACTTGTGGAAACGATTGTACGAAAGCAGGGAGTGCCTGGCAACTGATCCAAGAGACCGAGTTTTTGCCATGAAATCTTTGACCGGACCAAGGCAGTCAGAATTGAATTTCCTGATCAATTACTCTCAGAGTGTAGAGGATTGCTTCATACAAGTCGCGGAGTATTTCCTATCTGCTCGAGGACCCCGAATATTGGCTGCTATCCGGCATCCACACGATAAAGTTATGCCTTCATGGATTCCCGATTGGTCTCAAAATCTCCCACTACATGATTTCTACCTTTACCCAAGGACGCCCTTTAAAGAAACCGACATTGAGTACAAAGATAGTTTTACCTGCAACGAAGATCCGATGTACGAGACACGCAAGATATCAGATGGACAAGGAAGAGAAACACTAGGGCTACTCACCATAGGTTACCAGTATGCGAAAGTCGTTGACAGAAGTGAAGAGTTCTGTTTTGACAGCATAGAAGATGCTGAGGTTCAGATGCATAGACTGTACTACAGTCTCGTCAATCTCAGAGACATTTTCCTCATTCCAGACATGAAGGGCGATTGTGGTATGTTAGGTCACCTTGGGAAGAGCATTGTCCAGGGTGAGTGCACCTTTAGCATGTTGCAAGAAATACATTGACACTGTTTCTAGCCATGTCTCTGATCCAAGGTTCTGATCTCCACACCCATCTGACACGCTTTGTGGACGGGTTCTATGTAAATTTCACTTTCTCTACGTTGGCGAATTCTGACTAGATGCGACACAGGTCGGTGATCGTGTGGCTATCGGCGGCGAACAAATCCGCAATTTTGAGAAGGCTTTGCAGCAGTGCAGGATCATCCTATTAGACAATGGAGAATTGGCGATCACACCTGGCAGCGTAAGGGTCAACGATGTCATATGCATAATGCCGAAAACCGACGCGCCCTGCGCTCTCCGCTCAAATGAGAAGGGAGCTTGGAGGTTAATGAGTGGAGATTGTTACATTTTTGGTGCAGTCTCCATGCTCGCTTTGACTCATGGAGGAGTTGTGCTCGACCAATACGTCGGACGCAACTTGGATAAGCTCCAAGACTTTTTGATTCGATAGAAATGGAATTTCAGAGGACACGTCGAAAATACTCGCCCAGCCATAGATAAGCATGCAAGTTTGCCGTGCAGCCATGATATCCCAGTTGACTTTTCATTGCTTTGCTGTACTTGCCCCATTCTCACCTTGCGCCTGACATGGCGCCAAAGAAGTACTGAACGAAAGCAAGCCATCCCTGCCAAGCTTTGGGATTCTGCAGATCTGTCAATGAAATATCGAAAACTCAGCCCGATTGATACGATACCAAGACTCGATTTCCTCGCGCCCTCGGCCCGGAGCCGCTCACGTGCGTCTATTACCCAATTATCTCTCTCTCTGTCCATAACCTCTTTCAAGAGCTATGTCCGTGATCATGAATTTTCAAAGCTGAGCTGCATCATGAAACGGCCATTCACACGAAGTTTTCAGCTCGCCACCATAGTCGCCACCTTCGCTTGCGCCACACTGCGTTTCCGTGACTCAAGCTGAAGCATCGGCGACTCCGTCGCTTACGTGGGACCTGAAGGATCAAGCGAGAACCGTTCACTTGATGTTGTGATGAATTTGCTAAGTACTGTGTTTGTGGTTGAAAGCTGCAATCAGCAGTGTTGCCTGTTTCGGCTGCGGAAAACAAAACTTAAATGGCTCGTTGAGATTGGCCGATCCATAAAAGAAGAATTTGCTTCTCCAAAGTGAAGGATTCAGGGCGTATAGAGTACAGCTGCGAAATGATAGCCGGTGGGAAAGACGAAATGGTTGGTGGTTCGGTGACATTCCATGTAAGAAGAGCGGTGACGAGCAAGGCCAAAACCGTAGTAGATTGTGAAAGAAACGACCGCTACTTCGAACTTCCCAGTTAGTATCTACCGAGATTCATAGCTTGCAACAGCAAGCGCCGAAGGACGACCTTGAATGGCGGATGCGACGGAGACACCTGCTGCCGACTTTTTCAGTCCTTCAAAAAAGGATATATTAAGACGGAACGGGACGGAACGGATGGTGATTTGAATGGACTATTCGATGAGCTCTCACCGGTGTTGTATTCAGTATGGTCGTTTGTGTCCGTATTTAGGTAGCGAGGAGTTTCGCTACTCCACGTGCGCAGGCATCCTCACAAGTAGTGCATGCCGCAAACAGGGGTCCTGGAGCTTGCATGATGACATGACCTATTCCAGCCAGCCGTAATACCACTTTCAAACTCTTTAGGGCATCGAGATCTTTGGGGGGCTCACTATTCGCTTCCACTGTGTATCTTAGCCCCCAAGGCTCGCGCACCAAAACGGGAGCAATATATGGGCAATCGCTTCTTTCCCTACAATTAACCGAGGCTTCAACTCGACATGGATAAGTGAAGTTCCCTGAGAGTAGAAGGTATGATAGTGCTCCGGCTATGCGGGAAAGGTTGCCAAATGAAGGTCACATCCAAGAGACGGAGCTCTACCCGACGGATTGACAAGCCGTGTCGCCGTGGCATACTCGCAATAATTGGAACGTGATTATAATTTAGAAGTTCAATTCTCTCATAAAGGTAATGCCTCAAAAGGGTTTGGCCATAATATGTTCGCCCTGATTTACATTGTTCTCGCATCGATCTTGGTCCGGTCAATGCGCTTCTGCCTGACCACATTCAGGCCCCACGCTCCGCGTCGAGCACAATCCTTCTCATTTTCTGACCGAAAGCTTGGTAGCTAAATCTCCAAACATAATTTCTACCTCGGAACAAATCCATTCGATAGGATAGCATAGGCCAGTGCCGCGCGCATCGACCGAGATTTTGGACGAGCCAAAAGCTCAACTCCAGTAATATTCTCGACTCTCCCAGAACTGTAAATAGTCAGACTGGAGGAACACTTTCATGGTATCGACTAGGATGAAATTCAGGATGACCGAAGGAGCGGCTCGGGGCCGCGAAGTCGTTGCCTTTTCACAGGAATGTAGTAGGCAGCATGCAAGACGTGCCGCACAGCAAGACGCTAAAGTATTGACTGATACTGTGCCGTAAGGCTCACCATGATCGCCTTGGATTCAAGGCAAAACTGTGTGAAAACGAAGGACCTTCGGCTATGTCTCAGCCCTATAAGTGCAGGGATTGTGAGGCTGCTTACGTACCAGTCGGGAAACACAGGCCACCCGTTCCTCGATCGTCCTTCATCATGCATATGAGCTTTTTAGATCAGCTAGATTAGGGGTTGGCATATTCGCCTAATGTGATGGCATAGTTGATGACTCAAGTTGTTACACCAGCGCTCGCAATCGAAAACCATCGTGGACAGGTGGGCTGAGTGAACGCAGTGCAAGCTGAGATGAGTTGGTCGAGAAAAAAAAGCATCTACCAATTAAACTTGAAGGTACAGCATGTTCCGTGAAAGAACGAATTTGATGGAAAACTTGCATGTGGTCACCGCAACAAATCCACCAGCCCAAGGACAGCAATGATCCATTGTCCGAACAAGTGATTAATCTTTCTTTCAGTGATTTGTCCGGTCAGAATTCAGCTTGAGGCATTTCTCGCATCACCGCGGAAAGACCTCATGATCGCAAACGTACGCGTCGCATGACTCCATCACTGCTAAACAGGTGCCCTTCACCACCACCACATTTGAGGTGGGTTGCACCATCAACTGGCAGTGGTCAGGATGAGATAAGATCAGCCGAAGATTACTGAACACCGATGGCGTCATCAATAACTAGCGATTATCATAGATGTGCCCGATGACGGTCAGCAGATCTTATTCAAGTGCGCTCAAAGGCATACCATTAAGGCAATTGTACTTGGACGAACGCCGGTCATGAAGGCGCCCGAGATGTGACCGTCATGGCCTAGGTAGGTTTGAGCATCGTTGGTGAGCATCTGCTGTGGAAGAATTACTTTGTGCAGTGGCTAAAGACCTGCACAGGAAGAGCGCCTGGGTATTGAAACATTCGAGATGGAGGGCAAAGAATGGGCGGCTGATAGTGTATACTTGACCGATGATGTAAAGCGATGATCCCTCCTTGGCCACTTGTGCGATTAGTTCTTCATAGATGGTGCTGCAGCCTTGTTACCCGCCTTCTTCATTTTCCTATCCAGTAGTTTTTCTCGCTTGAGGCAACCCCTTCTTCCAACTTCGATTCGAATTCTTCTGGCGCTAAGCCTAGCAATTTTTGTTCAGCTTTCATATTCACTACTGCCTTATCTTCCACCCATGATAGAATAGCCATCTGCCGTTGTCAATGCTGAGCTGTCAGGTCATCTGAGGTCGTTGAGGAGTAGGGCAAATTCCAAGACACGTCGTGCATCTAAACTGCTGTGATTATATTTCATTGGCGCCATATCAATGAAGCAACCACAGCGATCCGAAATCTAGGTCATGCATCTGCTGCAAGCAGTCAAGTACAGTCAGGCAGAGAGCTCGTCCAACTCGCTCCATTGCGCGGCAATGCACGTGTTATAGTGGTTCCAATCCGCCGGTACAGCCTCGCGGGGACATTTGCCGGATTGTTGTATCTAAGAAACGCGACATGTGGGACTGCGGAGATCACCGATCGGAGCTGCACACTTCTTCCATCATACCGACTGTGGAAAGGGCGTCAAAGTTGCATTCTGACCCAATTAGTGCGCAACACCACCCTCCATGACTTACTACCTGATTGTGTTCACCTGCTCGGAACGGCTGACGAATGCGAATGGACGCCTGCAGTTCCAAATCGATTGTGTCCAACGCCTTATAAAGTGCAGAAGTAGGTAGCAATCTTTCCCCGGCCCATGTCCCTTGACGAGGGATCTCTGGACTGCCTTATGTGAGATAGCGAGCTCTCCTGGTGTTCGAAAGTCTTGCTGCCGGTAGCTTATCAGATGTATTGTGTCGCTCATACCGATATTGGAGACTTAGAAACACACATGTTTTAGCCCCCCAACTTCACAAGCGAGGATCAGCGCATGACCACTGTTCGATGCATGAACATCAGAAATCGATTTACCGATTTCAATTGACGATGATCGTAGTGTGCTTGACATGGTTGGTGTGGTGTCTAAGCAGAGCTCGCTCTCATAAGTTGTCCTGCACATGTGCACACCGATAACTTCCGGTACACGCCCCCAAAGTTAGCTTCACCGTGACAAGCTTTGACAATGGATATATCGTCTGGGATCGGCGGAATTGAGAAGCTCGGATCTTGTTTGCCAAGTTGAAGTCCAGGGCTGGAGATTTGGGGTCGATTTGCCCATCGTTGCCTGGGAGAAGACATACGTTCTGAACGGCATATGCTTGAGAATCTTCTGTGCGAGAGATGAGGTAGAATTTGCGCCTCCCTGGCCTGACCGATCCTGTCTGCCAATATTACTATAGAGCACCGCATAGAGAACAGCTTAATATAGGCAGATAAATTGGAAATTGTGTCGCAATGTGACAACGGGCATCATTTGCGTCGTCCAAGCCTCAGGAATGTTTGCGGTGGTGTTGCGTTGTACAATCCCACTTTTAGCAACGTACGACCCGACCCTACCGCGTCTAGTAAGCGCAGTGCTTCTGCAGTATCCAAGTCGGGGTTGTCGAATGCTCACAGGCTCACGAATGTTTTCTCGTGGCTCGCGAAGCCAGAGTATCGGGCTCAATGGAAGCGCTGGTCGGGGAATCGGGAGCATCCCAATCCTATCGATATAGTCCCAGCGCCTCCAGTACGCCATAGATGCGGGTTGCCTCTTGGGAAGAGACTTGAAACCCAGTGCATGCGATTGTGATAGGTACTTGCATGCGTGCATACGGATAACCTACGAGACGTGAGTTCAGCTGGCTATCTTCCAAAGTCATCATGCCTCAAAGTGCATTGTGGCAGTACATGACATGTTCTCGGGTGTCTCGAGACCAAGCTGTAGAAGCCCAACCCATCTTCCTCTCACCATCCACAGGGTACAATGAATACATTATCTAGAGTGATGGGCAAAGAGTCGGAATGCAATCGATTTTGCTGGCGAATGAGGTAGCGAAAACAAAAGAAGTGAGCCCATGATCAGTTATAAAGCAATCGTGGGTTTATCAACAGAGATGGAGCTAGGGTCGTGATTCCTAACAGTTTTTTTACGCACTGTCACTAGATACGAGAACATGTTTGTGATGTTGTTGCGTCGAGGTTGAAGTGATGTCGGCGATGACAAGGTGCCGCAGGAACCCTGTTCACAAGTCATGAATCTGTGCTGCCCACTTAATAGGCAGAAAGGAGGCAAGACCTCGGGAATTTATTAGGACCATCGGAGTAATCATTGCGAAGCCATTATTATCGTTTTCACGCCATACAGCGACGGAAGTAGGTAGCCCTGGGGAGAGACAAAACGCTTCATGTAAGAGAGTACATCGATGCGGACCCCAAGAAAGCACGAGCTCTAAAAGGAATGGCTTGTGCCTTATCTTTTCATGCGATGTGAGTAAGTTCTGCGGAGGACGCAGACAATGAAAGTTGCCCGATCCCTCCAGCAGCGGGCATTATGAGACCGGTCACATCTGCCTGTGTACCCCTGCTAGTGGTTGCCTTGTTGCCTGCTGGGCGGCCACAGAGCCTCAAGCTCGACACACATGGCCCCGCTTTGTGGAGGACGTATGGTGCATGGAGGGTTTGTCCAGGCTCATCGTAGCACTTGGACATAGCTTCACCCTATAAAGACTTCATTCGCAACACGTAGGCGCTATCGACACGTTCTAGCAACCCGGTTGCTTCCTCATTCAATCCTTCTTCCATGTTTTCTGTTCAGCTTGCAACACATTCTTCATCAAGCATATTTCCTAGCGGCGTATCTTCAGACAACTCAACAACTGTACGTCCTTGCGAAATTCTGGTTGTTCTACACGTTGTTGTGCGCTGCTGACGGAATTGGACCAATAGAGTGTCCTGCGAAATCCCGAGTCTTGGCGCTAATGATTGGGCGAGTCATATCTTTCCGCTCGACATCACCCAACAACCGCCCAATCCAGCGGTTCAACGTGGAAATTGAGAACTACACCTGAGGGATCAGGCCTTTGAAATGGACGCGGTTAATATCGACATACAATCGAAATTTGTCAATGCATTGCGCACGCAAGGGAAGGCGGATTACCCACTGTCAGGTGCACTACCATGTCCATATCCAGGCCACCACGGCCGCATGTTCCAGGACATCGATCAGCTGTACGACCATGCTTCAGATGATCATCCTTCGGAAATTGCGGACCTCAAGCCAAGTCAAGCGAAAGAGAAGCTGAAGAAAGCTGTGCTAAAATTAAGGTGAGAGAAGGCAAAGTGCCGCCTAAAACGCGCCACAGATTTCAGCTGACGTCGTAATAGAAGAACGGATCCGTCAATAGAAGCCACAGTCGGAGGCGGCTCTGCGCCAGATATTACGAATCTATCACTTGAACCAGAAGATAAATCACGTCAGTCATCACCCTACTCCGGCAAGAAGCGGCCGGCGGAGTCCGAGGGCCATGGACGCCGCAAGGCTCCAACTCACGTGGAAGTGGTCGATGCCGACTACAATCGAAGCATTCCGCATTCGGTAGTACCAGAACGTGCCCGAAGACCAGATGCTGCACGCTTATTCGACCCTAATCAGGCTTCCCCCAAAGCCGGATCACCTCAGCGATCAGCCCCAGGGGCTCATAGTGATTGGTCTCGTGATGCCACTAAAAGTAGTCAATTCAAGCCTTCTCAGCTCCAGTCGCCGTCTCGTCCTTTGCCTCATCGGACAGCTCCTAAGGCGCAATATCCTCCTCGACAACCGGGCTTGATTGAGTTACAACGATATGACCCACGATACCCAGGCCTGCTCTTGCAGCCAGATAGTAGGCCAATTTCTCAAGAGCAACTTGCATCAGAAGTCAAGTCCATATACGCTGGATTGACAATGGTAGAGACCAAGTGCATACATGTAGACAGAGCCCAGGCTGCTGCTGCACAAGATCCCTCAGACCCAAACCATAAACTTGCCTCGGATCACTGGCAAGCCTTAATTGCGTTACACCGTACTTTGCTCCATGAACACCACGATTTCTTTCTGGCGAGCCAACACCCGTCGGCCTCACCAGCACTTCGTCGTCTGGCAGCTAAGTATTCTATGCCAGCTCGCATGTGGAAACACGGGATCCATTCCTTTCTAGAATTGCTCCGACGCCGGCTTCCAGACAGCATTGATTACATGTTGGCATTTATCTACCTGGCTTACCAGATGATGGCCTTGCTTTACGAGACTGTGCCAGCTTTTGAAGATACTTGGATCGAATGCTTGGGTGATCTCGGACGATATCGTATGGCTATTGAAGATGAGGATATCCGAGATAGGGAGACTTGGGCTGGCGTGGCACGCTCCTGGTGTATGGTTTGCTGTAATCTGTACTGAAGTGCATTGAACTAACCCCAGTGCAGACACCAAGGCTGCTGACAAGAACCCAACAGTTGGGCGCTTGTACCATCATCTTGCCATCCTAGCGAGGCCTAATGCGCTCCAGCAGCTGTACTATTATTCGAGGTCCTTGACTTGCGTAAAGCCATTTCCGAGTGCGCGAGAAAGCATCCTTACCCTACTAGATCCGATTCTGGGACGTGCCGCGGCAACGTACTCGCATGCTCTTCCCATCGATACTAACTACATCAAAGCGCATGCTCTTCTTTTCGAGAAGCTGTCTCTTGATGACTTTAAACAAGCAACGACCGAGTTCCTCGACAACCTCGACAACCATATTGGCAGGGTGACAGCCAAATGGAAGGAACAAGGCGTTTATATCGCTGTCACCAATATAGCTGGCTGGTTCAACTACGGTGTAGATGATAATTCATTTCGACAGGTCTTTCTCACCGAGCTTGTCGCCAAGGCGAAGAACAACCCGGCAGCGCCGGAAGAGCAACTTCGCACCGCATCACCAGCGGACCAGCAGGACCCAACACCACCATCTGTCCCCGAAAATGAACTCCTGTCCACAGTCAACTCACTCTGCTCGCAGCCCCATTTCGAACATGCCAAGAAACTCACCTTCGACACCTTCGCCCTAGCCCTCCGACGCATCGGCGACAAAAACGTTCTTCCCCACGTGCACATCATGCTATCATTCGTCAGCACCTTCGCCTCTAACAAATACGTTTCCCACCTTGTCACCGACACGCCCTGGGCCGAACTCGTCGCCTTCCTCAACACGCTGATCAAGACCGAAAGCCAGATCCAGTCTCAGATCCAAACCCAAACCACCGACTCCCTGTTCTCTTCCCCCGTCTTTCCCAACGAAGGCGAGCGGAGCGACGAACTGCCGCTACCCGAGGACTACCTTGTCCGCGGCTTGATCTGGGCGCATGGGTATTTCCCGAAGAAGTGGTTTGAGCGCGAACACGATGAGGAAGAGCGGTATTTGGAGCTGGCTAGTACGGTGAAGAGTCGGATGGAGCGCGTGTTGAGGCTGGGGTATGCATTAGCATCGGTAAGTGTTCCTTCCGTGTTGGAGATTGTACAGGTGAATGTGATTGCTAATAGTGAGGCAGCATGGGCGATGGATAGCTTACGACGAGGGATCCCATACGTTTTCTCTTCTTTCTGATACGTCTGTTTCAACATGAACGTTTCGCTTTCTTATTCTGCGGGGGTTTTTTTGTTTGGGTTTGGGTGTTTGGCGTATGGGATCCCGATTGTCTGTCGTCCTGGCTTCAACGCACTTGGGATGCTGGCAGTCTGCAGTTCCGTCGAGCTGTTTGAGTCTTTTTATTCGGTAGGTGGCAGCGTTCGAGAAAGCAACAATTTGGCAAAGAAGAGGAGAAAGAAGCAAGGTACTAACGACTCCACGAACACACATTATCCATACGTTACATTTTGGTAAATTTTCCTTTTTTCCCTTTGATCACATTCAAAATAAGTCACAGGAGCCTTCCCTTTTATATACATAGTCTTTGCGAGTAATACAAGAACGTTTTCTCTGATGTACCACGCCCTTTTGCGCCCCTTTTGCCCTTCTATGGTGGGGCGGGAGTTGCGCCCTCTGATGTGACGTGTGTCAATGACTAGGGTGCATATTGGCAACGCACGCCATGTGTGAGTCAAATACATATTCATGGATGAAGAGAACTGGAATACACGAGTTGGGATGTGCATGATCTGGTATGGCCTCTCCGCGGCACTGGCCATTAGATCTCTCCTACGTGGTAGGTACGGCGTTGTGACAACTGAAGACTCGAAGACGAGGAAATTGAGATCAATGAAGTGAAACGACCAAGGGGACCAATATGAACACTCCCAAACGGAGTCAATCGTCGCTCTGTGAAGTATCGTAGATTTGGCTTTCTTGTACAAGCAGACACAAAATTTCAAGAGTTCGTAAGTCGAATGATAAGATGGGGAAAGAAATAGGCGGACACTAGATGTAGCTGTCAAGGAAGCATTGTAGCGACATGTGTACATGACGGGAGAAGGAGTTTGGGCAAGAAAGAACATTTCAAGGACATGAAGCCGAGTCTAAGCATAAGTGGAGCAGATAATCATGTGGATCATGTCAAATCATGTTTATTCCAGACCTTTTCGTGCATGGCTTCTGTGTCATATTGCATGCGTAGAAAAAGGAAGTGTCCAGGTCAAGTGACTCCTAACACAAGACACAGTTCCACGCCATTTCAGATCATTCCAATCATAATTTCGTTCCCCTCCGCCAACCTAATTCCAGCCTGGATACTCATCAAAGCCCCTTCCCCTCAAGATACCCTTGCACCCTCTCCACAAGATCCGCCTTCTTCCCACTCGTGCTCTCCCCCCTCTGACTCAACCACGCCTTCAGCACCGCAACAGTCTGCTTGCTAATCTGCCCTTTATTATTAACCGTCGCCATCTGCTCATCCGTGAGTCCCTCGTCATCCTCCCCTTCCTCCTTGACCTTCGGCTCCTTCTTGACACGCTTAGGCGCAGGCTTGTCGTCGCCTGGGTCCGCAGACGCGCGCTTCCCGCGATGCGGGAATGTAGAGACGGCGAGTTGAGCAAACGCCGCTTCGAACTCCGCGCCGTACTCGGTGATGTATTCGCCACAGCGCTTGTCGATTTGTCGGAACTTGGGCATCGTCTTGTCGTCTGGTTTCTCGGGTAATTCTTCCTCGAGCGCCATAGCCTGCAGTATGCGGTAGAACCACTGGAGATCTGGGTTCGGGTATTTAGCCGGGTCGTACACGCCCTTGGGAAGTTGTAGTTGCTCGATGATGATGCGCATTTTGTCTGTGAGCGCATCGGTGGTTTTGAGCACGTCGGCAGCGGGCGAGGGGAATTGGCGTATGTCGTCTGCCCAGGGCAGGGGCACGAGCCAGAGACCAGGTGGCATGGCCTGCTCGCCGTCTTCGTTGGTTTGTTCTTCGGCGGGGATCAGGGCGCTGAGGATGGGGGCAGCGTTGCGGCGCGCGATAAACCAGACGAGACCCATTTTCTTGGACTTGAGGAGTTTTTGCTGGAGGGCAGAGAAGACGCGGGTGGAGCCGATGAAGTCTGCTTCTGAAGGGTAGATGAAGGTTGCTTTGTTGGTGTTTGTCCATATGGGGAGGCAGGATATGGGCTTGAAGCCGATGATGCGGATGATGGGGTCGCCGAAGGCTTGTCTGATCTTGATGATTTCGTCTGGTGTGAAGGTGATGGCGTCGCCTCCAAACTTGTATGCCTTGCGTAGCTCCGTCTTCTCAACCACACGCGCTGTGTCATCGGCCATGTGTGACGTTGACGAGGAGACGATTTGTGGCTTGTCTCCGCCGACCCAGACGTAGCATGATTTGGCATGTTCTTGACGCTTGATCAAGATGTAGCCTTTCACGCCTATCCGTAAGTCCGGGCCCAACTCGAGGGGCAGGCTGAACAGAGCGCGGCGCGGCGTGGCTTTTGAGTTTATCGACGAGATCAACTGCTTGAGCAGCGTTATGCCCTCGCCACTTTTTGCGACCTTTGTCGTCGTCGCTACTGCAATGGGTGCATCTGGATCAGACGGCGATGTGGGGTATACGAGATCGTCGTAGAAGCGCGAGCGATCGAAGGTTTGGTCTGGTTGTGAGATGGGGAAGAGGTCGATAGTGCACCCGAGATCATACAGGTCACGCGCGCGAGTGACTGCTGTGTCCTTATCCGCTTTGACGTTGACTGGGTAGTCGTTGTCGGTGACGAGGAAGAGCCGTCTTGAGGAGAAGTTGGGTGCTTTGGTTGTGAAGATCTGGTTGGCGCAGAACAGCACTGTTGCTATGCTTGCGCCGTCTTTCGCAGGCTTCAGAATCTGCTCTGCCTCTTCCTCGTCCTCGACCAAGTCTCGCAGCCGCTTCACATCCTGCGCCGATGGCACGTCCAGGTCAGCTAGCAGGTAGCAGTGCTGGAACGTGCTGTCGCCGTCTTTGAGGTCTGTCTTCTCTGTGCCAAACAGCAGTATGCCCATCATGTCGTTTGGATTCGAGATGATCCGCTGCTGCATCAGCTGGTAGGCGCATTTGAGTGCAGCCGAAGTGGGCGAGTCCCGATCTGCTTTCTTGTCTTCGGTCTTGGGCGGGCGTTCGAGCATGGAGGGGCTGACATCGATGGCGAAGAGGACGGCATCTTTCATAGTCTTGTACGCCTGCAAGTTGTGAGAATGCAGCTTGAGCTGGCCATGGAATTGAGTCCTACCGATTCATCAATCTCCTCGTCGTCATCCTCTTCCTCGCCTGGCCGATTGTCCTGCGTATCTGCCATGCTGACGCGCTTTGGACGAATGCGCGTATATGAGTTGATCAAGAGTTGACAGCGTCGATTATCAAGTTTGAGCCAGCCCAGTGAAGTTGAAACCGGAGCGCGATCGCAACACAAAACACTAAAGAAAGCGAGCGTGGTTGTGGGATGTATATCTCGAACAAACCCGCCAGGCACCAGTCGCACTTGCCCAAAGGTGACGCGCCTGCCTCACGCGAAAACACGTGCAGCGCTCCTGCGAATGCCGCAAGTGCTTGGGCGATTCAGGCCTAGCGTCAGATCACTATGTCATCCATCTGGAAACGTAGCAACCGCCATTGGCTAGAGAAGTGCCATACAAACTAAATTCCCTATGGGCCTCGGTGTCCTTCTCCTCCCATAAGCTCCTCCCATAAGCTTCCGACCAGACTTGACTCTTTTCTGTCCATTGATCTTTGCAATGGCGCTTCGCACACCTCTGGCCCGCGCGGCGAACAGAGCTACATCGGCAGTCTCAACACCGGCATTCTCGGCGTATTCACTGCAGTTCCGGAGAGGCAACGCGACGGTCGCCCCAGTCAAACAAGATGTCGCGACCGGATCGAAAGGTCCTACAGCCATGGTCTTCATGAACATGGGTGGTCCCTCGACAACCGATGAAGTCCATGGCTTTCTGTCCATGTTATTTGTCCGTCACTCCCACCTCCACCATTCTTCAATCCTAACACCAGACACCAGGCCGACAAGGACCTGATCCCTCTCGGCCCCCTCCAAAACTACATTGGCCCCTACATTGCCCGCCGTCGCACCCCCAAGATCCAAAAACAATACGCAGAAATTGGCGGCGGTTCGCCCATCCGCAAATGGAGCGAATTCCAAGCCGCAGAAATGTGCAAGATCCTCGACAAAACCAGCCCCGAAACTGCGCCGCACAAGCCCTATGTCGCATTTAGATATGCAAACCCGCTTACAGAAGACACGTACAAGAAACTGCTGGCGGATGGATTTGGCGGCGGCAATGGAGGCAGAGCTGTCGCTTTCACACAGTACCCGCAATACTCGTGCTCCACGACGGGCTCCTCGCTCAACGAACTCTGGAAATGGCGGACCCGCCTCGAGGGCAAGGACGGCGAAGCTGAAGGCGCGATCAAATGGTCTGTGATTGACCGCTGGCCCGCGCACCCGGGCCTCGTCGAAGCCTTCGCGCGCCACATCGAGGCCAAACTTGCCGAGTACCCCGCTGAGCGACGAGACGGCGTGGTGCTGCTGTTCAGCGCACACTCGCTGCCCATGACGGTCGTGAACCGCGGCGACCCGTACCCCGCGGAGGTTGCGGCAACGGTGTATGCAGTCATGTCGCGCCTGGGCATGAAGAACAAGTACCGCCTCGTATGGCAGAGTCAAGTCGGGCCCCAACCATGGTTAGGCGCGCAGACCTCCGACACTGTCAAAGAGTACATGAAGAAAGGGCAGACGGACATGTTGCTCATCCCGATCGCGTTTACCTCAGACCACATCGAGACGCTGTACGAACTGGACAAGGAGGTCATCGGCGAGGACGCCGAGGGCCATGAAGGTGTTAGGAGAGTGGATAGCTTGAACGATAGCCCCGTCTTTATTGAGGCACTGGCTGATATTGCGAAAAAGCATTTGGACAGCGGGAAGGCGACGAGTCAGCAGATGCAGCTCAGGTGTCCGAAGTGTACGAGCGAGAGGTGTCAGGCGAGTAAGGATTTCTTTGCTGGGCAGCAGAAGTATCTCGATGCTGCAGCGTAAATTTTATACGAGGGTAGTGTATGATAGCGAAGGAAAATGTATGAGATGAAGACGTCACAGAAATCAGCTCGTTGAATATCAGAGAGAACAAACTCGGTCAAAATACAGCATACATGTCTCTCTCAAGAAGCATGATTCATAGAATTACACTCTAAAAGAACCCCCACATCCATCATCATCTACGACGTCCTCGCAACAGGCTCCTTCTCGCCGCCCATGTCATGTTCCTTGTAGTAAAAGTTCTCCTCGGGAATACGTCCCCTCAAGAACTCGGGCTCGCTGCCGCGTACGTAGATATCCTCGTACAGTACCTTGCCCGTCGCCTCTGGGGGCGCCATCTGCTCGGCCTCGGCGACCTCGGCGTCGACTTCGGAGCGCGCCTGCTTGTCGATGGACTTGAGCTCTTCCTCAGAGGTAATACCCCAGTCGAGGAGTTTCTGCTTGAGGCCGGCGATGGGGTCGTTTGTGGAGCGCATGCGTTGGATTTCCTCGCGGGTCTGCAATCGCTGTCAGCAACTATATTGAGTCTAGAAAAGAACATGCAAGGAAAGGCTTACGCGGTAAGTCGTTCCCGGGTCGGACATGGAGTGGCCTCCGTAGCGGTAGGTGACGTATTCATAGACGAGCGGGCCCTTGCCGGCGGCAGCGTATTCTTTGCCGTACTTGACGGCGGCCTTGACGGCGAGGACGTCCATGCCGTTGATCTTGAGACCGGGGATGTATTGGCCGCGCTTGTAGTAGTCGGTGATGGCGGAGGAGCGGTTGGCAGCGGTTCCCATACCGTACTTGTTGTCTGTTGTCTATTAGCTTCAACCCCACGAAACTAACTATCGAGATCTACGCGACTCTCGCAGCCAAAGATGATGGGCAGGTTCCACAGCTTGGCCATGTTGTACGCCTCAAAGACCTGGCCCTGGTTGGAAGCACCGTCTCCGTACAGCGCAAGCGTCACGTTCTTCTTGTTCTCGTACTGGCAGGCGAAGGCGATTCCAGCGGCGACGGGGACCTGAGCACCGACGATACCGTTTCCACCGTAGAAGCCGGGGGCGAACATGTGCATGGATCCACCCTTGCCGTATGCGATACCCTCTCTCCTGCCGAGCAGTTCGCCGATGATGGACTTGACGGTGCCGCCGCGCATGAGAGCGAAGCCGTGGCAGCGGTAGGCGGTGATAAGGTGGTGCTCGCGCTCGATGGCGTGCTCGATACCGACAGCGACGGGCTCCTGGCCGGTCGACAGATGGCAGAAACCGCGGATCTTCTTCTCCTTGTAGAGTCTGTCGGCGGCGATTTCCATGCGTCTGCGTGGATGATTAGAACAATGCACTCCCGCATCTGTATTGGGCGTGCTCTACCTCACGGCGAACCATGTCGTAGTACATCTTCTTCAACTCGTTCTTGGTGACCTCGAGCGTGTATGGCGGCGGGGTCGAGCTCGTATGTCTCGAAAGCCTCATCGGAGAGGCGGCACCTCGAAGGGCTTGTCATCCTCCTACAGACTGTCAGCCATCTGCTCCAGGTGCGCGCGTGTCGGCGCAGTGTATAAGAGCTCCTTCTTACCGTGGGCACGTTTTCCCGGTCGGCGTGCGATGAAGCCGCGTCGGTGGTCACGCATCTGAAGGCCGGGCGGGTCGCGAGGGGAGATGCGACATTGCGTCGGAGGGGCGACGCAATGCTTCGCCTGAATGTCCGTGACAGCATGGCGATACCGGTGTGGAGGTAGCGGGGATTGTGGTAGAGGGACGATGTTTGGTGGTTGCTGAAAAGATTAGAGCTCTCCCGCGCCAACTCCGATGATCCACCTTCAGCTTGGACCCTCAACAATATTACCACGATAATAATTAGGGCATCGAATCTCACTGCGTTTTGGCTTCACCTCACCACTCCACATCACATTGCTGATTTCAACGGCTCACTGAAGAATGATCTCATTCATGTTCACGGGGTATCAAGTGCTTTTGAGCGACCAAAATCACAGCCAACAGCATCGGCGTGACTTTCGAACAATGCCTCTATCCCTCTCCGCCGCTTGCATTTTCATCCTCCGAGTCCTCCTCATACTTGGCCTGGGCCGACTTGTTCCCGAGACTCTTCTTGGTCGCTTCAACGCCACCAGACGTCAGATACAGGAATTGCGGGTCCTTGTAGTTGTCAAGATGTGTGAAGAAGGCGTTGAACCTAGCCATTGTTAGCATGAGAAAGATGGTATGGTATGGTATAGACTCACTGATTACCCTGCGCCTCTTCCCGGAAGATGCGCTGGTAAATTTCCCGCTCCTTGAACTCCTCGATCTTGTCGTTGTACTTGTTGAAGTCGACCTTCTCACGTCCAGCCTGCTTGGCCGACTTCTCGTTGTACGAATCGAACACGGGGCGCTCGAGAAGCAGTCCCAGACCCGGGGCCTTGGGTATCCGCACAATTGTGTTGCCAAAGCTCTCAATCATGATGTCGGGGTTCGAGCCACAACGCACAGTCAGCGCAACCATGCCTACCATCTTCCTGATTTGATGCATCATAAAGCTCTGACCATGCACCTTCAGGCTTAGCCACTCCGTATCGTTGATAATGATGGGCTTCGGCGCCACTTTGAAGCTCTTGATGTATCGCTGTGCGGACTTGTCGCTGAACTTCTTTTGGACGGTGTAGTTGTGGTACTTGCGCGTTCCGAGGTAGTTGTTAAGAGCTGCCTGGACACGGGCTTGTCGCTCCGGAGAAATGCGGTAGGATTTCTTTGCGGATAAGTAGGCTGCCTTGAGCGCCTTCACGGCTTCTTCTAAGGGAGAAACGTGGACGGTCTTTGAAGGTAGGGGGACCGAGCCATCGGTCTCAGAATCGAGGGTCAAGTTCGGCTCCTGCTGTTGAATGGCATCCACCATATCTTTCACTTCATCCTCAGGCTTGTCAACGTTCATTGGCTCGCCAGCGTCGGGCTTTGCCGTCTCTTCGGCAGCCTCTTCCTTGGGTGGTGCGGGCTCCGTGCCTGCTGTGTCAATAGACGCATCGATCAAGGGATCACCTGGGGGCGCATCGACCGAATCCTGTGTGTACAGAGCGTCCTGAACGAGCGGACGTATCGAGTCATCCAAGCTGTCCAGAATAGGCTTAATGTACTTCTCCTCGGTCTCTGCCCAGAAGTTGGCTACTTCGGCCTGTCTTGCGCGGTATGCATCCATATCGCCTTCCTTCTCTGCATACTCCTCCAGCTTCTTCCCGAGGAAACTTGACGGGTGAGGTGGAAGAAATGCGTGCGTGGGGATCAAGTACTCGTACCAGCGCGAGTCGCACGCCTGGTAACAGCTGAATGACCCGGTGGTCCGCTGGATGCCCCAGACCCGGATCTGCTCCGAGAGGTGGCTGTTGATCTTCTCGACAATGTCTTCCTCTTCAATGATCAACTTCAGGGAGATGACGTTGCCAGCAGCGTGGACACCTTTGTCGGTGCGGGCGCATCGGACGAGCGAGGACTTCTTGGGGTCGTCGGCGTTCGCTTTCGATATCGCACCGGCAGCAACGAATGCGGTGAAGAGGTCGCCCTCGATGGTCTTCTGCTTGTTGTCGATTTGCATGCCCTTGTAGCCAGTGCCCGAGTAGCCGATCATGACTGCGACTTTGCGCTTCGGCCTGCGCTCCTCTGCCTCGACCTCTTCAGCTGGGAAGGCGGCGGGAAGAGCCGGCTTCTCGTTCTCGCCCTTCTCCTCATGGTCCTTGTTTTTGTCCTGCTGTTCAGCATTGCGGCCTCGGCGGTCTAGTTGTGCGGTTCTGCTTAGTTAGAGCCGTGCATTTGCAGGCGTGCGCGGAACTCACTTATGCTCCTTACGCCCCATATTTCTCTTCTTGTCCGGACGGCTGCCGTGCTGAAGGGATCGACCGCCTCTGCCTCCCCGCTTGCCGCCGCCGCGATCCTCCCATTTGCGCTTCCTGTCGCGATTCGACGAGCCATTGTCACCGCGGGGGCCGTCGTTGTCGGCCATGGCTGCGATTGGACTTTCCGGGGCAGCTTGCTCCACGGTGTGAGGCGCGCAAACATGTGGTGGGGAGAAAAGTGAGAGCAGCTGGAGCTAAAGTGGGGACCTGGAGAGCTTCCTTTGATTTTCTCGAAACTTATCGATACGCTAGTGCTGCCTGCGCCACAGCTACTGCGGCCTTTACCTCCTACGCTTGCATCTCTCGCATCCTCCCTTCAACATCCACCCTCTAAATACCCCGAGGGCACGTGAAAGTCATAGTACGGAGACTGCCGCAAGCGTGGAACTCAGTCCCCCACTCACCCTGACCACGGTCCTCGAGCAACAGCCGCCGGCGCATAGAACAAAGCCACCGCTGCCTGCACGCGCACCCGCGAGCTTCACCCACCATGAAGGACCCCATCGAGACGGCCAAGCAGCTCGTGCGGACTGTAGTGCGCATGTTCTACGAGATCGAGCACGTCGTCGTCATGGATGCGCTCTGCTACCACGGCGCGCTGCCCGTCAACGACCTCGTCCTTGTTCTCGAAGCTGGCAAGAACACAAAGCACGTGGGCAAGATTGTGGGAAAGCTCAAGGAGGCAGGCATGTGTGCTGTGTAGGTATCACGTTTGCGATTGGTAAGCAGCACTGACTGGCGCAGATACACGCAGCAAGTCATGCGCGAGGGCGCAACGAAGCAGACCAGCCGCGAGTACTACTACATAGACTACCGACGCGCCATCGATGCCTGCAAGTACAAGATCCACAAGATTGACGAGATGGTCAAGAAAAATGCGAAGCCCACTGCCGAGAAAGCTGAGCTCAAGTGCGCGCGCTGCCGCTCCCAATACACAACCATGGACGTCCTAAACAGCATCGACCCGGAACCGTCAGCTGAATCGAGCGGGTTCCTGTGCTTGAGGTGCGGTCATCCACTGGACGAGATCGATGCTGGTGGTCAGGCCGATGATATGGCGGACGATACTCCCGCAAAGTTCAACAAGATGTTTAGTCCGCTCTTGAACCTGATGGCTGAGATAGATCAAATGAAGATTCCACACGTAGAGGGCAAGGACGCAGTTGATGCGAAGATTGACCTGCCGCGCGACAAGAACATCGACCCTGGTACAAGACACGAAGTCGTCGAGACTGTTGTCGCGAGACCCACGGCTGTCAGGGGCATAGACACTGGCCCAGAGAAGATCAGCATCCAGATCAGCTCCACTGCTGAGCAGAACGAGAAGCAGCGCGCAGCTGAGAAGGCACGGAAAGCCAAGACTGACACGCAAAACCAGCTTCCGGAGTGGCACGTTCGCTCTACTGTGATCAAAGATGCAAACGGCACTACTACCACTGTCAAGGAAGAGTCAAACGGCACAGACTCGACGCTCATCAAGACAGAAGCCCCTGAGGCTGCGGGCGCTGGTCCGAACCTGGACGACGTCTTTGCTCAAATAGAGGCTGAACGAAGGAAAAACAACCAAGACGCGGAGGACGATGACGACGACGATGATGACGATGACGAGTTCGAAGATGTCGCTGTAGGCACCCCAAGCACGGTTCCTGACGCAAAGCGCGTGAAGCTTGAATCCTCGGCCGCACCCACACCTTCCAATGCAGCGACGCCAGCGGCATCAAACGGTGAAGGTGGAGATGAGAGTGAAGAGGACGAGTTTGAGGATGTGAATTGAAATTCTGCATAGCGTTGGCGTTGGTTGAATCATGGATATGGCGTTTTATACCAGGTAGATGTAAAAAGGCTCTGCCCATGTTGGTGGAACACGACAACTGAAAATTGTCATACTTGTAAATTAGATCGCAATGTACAAAAAATGATTCTCGTGAACACGCGTGTTTAGCTTAAAAACAATTTAGATATGTCGCTTCAGCCTACAGCTTGATCGACTTCGAGGCACCGTATGCATATAAAATAACAATGTCCTCATGTCACGAATCCGATTGCTCTAAATACTGGCAATGGCATGATTGCAAAGGTCGCTGTCTTGATCTTCAGCTTCAGCCCTACGGATGGCGCCGAGGGAGGTTTAGGCGAAAGTCCGACATCCCACTTCATCCCCGCGTGCTCCAACAAGCCGTCCACACATCCACAATCGCCTGCGCCCACCCCCTTCCCACCACCAATCCGGACGCTCTGCAGATCTGCCCATGGATAACACGATATAACACCCTCGATCATGGCCGCATCCGCAAAATCCCTCGCCTCACTCCTCGCACAAGCTTCTCTAGAGGACCACGACGAGGTCCTCAAAGCTGCCAATGGCGCAATCAAGAAGTCAAAAACAGACATTGAGGCACACCACGTGAAGGCAATAGCTCTGCTCAACTTGGACCGCTATGAGGATGCATTAGAAGTGTTTGAGAACACAAAAGCATTGCAAGAGAAGGCGTCGTTCGAATATGCATATGCGCTGTACAAGACGGGCAATGCCGCGAAAGCTGTAGAAGTCGCTGAGGCTTCAGGCGCAAATGGCGGGCGCGGATCGAAGCACATGCTTGCGCAGGCTGTACGTGGCGCAGGCAATGGAGCAGAGAGAACACGGTGGCTAACGGGCGCAGGCATACCGGTCGGAAAACTTCGCGCAAGCTGCCAAAATATACAAGGAGCTAGCCATCCAACCCGTCGAAGACGAAGAATACGATATCCGCATCAACTCGGGTGCTGTTGACGCACAATTGGAGTGGACGGGCCAGGGCGAGCTGGCGCAGAAGAAGAAGCCCACACGTGAGGATCTAGAGGTCTTTGAGACTGCTTTCAATGCAGCGTGCGGAAGCATATCGCGGGGCGAGTTGGCACAAGCTGAAGTGTGCTTGAAGAGAGCCAAAGACCTTTGCAATGCGGCGTCGGATCTCAGCGAGTCGGAAAAGCAGGCAGAACTGATGCCGATTACAGTGCAGCAGGTCTACGTTTTGACGCAGCTGGGCAAGATTGACGAGGCAGAGGCGCTGGCTTCGGACATCCCAATCGCAGAGTACGTTGTGCATATACAAGCTCTCGACAGTAGCTAACAACCACAGAATCAAGGAGCTATCCACCCGCTACATTGCCCAGGTCAACAGCATCGCCGCATCAAAAGAGCTCTCGAACCCATATCGCTCCCACCGCCTCTTCCATTCCTCACCAAAGCCCCCCGTCACAGACCAGCACTTCTCCTTCCAGTCCAACATCCTCCAACAAGACGAATATGTCATCTCTCTGCTCTCCCAAAAAGTCGCAGGCGTCGCATCGTCCACCGAAAAAGTCATCTCCGCCACCCCAGCACCCTCGCTCGCACCCTTGGTCAACATGGCCGCTGTCCTCAACGCCGCCGCCCACGCCCGCAACGCTGAGACCTCAAAATCCGCCCTCAAGGAAATCGTCCCCTTACTCGAAAAGCGCCCCACCGACGTCGGCCTCCTCCTCACCATCACACACCTCTACGTCCTGACTAACAACTACGCCGCCGCCACCCACCTGCTCGAGTCCTTCTTCAAGCGCCTCGAGCACTCTGGGTCCGCGTCGGATCTAGACGTCCGCTTCGCCCCGGGCCTCATCGCCTCCCTCGTCGCCTTGTATGCCACTCAATCCCGCCCCGGCGCCGCAAAAGCACAACTCGCAGCTGCAGCAGAGTACTGGCGCACGCAGACCCAAGCGCCGTCGAAAGCCCTCATGGTCGCCGCCGGCACCGCGCTGCTCGACACGCACAACCCCGACAACGTCAAGCAGGCAGGCGAGATCTTCAAGAGCTTGTACGACCAGGACAACGAGGACAGAGCTGCTGTTGCCGGGCTGGTGGCCGCGTGGAGTATTTCCTCTCCGCAGGACATACCCGCGGATTTACTGGCGTATTTGCCCGAAGCCTCGCGCCTGATCGCGGACATGGACGCCGCGGCCTTGGAATCCGCTGGTGTGCCGCAAAGCACGCAGACCAACGACGTGGCGCGCAAGCGCAGCCTCGCGCCGACCAAGCCCGTGCATGCGCGCGCGAAGCGCCTGCGCAAAGCGCGTGTGCCCAAGGAGTACGTCGAGGGCAAGAAGATGGATGAGGAGCGGTGGCTGCCGATGCGCGATCGGAGCTACTACCGGCCGAAGGGGAGGAAGGGGAAGAAGAGGGCCGAGGGGCTGACGCAGGGTGGGGTGGTGAGCGAGGAGAAGGGGAGTGCGCCGACGCAGGTTAAGAAAGAAGTCAAGGGGAAGAAGAAGAAGGGTGGCAAGTGGTAGATGTATGTGTGAGAGCAAGTGTATAGTATAGTGGTAGGAAAATATGTTCATACCACATACTCCTCATCTACTCCAAGTCCATTAAAACGCCCCAATGAATAATTCAACAACTCATATCTCTCACCGCCGACTACTCTCCAACTCGCCATATCTTCCTCGCGCAACCGTCGTGTCATACGCCTGCAACACACGCGCCTGACTCTCGTCCGTCTGACTAAACGCATACCCGCGCTGCTTGCGCATACGCTGTACTTGTCGGACCTTGCGGATAGCTTTTTGGAATTGTTCCATCCTGTCACATTATTAGCAACCATCCATTCACACAAATTCGGTTGGGTAAACTCGACGTACCTCGGTCTATAATCCTGGATATTATACTTCTGAATCTCCTGCACATGATGATACGCCTGCGGAAAGTACATGCGCTTCGCGTACTTCCACGCAAAGTCTCTGACCAGACAAAGTGGCGGCAAGACGACTACCATCGCCCAGAATCTGGGGTCCGGGAAAAGTCTTTCGATGACGCCAATGTACTCGTGGCTGATACCAGCCTTGGGCGCGACAATGGCGTATATCGGCATCAGGATGAACCACAGCAGAAAGCTACCAGGAATGGCGAGGAACGTGTACTTAGTCCAGATATTTGTGATCAGGGAAGCTTTGAGGAGTACGGTGGCGAGGTTGGCGGTGTAGGAAGCGGTGCCCCAGACCCAGTGGCCTGCATTGCGGCCATCCCATTGCGGCCAGTCGTACAGGATGATGGCCTGGCTACCAAAGTACAATATCAGGGAATGATAGAAGCCGTTAGCGACCCAGGACCAAAAACTGTGCATGCGAAAGAAGACGCCGGATTGACTCAGACGATAGAGCTGCGGGTATCGATCGAGCAGACGTGCACTGACGAATTGGTCGAAAATGCCGATTACGAAAGGAGGCGCCGCGGTGAAGAAGACGTTGTAGAATGTAAGTGTCCAAGATTCGTAGATGATTTGGCCGGAGAAAGCGTTTTGGAATGAGTACCAGAATTGCGTCATGAACATGGCGATGTTTTTGTAGAAGGAGTAGAGGATGACTTTGCTGACGCGCTGGTAGGACCATGCGCCGTGCACGAGGAGGAGTTTGCGCAGGTAGCGGAATTGGCCGATGGATATGTCAGCAGACCGCGCGGCTTGGAGACCTTCCATACCGGAGATACCGACACCGACGTGGGCGGCTTGGATCATGGAAACGTCGTTGGCTCCGTCACCGATGGCGAGGAGGATGGACTTGAGGTGGCGCTTGACGAGCTTGACAACTAGAGCTTTCTGCAGAGGTGAGACACGGCAACAAATGACCGCCTTACACTTTACTGCCAGATCCAAGAACTCTTTCTCGAGATCACGCTCGAGACGCGTATGTGAGTGATTTGCCGTCAATGACGAGAGCAAGGACGTCCATTTCGTGCTGCCCTCCCTGTGACTGGCTGGTGATGGCTTGGAACTTCTTGCGGATGTTGTCCCGAGTGGCGTCTTTGGTCTCTTCGTTGATAATGAGGAGCGACATGTCTTCGCTGATCAGCTTGCAACTCATACCAATGTTGATGGCTGTCTCTTGACGATCGCCAGTCAAGACCCAGACTTTGATGCCGGCTGATTGCAACGTCGCGATAGTGTCAGGAACACCGTCCTGGAGTTTGTCTTCAATGGCCGTCGCGCCAAGTAGAGTAAGATCGTGCTCAATTAGTTCCGCAGCCTTGTCCAGTTCGTCAGCACGATTTCCGCTGACTGTCGTCTGAGCAGTGTTGAAGATTTGCCACCATTCCTGGAATTCGTTCTCAGGGATCTCACGGTAAGCGAGACAGAGCGTACGGAGACCTTCTGCAGCATACTCTTCGAGGTGCGTTAGTGTCGTCTCGACGTAAGGATTGTTATCTTTGGCGAGTCGCTCGAGAATGACCGTATCGGCGCCCTTGGTATAACAGACGATCTTTCGCTCTGGCGTTCTGAAAATAGTAGACATGCGCTTCCTCGTGGAATTGAACTCGCAAATGGCCAGAATTTCATATTCCTGCTCGCGACCGTCCACCTCGATGATGACTGCGCGAGGTTTGCGCGCGATGAACTTGTACCCCAGCAAGACTGCCCCCTCAACGAGCGCCCCCTCGTCGGGAGACGCAGCCTGATACTTGATGGCGCCCTTCTCACCACCTCGTTCCGGGATGACCGTGTGACATGTTGAAAGCAATGTGAGGAAGTTCTTGATGATTTCGCGAGAGTGATGGGTCTGGCGATTGCGTTCTAATGCCTTGAAGTCGTGAATACCAACTTCAATTCCGTCTTCAACTGTAGCCCTCCTGTCTTCTGGTATTTCGTCCGCGTATTGGATGCCAGCGATGGATGACTGCTTGAACTCCATCACGTTGCATGTCAGAGTACCAGTCTTGTCGGAGAAGATGTATTCGATCTGACCCAACTCTTCGACCAAAGACGATGTGCGACAGTTCGCTGGGGTATCGGTTGGTTCGTAATAGATATCCAAATCAGAGTCGATCAGGGTGCCGGTGTAGTATTTGACAATTTCGATGGTGACAAATAGAGAGATGGGGACCAGGTTAGAGTATAGGACCCAGTACGTTAGCAAATCACGGAAGAACTGTTTTGCTCCATTGAACGCCTCCAACTTGAGGTAGTCCAAACTGTTCCGCTGTCTTGATTGGATAATGACGTCGCCAATGGAGCTTACGATACTCAGACAAATGAGAATGATTACGAGCATGAGAATCTGCTTGTTCACCATTCTCTCCACTGCAGTCGTTTTGATGGGAGTGGCAGTAGCATTTCTCATAAGCTTCGTCTCGTGACCGGTGAAGACAACGACGCCATGGATCCAAGGGGTGTTTCGAAGCGTGGCGCCACGCAGCAGTAGCTGATCAGGCTGTAGAGGCAGTTCCTTCTCTCCACCGCCAGCTGCGATGGTCAGCGTTGCTTCGTAGGTGTACAGACTACTGTTGGGCTGTTCGGATCGAATCTTGCCGCCCAAGCGTGCCAATTCGGCGGGACTGACGAAGTCGGCAGTCTCGGGAATGGCTTGCTTGATCTTCAAGTTGGTCTCGCCGTCAAGATTAGCCGTCTCAATGTAGCAGAGACCTTCTGGTTCTGACGATGCTAGAAGGACCAGATCGGCAGGGAAAGGTGATTCGGACTGAACGCGGACAATATCTCCGACAGCGACATTGATCCATTTGGTGTCTTGGAATGCTGAGCCTTTCAGAACCTGCGCCTTGGCATTGTTCAGCTGCGCATCAGACTGCTTGCGCCGGTAATCTTCAATATACTCCTTGATGGCTGACACCAGCAACACAATGGCAAGCGGGACAATGGTGGTAAATCGCGACGTGGGCGAAATACCGGGTATCTGTTGCAAAACGGCGGTAAACAAGAAAAACAAGTTGGCGTATTTGGAGAATTGCTCGTACAAGAACTTGGGCAGGAAGGTGATGACGTTGTATTTGGACGTCGAGATGTGGTTGTCGACGTATTTATTTGCTGAGTTGGCGGGCGGGTTGTTGAGGTGAATCATGCGGGGACCGAGTGTTGATGGGTCTGGCGCTCCACGTCCAAAACCAAACTTGAAGACGCCGGGTGTGCTCTTCTTCTTCTTGACTGGCTCGTCGTCGTGGTAGGCGCTTGGTTGCGGCTGGCCTTGCTGTCCCGCATTCTCAGTCAGTGGCAGGTCCATCTCGGAGTAGTCCTGGCCCCGCCCGAACATGTTCTTCACTCGCCCCGTCAGGCCGCCTCCCAGACTCAGGATACTATTCCTGTTGTGTGCATTCTTGGAAGACCCGCGCTGGATGCCTGGCGACCCTGCCTCGAATGCGCCCCCCGCAGCATAGTAGCCCTGCGTGGAATGGCCATCGTCCTCTGCCATGTCCGCGTCCGAATATCGCTGGTAGTTGTGGAGGTCGGATGTCTGCGAATACGCCCGTCCTCCTCTGCCTCCTCCCTCTTGCAGGAAGGGCGGTTGTGCAGGAGGAGCACCAGGCCCTCCCGGGAGGCCCGCGGTGGGCCTGCCTCCGCCGACAAAATCATCGTATGAGACGGATGGCCGGCCGGGCGGCGCATTGTCGGAGCTGTCTATGTCGTAGCGGTCGAGGAGCTCATGGTCGTTCACGGGCGGCCGTGCGCCCGAGTAGTATGTGGGTTGGTGGTCGTGGTCGTCAAAGTCGATTAGGTTGTCGCTGTGAGCCGTCTGTCCATGCGGAGGCCTGCCGGCCATAGCGGCCAAAAGTTTATGCGGGCGCTATGTTCACGCAGTCCTACTGCTGTGTGCGCTCATGCGATGAAATCCGTCTCTTGTGTCTCTGTGCCACGTTTGTCGAGTTGCGCGCGGGCAGATGCGGACGTCTGGCGATGTTGCGTAAGCTGTCGGGTCTTCACACGCAGCGCCGGAGCTTGGACTTGGACTGGGACTGGATCTTGGGTGACGCGATAATCGGCGAGGTCGTGAATGTCGTCGAAGTCGTGACAAAGACGCGAGAGGGATTTGCTGATGTCGTCAGAGCCCGTGGCATGTGTCGTTCGGAAAGTTTTGGCTGGAGCTGGGAAGCTGCAATGCGGCCATGCACGGGCCCGGATCGTGAGGCAGTGCGTACCCTGGACAACGTGGAACAGATGTCTTCGTCTTGACCTTCACACACGTTTCGAGAGAGACGATTATGATCTGATAGGTGCTCTCAGAGAGTCACTCCTGTCAGGTGTGCGCCTCACACTTTCTTTAACCGCCCCAGTGTCTTTCCCGTTTGCGCACAGCGCCCCGTTTGACAGGGCGATGCTGATGGCTCGGCACCAAGCCTCAACTCGGTTCCTTAACCATGACTTTTACGTACTGCCGAAGTTTCACTGCATCAGGTGAAATTGTCTGCTTGATACGGCGCTTCTTGGTTCAAGTCGACCTCTCAATCAATCACCAAGTTGACATCTTGCGAGACTTTGATCCAGCCAAGTCAAGATTGACATCGTCCGCCGCTCAAGTCCGAATCGTGGAATGTGGCGTAGGCCCTTGCAACCGAAAATCTGGGGCTTGCTGGGCGCCCAAAATAGCCTGCCGCGTAACTTGGGTGGTCAGCGCTGAAGTGCAACCTTGAAACCACGCAAGCAGAGCGAATCACAATTTCGCGACTTTATTGCCATTCCATGGCTGCCGTATGAGGCATGAAGTACGACGTGTCTTGGAAGTCCAATGGCATGTTGCGCGTGGCGCAGTGGGTGCTTCTTGCGTCCCATGTAGTTTACGGAGAACGAATCTCGGAATATAGAAACTATGATATTGTGTATCTCCATTTGAATCACTCGATATACATATCGGCTGCCATGGAAAGAGGACGAAATCACCTACCTCGATTGTCTTTATAGCTAGGCAGATCTCAAGCAGGTGATGAGTCCAATCGCTTCCAATCGGCCCATCGTACCAAATTATTTCGTTTGCGTGCGGGGAACATCCATACAGCGACGAAGAGTCACAGCCGGACCAGCGAATTCTTTCCAAGCCCGTAGACCGTCCCTTGATAGCTGGTTTTTCACATCTGATATGGATATTATATTGTAGCTAATTTTGGTTTTTTCCATCAAACAGCCTGGTTAGCGTACGTTCATATCTTACCCTCCAGCGCAACTCCATCTAACAACCTCCCAGTCAATCGGTAGAGCGTGAGACTCTTAGGTTTCACTTTCTCAGAAAGCGATTGATCCAATCTCAAGGTTGCGGGGTATGTTTCACTCAATCCTGGTGCACAAATTCAATTTGTACTGACTTTCATTAGTTCGACCCCCGCATCGGGCTTTGAGTTCTTTTTTTTTGCGCAATTTTTGTACACGGATCTCATGATACAGGTAGTGCAGCAACGAGGAGGTAGATGAGTGTTTCTGCAATAGAAGCAAGTTCATCAACTACTGTGTGTAATGCGTGTTCAAAGAATGAGACTGCGCATAGGTGATGCATTGCTTTTTACTCATTTATGTTCAAGTTCCCTGAAAGCAATAGGGTAAATTGAGACGTATCGAAAGTGGTCTGATTCATTCCACTGCAGCAGTAATCCTATCAAACTCAGCATTCATGTGTTCCCAGACCATTTCCTTCACACCTTGTGCCCTCAAATCTCTCAGCACTTCAACCGACGTCTCAGTCCGCTTCTCCCCATCACAAGTCACCGAGTACACACCACTTCCCTCCCTGCCATCACTTCCCTCCGCAATACCCACATCTCCCCTCACCACACCCCTCGCGCTCCCCACGCGCGGCTCATACCTCCCACTCGTCGCCAGGTAAACCTCCCGCTCGCCACACTCCTCAATCGGAACGAACAACCACCTCCCAAACAACCCTCCAACTACATTTTTAACAGTACTCAGAACCCAATCAATCGCCCCCTCGGCATTCTTGTACAAATTCGTCTCCACTGAGCCCAGGAAATTGTGCACGAAGCTCACGCTAGGCACCCGGTCGGCCGGCACCTCCCACGCAAGCGTATGTATGCTCGACATGTGAGGGCGGAGTTTACACAGTGGCATGGTAAAGGCGCTAATATCGGACGTGTCTACCAGCAATCTCGAGGGGAGGATGGTTAAGTACGCCCGAATGCGATTTGTCCCGCGCTCAGGACTATGAGGTTCACGTGCTTTTCTCGCTTCCGGACGTATTCACATGCGAGATCAGTTTGTTTGACGGAGCGCAGATCGACGCGTACGAAGATGTATCATCCGGAGGGATTGATTTGACGGCAGGAGGCGATGATGTGTTTGGCTGATGATTGCGATCTCGCCAATATGTAGATGCGCGGTTCGGTGGCATATTTTGCTAGTGTTTGGAGAGTGGCTTCACCTATACCGCTCGTAGCTCCTGCGAAGATGGCGACGAGGTGCCTTGGTAAGGATAATGGGATTTGGGCGTTCAACGCGAGGACTTGTGGTAGCGAGACCATCTTTAGTAAGATAGCAGTGCAGATGCAATGAGTTTGGTATTCACTTTACAACTTCGTATGCTTTATGTGCCGTCATAAGTCCTTCTTCTAATTGCCGGAATCATGCATATTGGTACATCTTGAGGTCGCCGGGCAAAGCGCGGAAGACATGATGAACTGTTGTTCATCATGTCATCTTTGTACCTTGTGATAGTGTATGTACGACGTAAAACCTCCTGTTCTTCGCTTTGTAAGGCGCGCCGTGATGGTGCATATTTCCGGACGAAGCGCGGAGGACGTCGGGACTTCCACCATGGTAGCTTGTATCGCCTTTTGCCTGGGAGCTTGATGAAGAATAGTGTTGCTCGAACGGCGAGGTTACAGTGTCTCACACCAGTCATCATCGATGTTTCGTGTGGAGCCAGCCATTTCTAAGATAAGGCCGTATGTTTAGGCCTTCATCTCAGAGGCTCGAAATATGTGCCTTTGTTGAGTCATGTCTTGTTTTCCATCATGGAACGCTGCAGTAGCGTATTCCTGTCGTCTCCTACCCTATTCTGCCGTCGTGGTCTTGAGCCAAGCAAGCGCGGTAGAGAACGGTATAAGAAGGGAAGGCGTAAATGCAGGTACGGACTAGGCTCCGTGCCGGGTAGCAGTTTGTAGCAAGTATAGACGACAATCATCGAGCATTTGGTTCAAAGTAGGTCGCCTGACAGCCTGCACTTGGCATGTGTCTTCCTATACCATGCCATTGGCGAATGCAATTGTCGCGGGGCAGGCAGAAGCGGGCGGGTTGCATGCGGCCAAGCTGCTAGCCAGAGGATCAGATAAAAATTTTCAGCGGATCAGATAAGGCCCACCTGCTCCGGCCCAATGAAAATGGTCGACTCACCGTCCGCACGACTTGACATTGATGGTGGAGCAGCACGACGTGTTGTGGGCTCAGAGTGCGTGATTTCCGATGTCGGTAAGTCGCGGCTGTCGGCAATAAAGAGAGCCCATGATCTTATCAGATCTTGCTCATCTTCCTTCCATACCCTTCCCTCCACGCATTCCTGCCCTTATCAGATCGAATACATTTTCTCAAGATGAGACTTTCAAACATAACCGATGCCATGGGCAACATCAGCCTCTCAAATCCTCATCGAGTCCTCGTTGTCGGCTGCGCATACGGAGGTATTTCTGCAGTCCTCAACCTGCTGGACTACTCCCGAGGCAAAGCACGGGAACACTACTATCCAGGACCAGACTTCAAAGGAGCAAAGAGTAGTCGAGGAGTCGAAATCACAGTCATCGATGAGCGTGATGGATATTGTGCGTCACTTCCCACATTAGCCGAGGCTCTTGAGCTCGACGCTTGTTGATCGACATCGTCACGATGCATGAATTTCTTGTGCTAACTGGCATCCTCCACAGTCCATTCCGTCGGCGCACCGCTTGCACATGTCACTCCTAAATTCACAAGTCACATGTGGAGACGATTCAGCCATCTGAATGAGCTGAAGCATCCCAACCTACATTTTAAACATGGCAGCGTCAAGAAAGTCGACCCGGAGTCCAAAGTCGCGGAGTGGTGTGATCGCAATGGCAAAATTCAACGGCAAGCATACGACTATCTCATCATGGCAACCGGCTTGAAAAGGCATTGGCCTGCTGTGCCCAAGTCTGGTAGCTACGAAGAATACTTAAGAGACGGGAAGGCGTTTATTGAGAAAATCACTGGTGGCGATGAGACCAAGCATGAAGGCCGAAGAGTCGTCGTGATCGGGGCTGGTGCAGTCGGCGTCGAATTTTCGGCTGAGATCAAGACCCACTATCCCAAGATTGCCGTCACCCTGGTACATTCACGGTCTGAGGTATTGTCGTCCGAGCCTCTACCCTCGGACGTGAAAGACCGCGCGCGAATTCTCCTGGAGGAAGAGGGTGTTGACCTTGTCCTTGGCAACCGGGCTTCCATCGCGGAGCAGCCAAATGGCCAATTCCAGGTGACTCTGGCAAATGGCGACATCATAACCGCAGACTTCGTCATCGACTCAACAAAGAAAGGCACACCAACTACCGACGTACTACCAGAGGCATGTCTGAACGACGACAAGGAGATAGTGGTCCACCAATCACTCATGTTCAAAGACAATATCCCCAACGCATCATCACATTTCGGCGTTGGCGATGTGATCGCCTGGTCTGGTATCAAGCGGGCCGGAAGTGCAACAGTAATGGGCCAGTCCGCGGCACAAAACATCTACGCTTCAATACTGAACTCCGAGCTGTCGGAGTCCGCACCAGAGACAGAAAAGCACACCTTGTCAGAGCTACCGGCATGGGATGCCGTCATTGGCCTTGCTGTCGGCAAGCAGTGCCTGACATATGATCCTCAGAACGGAATAAAGTACGGCGTGGAAGTCATGCAGGGTTACTTTGGAGATGATTTGGGCTGGGCCGCCAATCTGAAGTATCTTGGTCTTACTGATGTTATCGAGAAGGAGAAGGTAGAAGTGCCAGAAAAAGCGGAGATGGTAGAAGTTGGCATCAAGCCCATCGAGGCTACCGCGTGAAGGAAGTACACATACACATTCTGACATAATCGTCATAGAACAGTAATCGCATCATGAAGTTTCTAACGATCCCATACCATCTTACTTACATTTGGTGCATATCAAACCAAACCGCCCCGCAACTGCATCAAACACAATCGAAAAGCCGTACAAGATATTCCTTCCTGGACTTACATACGGCACAGCGCCCTTTGTGACAACTTCAACATGACTGGGCGACCCAGGAAACTTACTGTCCCCAACCACAAAATCATAACCCGCGACACCTTTCCCCATGTCAAGAAATGCAAAATTGAGCTTCGTGCCCGTTATCACTCGTTTCGAAATTTCCGGCGGTGTCTTGCCGTCACTGACGGTCCTATTCGGTAGAGTAGACTGCAATGATGACTGTATCTTCATTTGCGTCGTGCTGATATCAATGAGCGCGCGTGCTTGCGTCGACTCATTCGAAGTTCCAGAGGTAAAGGAAACAAGCGGTCCAGCCCAAGCCTGCGGATCCGTAGTCCCAGCTAATTTTCCGAGTCGCGTCCAAACCGCCCCAGAGGTATTATCGTCCGTCAGGCCCAAGTATACGCCTCGTGCCGTAATCACATAGCCTTTGCGCATCGAAAGCGTATTGTAGTCGGTGAGGCGCATGACGTTCAGGAACGGGTCGTGTGAAGGTATGCTGGGAAAGCTGCCATTTCCAGGTGCCGTGACCCCGAAACCGACGCCCATGAATAATACTGAATTGAGGTGCTGCTTGTACTTCTTATCGAGCTTTTCCAGTGGGCACACACCCTTGTCTCTGTCCTTATTGAATCCAGGACATCTGACAATTTTGGTTATGACGAGTACCGGAACCTGGCTTATCGCTTGCTGACTTCTTTTGGAGCCATAGAACGTGATGGGCAGATTGGCAATTTGGCCGGTGAGCAAGATGCTGTTATCACTTATGAATCTCCATCCGACTGGATTGCCTTTTCCCAGCTGCAGCTTTGGTAGTCGGTTTGCGCCTATCACGACACCAGTACTCGTAGTGTCAATGGGGAAGATTTGCCGCGAACCAGCAATGACACCAAGAACGCTCGGTGTGTAGCCTGAGGCGCGGGAAAACGGCTTCGTCCATGGGAGGAAGATGGTTTGTGTAGGGAGAGCATCAGCGCTGGATGAGCGAGGCCGGATGGCTTGCGGGATAGTATCGGATGGGACAAGAAAGACAAAGGCCGGAATGATGCTCACGAGAGCTGCGGCTAACAGAGCTCGTCTAGGTTCCCGCATAACTTCGCTTTGAGGATGTAAAGGCGCGTGTGCGGCCTCGTAACTAAGCTCTGGAGAGATGCGGAGGCACACCTCATTCTGTGTAACGATGGCAGGAATGTGACGGATGGAATGCAACACAATCGCCCAGCTCATTTCCAGCAAGGACCTTACATCAAAACTCCCTTGTGGTTGCACCTTTTGTTCGATACTGTGATTATGTAAATAGCCGTGTAGGTATCCTCTCTTCTTCATCACACTTCATAGATTGTGCATCAGAACCATCATCTTGGCCTTTCTGATGCCTCCGCATAGATACCATAGGAACGCTGGAGATGCTACGCGACGGGATTCTTTCTGGACGTTCTGGATCATAGAGAGATGTTGCTTCCGATAAGCTTATTGCCTCGATGGCCACTGAGCGCTGGAAGCATTTCATAAAGTTTGAAGCTGCAAACCTGCCCCATCAATCACCTCGCTCCACCTCCCAAGATGGTTGATGACAGCATCGGTGTAGCTCGGAACTCAACTTCCCGCCCACCAGGCGCCGGCAAAATTCCTGCCCGCTGTTTCTTCATGCGAAGGGGTGAAGAGCCTGTATTCATTCAAAAATCTCATTGGAATTGAGTAAAATATCTTGGAGCTGCGTGTATATTCAGGCTGCGATAAAAACATGTCACAAGTGTGCTTCTAGACGATGAAGGTGCAGAGCAGGCATGCATTTTGCCGCAGCTCGAGACGGCGAAGCGACTAACGATATGTGGTTTAGCTGGATGCCCCATCTTGATCAGCCCCAATTTTATCTCTCGCATCGATCTCGCTCGTGTCGACCTTGTTTTCCTCGACATTCATCCCAGCGATCTGCGATGCCATCCAAGTCCCGAGGACTGAGAACCTCTACCGGCTGGTAAGTCACCATGATTCGTCATCGTCGGTCTGCTTGATATCACCTACGATGGAAAGTGACCAGGGTGTCTGAAGATATACACAGAACTTTGCCGTCGCAGTGTAAGCCCAGCGACACTTTGTATAGCTTCAGAGCTTTAGGCTACTAGACAAGTCACGACTTATCTAACGACTCTCAGTTTAACGTGTCGTAAGCGGCGTGTGAAGTGCGATGAGACCCTGCCACGCTGCAAGAATTGCGATAGGGTGGGACGGGACTGTGCATATCCCGAGAAGCCAACTGTTCCCCAAAGGTCACGAACTCTGAGTGCACGCGAGGCTAGCGAGGTGCCAGCCAAGCCAACTGTAGCACACCCCAGTGCTTCATTGACGAGCCATGTTAATAATTCCGATATCATCTCAAGGCCGGAGCCTGAAAATGCTGTTATCGATCCCGCGCCATCGTATCCGTCTTTCTCGCTTGCGCCGCGGGAGGTTCCCGTCAACACTCTCCTTGACGACAATTTCTTCTTGAACGATAACCTGTTCGCATTTGACGACTCGCTAACGCCCAATCTTGGTCCGGTTGAATGGTATGATCTCTTAGCAGAGGACGCCATCAATAGCATGCAGGGACAGAGCAGCCGCTGGGATTTCGACATTACGACTCTCTCGCGAAGACAGTCGCCCAGGCAATCCGTTGCTCCAGAGACTGTCGGCACCTCATTTGATGGACAGGAAGCTCAACCCCTACCTGTACTCCATAAGCATTGGAACACCGAAAGCGCCCTTGAACTCACACAAGATGAGGCTGTGTACTACAGACATTTCATAAACGTAGTCGCACCAGTGCTGGACCTCTTTGACCATGAGAGGCATTTTGCTAATATCGTCCCTCATCTCGCTCTGCGCAACGTTGGGTTATTGAAGTCCATTCTCGCGGTTGGTGCATGTCATATGACTATCGTTCACCACCCATCCGAGCTTGGAGAAGCTGCATCATTTCTGCCGGGAACACCGGCGTCAGGCGCAAGTGCGACGACAAATACACGAAGGATCGCGGGACAATACTACTATGAAACACTTCAGTATCTCTCTCAGCATCTATTGTATCAGGCTTACACCACCTCACACGAACTTCTTTCCACGGCTGTCATGATCAGTATATACGAGGTGAGTAGTTACCCTTTCAACGGAGGTAACATGCTAAAACTTCGGCTCAGATGTTCAGCACGGTCAACGACTCCAATCATAGTAACTGGGACCGGCATTTGCGTGGTGCTTTCTGGATCCAGAAGAATAGTGGTGTTAGTGGCGAGTCTGCGGATAGCCTACATCGCGCAATATGGTGGGCGTGGCTCCGTCAAGACGTATGGGCCGCTTTCCGTACCGGTCGGCCGACTCTCACAATACACCAACCACGTACACCCATCTCAGCTTTGACTCCTGATGGGCTAGCGACAAGGATCATCTATATTGCCGCAAAGTGTGTGCAGTTTGCAGCGACTCCCAAGGAGGGCGATATTGCTGCGTACATCGAAGCTGGCGAAACTTTGATGCGCATGCTTGATCTTTGGAAGAGGTCATTGCCTGCCTCATTTGAGCCGATCGGCATCGCGCCTTCAACAATGGACAGCGATCAGATATCACCAATTTGGATACACCCACCTGCGCATGCTGCAGCCATTCAGATGTACCACTTCGCACGCATCATCATGATACTGAACCAGCCTTCTACGGGCGGACTAAGTACATATCAGACACGCTTCAAGCAAATGAGAGAAAGTACGATGACTACATGTGGAATTGCTATCGCACAGCAATCTCAAAATTTGCCGAGCGCTTTTGTAAGCTTCCAGGCAGTATACGCAGGTTAGTCACGTTTACCAGCAGCATGGAATGTTTACTGACCGAAGTGTTGCAGCTGCTTTGTGCGCCGAAACTCAGGATCGGCAGAGTGAAGTTCTCGACGTGCTTGACAAGGTTCTCAGCATCAGCAAGTTTCCGTCACGATCTATCCTGGATGACCTCGTGAGTGTGTGGAACAACGCGAAATGACCAAAGAACCGCTCATAGTTCTCGTTATGCTGTGTGGAGGCGCAAATACGAGCCTGAACTTATGATTGAACCGCCCGTTGCTACATGACCTGAGAAGAACCAATGATGCAAGATATGAGAAGTAATCTGATGTGCATACTTGGCCTCTGATTGGGGCGCAATGGAGGCCAAACGTAAGGACCATCCTTACTGGCCATGTTTCAGGATGCTGACGAACAAGTTGATGACGGCCAAAATACTCCGGACGATTCGAAGCGTGCATCTCACCCCGCCGCAGCCGGATCCTGCAAGACACGGTCATGCCGCATCGTAATCATCATCATCTCTTGCGGAGAAGTAACCGGATATGAATACGAACGATTGCATGCAGGGCGCCGCCTTCTTCCACCGAGTACTTGCATTGCTGTCCCTCATCGCATATTGCCAGTCAAGAGCAAATGAATAGCCCACCAATGACCCCGGAGGTATACAGTCGCCGGCACGCGCGTTGGAGACACCCGATCATGCCTTCGGTCACACTTTGGCGCTGGTAGAGAGGACGACCCAGTTCTCGCTCGATAACCGGCCAGCTTCTACCCTCAATTACTGACATTACTTCATCAATTTCAACCGATCTTATTAAAACTCTTCTGAATATATCCTGATAGTCGGCGGTCAATGGCTCTCCGGTTATTTGAATAAGAAATCATGCCCGTCGGAGGTGGGGTAATGAGCTCGCATTTCCACAAGGTCGCACAGTAAAGTGTGTCCAGATTGCAATGGAGAATGAAAACCGATGCAATTTATGCTGCGATATGAAAGCGACTGTTGAGCTCAATGTATAAAGAGCGCGGCATCCAGACACCACAAGCCGATACTTCAGTGTACAGTGGTCAAGTGTCTACAATTGCATGCTCGTCGTCATGAAGTCCACAATCGCAGCCACCCTCAGCCTCATCTACTCAGCAATCGCGCTCCCCGCAGCCGAACCTCTTCGAGTACTACCATCGAACTGGCAATACCAGATCACATCTCTGCGTGGCCCAGGCTGCCCCGACTTCGGCAAAGATCCCGATGTGGGTCGCACCACGCGCTTGACCTTCGGTCAAAACACCATGGATGGCAGCGAGATCTACTACTGGTTCGTGGCATACCCACATCTGCGTGTCGATCTCGCCGAAAATGACCATGTATGGTGCGAGACGGAACTGAGCTACGAAGAATTCAAAGATGTGACTCAGACGGTCAAAAGCGCTGATTACAGGCTCCGACTGCATAAGAATGGGACGAGGGTCATCGCGACGTACGATCTTGAGAATAGTGTCCAGGCTATGTTCAAGTTCACTTACGAGGAGGCTAATAAGAAGAGTGTATGTGTAACCTCTACTCTTTTTTATAGAACTTCGCCTGCTAATATTCCGCTTCACAGATTACCGATGTCATCACCTGGAATGGCCCGCTAGCATCTGGGCAGTACCAGAAGGAAGACAGCTCGGCCGGGCGAAAAGAAGAGATTTACAAGCTCCCAAAGTGTGGCGCTGGCAAGATCAAGTTTCGCACTGAGCTTTCTATTACCGGGAAGAAAGGCTTGAAGGGCTTCGTGGCAAGTGAGCATAGCAAAGATACCGCAGGTATCGAGCAATACTATGGCATTCAGCAGGGCTTTAGCTATGATTGGGAGAATTGCGACAAGTAAGGCAGTGGTGGGAAGTGTTGCGCATACCCGTGGAATAGTTAGACCGATCATGGGGATGACGCAATCTTATGCTTCAGCGCTCCTAGCTTCTTAGGTCTGTGGCGACTGTAACTTGTAGTGCCCTCAAGAGAGTCCTGTAACGCTTCTGCAGATATGATGTAAGATGACTATGGTGCACGTTCATAGTGACTTTACACCCAATGCTGCAATTATCAACAAATAGATTTCAAAAAGCTGTATTGTGCTTTGTCGGCATTGCTTTCTTTCTCCCTTGCCGTGTCGCATAATTTTCAACACTTGCTTATTGGTAAGTTCTTCCTCTTGTTCAAGGTATATTATGGGTCGCTTCATGATTGCTACATCTGTCCTTTTGATTATAAGAGTTTACATAACCATACGGCTATCCTAGAAAAGAGGTAGTGGTGTATTCAATCCCTGTGTAGATACCCAGCACTAAAGAATGTGAGAAGAGAAAATGAGAGCAGAATGATTCCTAGCATGACCCCATATCGTTTCGGTGCCGGATAAAGTCAACCATCGGCCTGAGCTCTAGCGTAATATCCAAGGCTGGTGGCATTGCGACGAAGTGCACACACAGCTTATGCCACAGGTTGGCAAGATTGAGGATACAAAGTGCCCGCGAGATTGCCTGGGCTAGTTGTTCCCGGGAACGTAATGTTTGTCGAAAGAAGCGAAGGCAAGCCGTTCATGCCATATACTGACCGCAAAGGATAAAGAAATCCAGCTCCAAGTGTCTCGTTGACGCAGGTCCTTTGGTTCAAGGTCGCAAGAGTTTCCTGCGCCTGCGGAATCGGGGCTGTACCGCCACAAGCGAATGCCGTCGCGGGACCGAGATAGAGGGTATCGATATTGTCCGAATTGATACAGATCTCGTACACGCCGTCAGTTGGTGGCCGGAAGTATCCATTAAAGACGAAGGTTCCATTATTCGGATTGTAGTCAATGCCGGCGTACCTAGCCGTCACACCGGGGAAATAGAATGGCGCGCCAGGGATGGTCGTGTAGTCGCCCCCTGGATTATTCACGCGGGGTACGGTCAGATCATTTGTCGTGCCAGTACCCAGTGGCGTGAGGCCAAAGTAGTAATCCGGGCTGACGTCCCCGGCACCGTACGATTGTGCACTGACGATGTTGTTTGCATAGAATGCAAGATCCAGCCCTGTCGAATCACAAGCAACGGTTTCTGGCAGGAAACAGGCATTACTTGGAATTGGCACGTTAACAACTACGACACTTGTTGGTCCGCCGGTCGGATCTGTGCTGGCTACCGTTGAAGTAAGTCCAGTCGTTCCACTCGTGCGCGTAATAGTGCTGAGCACCGGGACACCAACGACTACAACAGTCGTCAGGGAACCAGCTGGATCTGTGGTGGCTACGGTGGATGTGAAGCGGATCGAACCAGTCGTTGATGTAATAGTGCTGAATGGTGTAGGCTCGCCTACTACAACAACAGTTGTTGGTGAGCCGCTGAGGTCCGTAGTAGGCACAGTAGACGTAAAGCTAACAGATCCACTGGTAGACGTGATTGTGCTTAGTTCGGGAATGCCAACAACCACAACAGTCGTCAGGGAACCAGCTGGATCTGTGGTGGCTACGGTGGATGTGAAGCGGATCGAACCAGTCGTTGATGTAATAGTGCTGAATGGTGTAGGCTCGCCTACTACAACAACAGTTGTTGGTGAGCCGCTGAGGTCCGTAGTAGGCACAGTAGACGTAAAGCTAACAGATCCACTGGTAGACGTGATTGTGCTTAGTTCGGGAATGCCAACAACCACAACAGTCGTCAGAGAGCCGCTCGGGTCTGTTGAAGGCACAGTAGATGTGAACCCGACCGTTCCAGTTGTCGAAGTGATAGTGCTGAGCACTGGGGTAGGCTCTCCTACTACGACTACAGTGGTTAATGATCCACTTAGATCTGTAGTAAGCTACAGTAGATGTGAACCCGACCGTTCCCAGTTGTCGAAGTGATAGTGCTGAGCACTGGGGTAGGGCTCTCCTACTACGAACTACAGTGGTTAAATGATCCACTTAGATCTGTAGTAGCTACAGTAGATGTGAAGCCAAATAGAACCAGTAGTCGAAGTGATAGTGCTGAAAGGGTTGAGTAGGCACTCCGACAACAACCAAGGTCGTCGGCGTCCCGCTAACGTCCGTAGAGATTGTCGAGGTGAATTCAATAGACCCTATGGTTGAAGTGATTGTGTTGAAGGGCTGCGTTGGCACCCCAACGATTACCACCGTTGTTGGAGTCCCAGCGATTGTTGTTGGAACCGTCGAGGTGAATCCAACAGAGCCGGTCGTGGAAGTAATGGTATTGAAGGGTTGTGTTGGCACCCCAACGATGACCACCGTTGTTAGAGTCCCAGCGATTGTTGTCGGAACCGTCGAGGTGAACCCAACAGAGCCGGTCGTGGAAGTAATGGTATTGAAGGGCTGCGTTGGCACCCCAACGATTACCACCGTTGTTGGAGTCCCAGCGATTGTTGTTGGAACCGTCGAGGTGAACCCAACAGAGCCGGTCGTGGAAGTAATGGTATTGAAGGGTTGTGTTGGCACCCCAACGATGACCACCGTTGTTAGAGTCCCAGCGATTGTTGTCGGAACCGTCGAGGTGAACCCAACAGAGCCGGTCGTAGAAGTAATGGTATTGAAGGGCTGCGTTGGCACCCCAATAAGTACAATAGTGGTAGGTTTACCACTAATAACTGTAGGCAGCGTTGAGGTGAACCCGACCGATCCTCCGGTGGAGGTGATACTGCTGAGCGGCTGCGTTGGTACACCAACAAGTACAATCGAGGTTTCTACGCCATCGATGGCAGTGCTTGGTACCGTTGAGGTGAAGGCTATCGAGCCAAATGTGGTAGTGACGGTGAGAAGAGCATCGGGCGTTCGTGTCGAGCTAAGCTTTGGTTCTCCTACGATTACCACAGTACTCAGCTGGCCATCAGGTCCAATTGTAGGCACTGTCGAAGTAAAGCTCGTCTGTCCGGCTGGTCGTAGTAATAGTTGAAAACGGTGGTGTGGGAGTTGGGCCCAGTGTTGGTTCTCCGATGATTACAACCGTACTCGGCTGGCCATCCGGACCAGTTGTAGGCACTGTCAAAGTGAAACTTGTCGATCCGCTCGCCGTAGTAATCGTCGAAAGGGTTGGTTCGGGTACATCAATTACAACATAAGTTGTAGGTGAGCCATAGTGACCAGTCTTGGAGACCGTAAAGGTGCAGGTTGTCGAGCCACGTGTCCTGATATAAGTCTGTAAGGGTTTACCTACCGGGTAGCCGTGAGAGTGTATATGTGCTGGCTTCGCATGTGGTTTCACGGCGGAAGAACCACATTTGGGCTGATACCATCGACACTTTGTTTCAACTGCGGTGGCAAGACTGAGGAACCCAAGGTAGACTAGAGATCGGATAGCTCCACCCATGATGATGGCAGAGGATCGGTAGAGTGTAGACGTGTTGGTTGGATAGAGCCATATGCGTGAAACAAAATAAACTGCTCTTTATAGTTTTTTTTTTAGAATTGTTTCTTCACGTGGAATGCAGGAGCTGAATTGAACGCTTTTCTCTGGACGTTTTCCTAAGCTCCGTCCATCACATTACATTCTTAGTCAATCCTCAAGGATTTGTTTCACCGTTTGCAGTACGACATCTGTGACCTGACTTGGTTACCCACTAGTTTCGGGTGGCATGCGGGTCCTCAGAAGTCGTGCAAGAGGCTTACTTGCATTGGACAGATGGCAATGTGGGACGCTAAAGAATTAGGATGGTATGCTTGGCCGCATGTATCGGCAATGTGAAGCAGGCTGAGATTGATAAGATCTCATTTTAGGTATTACCTAATGTGGACTGACATACCTAAGAAAGAAGTCAAAAGGCATAGGGACGTTCTCTGAAATGCCGATATCGACCAGATCCAGCCGAACTATGTTATGCTTGGTCTTGGAACTCTGATATGCTGTTACGTCGAAAGCACTATTCTACAATCTATGCTAGGGGGAAAGCATACCTGTTGAGACGTAGATCGCTGTATTAGCTCAACCGTTTTATTGCTAAATGCGCAGGGTGTATGGTTTGACGTTGTTATTAGCAGGCATTTAATGTCCAGTTTAACGATAAGTAGAATATAGTAACACCTAGCTAATCAACAATGATTGCTGAGAGGAAGTTGGAATAAAGAACAAATCTGAGTGAAGCAATGAAGAGTGTCCGGTATCGGGAAGAGTTGCCGGCTTGGCAAGCATTCGACTTATACAGCTTATGGATTAGGCCCTTTCTGATGTAGCTTAAGCTTAATCCCTTGATGGAGCACGGAACAACTTTCCGTCCAATGTACGAAGAAGCTCGTATTTGTTGTCGCACTACATGGGCCACCCCACCAAAATGCGCTCAAATAAGGTGACACGCCTCACTATAACGATGATTGCAACCACACTACGCATTCGTCCCTTATACTTTTTAGGCTTTCTGCGCGTGGAATGGCCTATTTTTGTGAATCTCGGTTAAGAAATGGTGGAGTTATAGAGGTTCAAAGTATAGGACTTGGTGGTTGGGTGGCCTGTGCGGTGCAACACCAAATAACTACGAGCGCGTAGTAACACAAACGCAGGAACTTGCTTTGGGTAGCGATAATCTGCTCCGCGGAATGCATTCACCTGAGCACCCCCTCGGTGATAGAGATTCCACGGTTTTCTAGAAGGAGTATAGATGTCAGACGACTAGGAGAAAAGCGATCGGGACATTAAAACCTCGATGGCAGGCTACCGCGCCAACGCGCAGGGCGGATGGCGTAATGTCAGGAAACCCGAGTTTTGGTTGAAGGGAAGGAAAGCGAGTCAACGGTGAAATTGAGCTATGAAACATCAGGCGGTCATTTGAAGTGAATTACACTTATACTACTACAAGGTCATTTAGGATTGGATGGCATTTGTGGATGACCTGGATTTCAGATAAGGGACACTCAAATTATTTACATGTAACGTATTATCACCAACGCCCGGGCATCTCCAGCCAATATGTCCAGAACCACAAAGCCAACACACCACCCATCCTGTTTCGCACCTCCTGTCTCAAACAATTCTCTCAACGACCACGCCCCTGCGGCTCCAATCATCACCGTCACCATCTGTGCTCGCTCCAGCACTATGGCTTAGACTTCTATCTCCATCCACCTCCACTTCCCTCGTCTGGACGGTTTGTACACGGATATTCCTCAACTCCACTTCATCTTCCTTCTGCCCCTTCTTTGGCTCAGAGTCCCACTCACTCCTGTATCTCTGATACACTCCCTGTGGTGCCACGCTCTTGATCTCCGTCGTAATCGTCGTTTGGCGACCCAGGTGCTGATTCAGCGCGGAATCTGGCCGTATAGCCGAGGAGTTGGAGGTGATCGAACCCTTTTGCTTGTCCATCTCGAGCTCGACTTCGGTGATGGACACACGGCGGGAGCGCGACATGTGAGAGCCGATGGTGCCGTTGGCAGGTTTGCTGCCGGTGGCAATGCCCGAGCGCGCGGCCGATTCTTCCTTCTGCTCCTTGGAGGTGACCCAGTGAAGCACGACGACGCAGAATAGGATATCGGCGTTGCAACACATGAGGCAGATCCAGCCAGGCTCGCCCTTCATTACCATCAGGATTGTAAGGTTGATGACGGAAGTTGTGAGCGTCGCGCATGATCCGATGAACGAGCGGAAAGCCATACGCTTGAGTACCGGGTTCGCGTTTGTTTGGTAGGAGTGCAATCCACGGAGAGGAATAATGAAAAGGAGAGTAAGGTAGACGTTGACGATGACCTCAAAGATGATGAGCGGCATCATAGCAATCTTTTGCATACCAATGATACACACGCCCTCGTCGTTGATGTAGGTTATGCGCCTGGGTAGTGTTAGTTTGTCTTCGAAATGTGTGTAGAGGGGGGAACACACCAAATGAAGTTCATTATGACGAAGATGGTGTAGGGAAGGATCATGAAGATGCAGTTGAAGAGCCATAGCTTAGATTTGTGACGAGGCTTCCTGCTTCCGTCAACGATGTACTTGTCACAGTCAGCTTACGATGTCGATCATTTGGAGGGGCATGACCTACGGCTCTCTTCAACAAGGAAGACGTACATGAGACTCTTAGTGCTCATGTATGCATACTAGGCGAAGGATGATGCCTGCTTCGCAGACTTGATCGCGAACTGCTTGATGCCTGAATGCATGACTGATGATGCTCGTCGCGAA